GAAGCGTTGGGTAGAGGACCGAACAAGCTTCGCTCCATCATGTCTATCGAGCCTGGGCTGGTTTGATTCTGGTCAGGGCGGCCAACAAGATGTCGATGATGGTAAGTTCCGGGGTCGATGTTCCTGGCGGGAAGATAGTACGCAGAGCCTCTGTCTGGGTGTATGTTGCAAGAAAATAGCCTCTTTAATATTGAGCTTTTCTGGATTTTGGTGTGGGTTAATTAAATCGACACTGATGAAGTGAAATATATTTGGTGGTGAAGTGAAATTATTCAAAAGGTTAATGTTTGAGTCTTATGGGTTTTAACTGTTACATACTTGGCTGCACAATTCCGAGCAATTTTATGAACTCTAAGCTAAGTGCAACTTTTTTGAAAGTGCGAAGCAGAAATTGAAAGAAACAAGCTGGCCAACACTATATTGCACCGGTCGACGAGGCCATTACTAGCGCGGTTATAAACAGGTTCAATACTTCCTGAGTACTTAGGATGCATTTCCTTTCCTACGTAGCGTCATATGTGTGGTCTAAGTAATAATATCTGATCCTCATAGTTCATTTCCAGCACCAGGCATACGAGCTCGCAGTGTACTGTGTAGTAAATGCATTCACCCCACAACCTCCCTATGTGTCTTTGCACTCTGCATCAGACGCTTAGATTCTACACCGGTCATTCCAAGGAACTGATCTGATGCCCTAGTTTGCATCAGCCAGAGTATCCTCAATCCAATGCCAATGCATAAAAAAAAGAGCTCTCATCTTTGAAGGAAACAATTCAGCAGCCATTAATTATGTGGGTAGCATCATATCAAGTGAGCACTGTCTATTCACTACTGGTTACTAGGGAAGACCCAAGTCAGTGCTGTATGTAGTATTTTAGTGGCCAAACAGAAAGTGAAGTCCGTCAGAGACGAGTTGGGCCTAGCACACGCTTTGCCGGGGTCAGGGCAGGGACCCCCTGGTCCGCACCGGGTAGGTACCCGCTGTGGTACCGTGAGACTACTCGGACCCCACTGTGCAGATCGCGTCCCTCAAGTCGCGACGAGCCATCAACCAACTGGGCTGACTGGGTCGATCCGAGTGACCACCTTTCCACCAGCCTCGCCTGTCCTGCTTCGCGTCCCGTGTGTCCCGTGTTCCATACAGCTGTAATCATGGATATAGACGACATCCTACGCGAGGTTGACCCCGTCATCGAGACCATCCCCAGCGAGACTCGAGATCTTCAGGCTCTGACGCGCGCCTGGGTGGCTGAGCGATGCGCCCCGGAGCTTCTAGAGTGCGCAACCCCTCAAACGCACTGATGGCATCCAGGCTGTCTTCCCCAGAACCTTGTCTGACTTGATGGATTGCACAGATGGCCCGCTGATGGAATCTTCGAGCGGATGAACGAGCGCATCAAGGCGCAAATCGAGAAGGTCGAGGAGATGACCGGCGACATGGACCCAAAGACCAATTTTGCACTCATTGTTATTCAGACCGAGCTGGAGCGGTACAAATACATCGTGCGTAGCTTCCTGCGTTCCAGGATAGCAAAGGTGAGCACCCACTGGGCTGCTGCTCCACGAGAGCCCGCGACAGCCCCATTCGCTGATGTCGCATTCCGTGACGCGGTCGCAGATTGACAAGCACACGCTGCACTACCTCTCGACGCCTACAATGCGCGCGCGCCTCTCAGAAACAGAACTGGCCTACGCGACCCGCCACCAGGCCATGCTGCACAACCACTACCTCTCCTCATTCCTGTCATCCTTTCCTCCGAACCTGCAGAACCTGAACGACACAGCGGGTAACATCAGCATGATTGACACTCCAGACCTCGACACGGCCGTCTTCATCCGCCTGTTGAGAGATTGCTTGGTACAAGGCCGAGGAATCGATGAGGACGGCAGCATGAATGGGAAGAACGGCGACATCCTGATATTGCGATGGTCAGACGCGAAGCCCTTGGTAGATGCCGGAGACGCTGAGCTGGTTTGAAGCCCGGAACGACTTGGTCAACGACTTTCCGCTGCGCATGTACACGGCTCGGCCTGGAGATAAGCTATTTCTCGGAATGGTCCTCCGAGGTCCTCCGGGGAAAGAGGTTGCTCTATGTCTGTACCTCATGCCAGCCCATCGTCAACTCTCTGGGCGGCCAAGAGCCGACGCATGGATAAGGGCCATGGACACCGGAGTTAGCGGCCCCGGGCAACATGCTTTGACGTGCTGCCACCGAGAAGACTTGTCCCAGGCACCATACTTCATCTGGCCATGCAGGCGGGACGACCAGGCATAGTCGCTACGAGGGCATCCCGCTGACGGCTACCGTGACGGCACACTCGGAGTTACGGCGAAAAGCCCGAGAGCTAAGTTCCGAAGCCGTCGCCGCGGGAAGATGCCCGCAAAGGTTGATTCCTAATGCCTAGCATAGCTCGAAACTTGCATCAGGACGCTCATCAACCATAACTAGTCGATGTGATTCGTTTGGTAGCTGCGGGCTGGATATACTTCCACCTTGAATAACCCGTTCACAAGCAAACCGCAACCAACCATTACCAGAACAAACATGACTGTCGACTCCAACAAGCACATCGTGCTCGTGACGGGTGCCAACCAGGGCATTGGTTTTGAGATTGCGAAGAAGCTCAATGTCGAGCACGAGGATTACCATGTGATCATGGCAGGACGGAGGAAACAAGCCGTCGAGGAGGCGGCAGAGAAGCTGCAGTCGCAGGGGTTCTCGGTGGAGCCCCTCGTGCTCGATGTATCGTCCGACGACTCCATCGCCGCGGCGGCGAGGGTCGTCGAGGAGAAGCATGGCTACCTGGACGTGCTCGTCAACAACGCAGCCATCTCGACCATCTCACACTCTGCCGACGGGAAGCCGCTCTCAACACGCGAGCAATTCCTGCACATCCTAGACACCAACGTCGCGGCTGTCCAAGCAGTGACCGACGCCTTCATGCCACTGCTGGAGAAGTCAACAAAGACTAAGCGCATTGTCTTCATCAGCTCGTCACTGGGCAGTGTATCACTGCTGGCCGAACCAAAACTCGGGTCGACCTTCCGCAAGGTGAATGCCCCACACTACACCACATCCAAGGCGGCATTGAACCAGCTGGCGCTGCACTATGTGGTACGGTATGAGGATAATAAGGACTGGAAGCTCAATATTTGCTGCCCGGGGTACTGTAAGCGTCACTTTTCACCTGTTACGGACCCCCGACTTCATGTTTTGGAATGTTCTAGAACGAAACGCTTTAGGATCCGTGCAAGGACTAACGTCATCACCAGGTGCAACAAACCTCAATGGCTACGGAGGCACCAACTCTGCTGAGAGCGGTGCTATCAACGCTTGCCGGTTGGCCACGCTGGGCCCTGACGGGGAGTCAGGAACGTTCACGAACAAGGAAGGCACTGTCCCTTGGTAAATGGGTATGATGCGGCGTGTGATGGTGGTGGATGGCCGAGAGGCATTCAAGCCAGGAGGTACGCGCCGGGCTTCTGGACGTTGTCGGGCTGGACTATTGTCTCTAGGAAATATATTGTGAATCAGAGGCCATGCAATACTATAACAAGCAATGTGTGGACGGTGGGAAGTCAGCATGGATAGCCAGGTTGACGGACACTAGGCTTCTTCGGCCATAGCTTGCAGGCCAGAGCCGGGGTGGTGCGGGACGAGGGGGGGGTCTGGACTTAGTAGTCGGGCACCTGCATGATTGTGGCCGCGCCGAATTTAGAGCAACCGCCTCAAACCGCCTCAAGCTAGAGACGGCTGTGCGTATAATTGGGGCGAACAACTGCCGTGGACTCCTATAGTTTCGACGGTCCAGACTGGCTCGTATTTCTTTCGTCCGAACTTGACATCAGAGGGTAATTCCAAGACAAAAAAGCCAACTATTGTGTAGACGCACCACCCCAGACCAGAGACCACATCACATGTCGACTGTTGGGACATATTGGCCAGATTCTAAGACTGACGTGGTGGTGGGACAGCGACCACACGGGGTAAAATATCCGAGCCAACACTGGGTCTGACAATATTTGGGGCCGACAGTAACTCAGCCTGGCTGCCAGGCCTGCACAGGCGATGCCTTCGGACCGGTACGGAGTACCCACCTTTGGCTGCGCCTGAGCCAGGGCTTGCTTCCCCCGTGCCGACTCCCGTAGCGTCGAGAGGGAAGAGAGACACGTCCCGTAATGGACGCACTCTCCGACAAGCGATCAGCAGGCCAGGTGCCAGGTCAATCTGGCAATTTGGACAATGGCGCTGTCTGCCTCAGGGTGGATGTCCCTGACATGCACCATGGTGACATGGAATTTTTTTTAAAAAAAACATGCTTGGACTGGATGGGCGGGCGATCGGGCGACAATGGCCAACCCCAGCACCCACTTACCCCGGCCCTAAGCCATCATCCGCCCCTATAAAAGCTAATTCGAAGGGGCAGCGCTGAGCGGGGGAGATCCTGTCATCATCCCAGTCGTCCATCCTTGGCTTAATTACACAGTAGAAGGCGAGAGAAAACTAGGACGTCAGCAGACGACAGGAGAACCGTGGGCGGCACAAGAGGGGGTGCGTACATGTACACACTACTGTGGATTCGGTATGCAATGAAGACCTTGCTGGCCGCTGGCTGTGTCTTTGAAGGTGGTCTCCCGGGCAGGGCTTGAGGGCACAGCGTGGGGCTTAACTACTATCATGTCTGTCTGCCATTCCGATCTAGGCACGCGACGGGCCTTGTGTGGTGGGGAGCCAGGCGAAGAGGCAGGCCTCCTCCACATGGGGGGCGAATGACAATGCTGGCGTGTCTGTGCAGCTCTCGAGAACACGAAGAGGCAGTGTCGAGGAGAGCTCATGCGTGACCGCGTCGCCCCCGATTGGCGAATCCCGCCATGTGCGCCGCCGAATCAGGTACCATCACCAAATTCTAAACGAGATTGTCCCACACATGGATGCGGTGCCTTTCTTTTACGTAGTGCTCCGTGCCTGTTTCTTTTTTCCTTTTCCGGCGTCTATTTCTTGCTGGCCTGCATTGACGCAGCCTCGAGGGGAGGCCCGGGAGGGGGGCGCCCATGGATCCAGCGGACACGCCAGCTGGCCGAATCCATGGTCTCATTGCTGGGGAATGAAAAACAAGAGTGGATGCTCTGATGCTCTGATGCTCTGGGGAGGGGGGCTGCCTTGGAAATCAAGCATCCTGACATACCATCCCCGGACATTCGAGTGACTTGTCGGCCAAGCCAGACATGGGCCCATGGCCATGTTCATCTCCAGATCCTCGCCCACCAGTCGCTTGTCTCGATCCCTCCCAGCCCCCCCCCCTAGGTCCGTGTTTTTTCTTGCGGACCCCCCCTTCTTGGAATGTTGACTACGCGTGACTGTGGTTTAAATGTGCCTGTTCCTCTCATCTGCCCACGGCTCGAGCTCCCCTTTCTTGTTCCCACTGCCTGTTTATAATTGCGTCGGATTCATCTTCACTCGCTCAAAGTTGAACCTTGCTCAGAAACTATACTTGTATTCTTCTCGACAGTCGCTCCTACTCGGAACTTTTACACGCCTTTTAATATAATCACATTTGTTGACTAAACCACACAAAATGCGTTTCACCAGCATCATCGTCGCCGGCGCTCTCGCCATGTTCGCCTGTGCCCAGGACACCACCGGCACCACTTCTTCCACGGCCACTGCCGCCACCACCGATGCCGCCCAGGCCTCTACGCTTGCTTGTCTCGATGCCTGTGATGCCGGTGACGTGAACTGCAGGGCCGTCTGTCTTGGTGTAAGTACTGCAAGCTGTTGTGGTGAACTCCAGAGTTGGAAGGGCCTTGGTCACGTCTGCTGCCCATGTGTGTCTGGAACTCGCCGCATGTGTGGGATCACCCGTCTTGCAGCAGACGCGACCGATGCCTGTCCTGACGTTCCGGGCCCTCTCCGCCGGGGACACTTGACGAAGAAGCATTGTCACTGACCCCATGCCTCATAGGTCCCCCACCCTGACGCCGGCCAGGTCAACGCCACCACTGAGTGTGCTGCCAAGTGCGATCAGGGAGACGGCTCCAAGTCTGACACGGACGCCTATGGCGCCTGTGTCGACGACTGCATCGCCAACAACTTCTACACCTCTGGCGGCACCCCTCAGGCCACTGCCGGCTCGGGCTCTTCTGGATCGACCGCCTCTGGCTCTTCTGCCTCTGCGACCTCCACCTCGGACTCTTCTGACGATTCATCCTCCTCTACCTCTGGCTCCGGATCAAGCGGCACCAGCTCCTCGTCATCCGAGTCCGCCACCGCCTCGGGCTCGGCTGCTGACTCCATCAAGGTTGGCATGACCGGCCTGGGCCTCCTGGGCTTCATCGCCGCTGCTGTGGCCTTGTAAGGTGGCGCCAAGCTGACGTTGCCGCACCTAAAGTGTGCTGGCCGGGGTGAGATGTTATTTTCTTTGGGCTTGACGAATTAATAATGCATATGAATCGGGCTTTATGGCAGGATAATGAGGCACGGAATACCGTTGGCATGTCACGTCGTAATTAGGCAGCAAGAGATATGTAGGGACAAGATACCCCATCCAAACACACGCTGCAGCTACTGAGCTCGCTTGCTCCTGGATTTGATGTCGTTTGCCGCCGCCTTGTGATTTTGTGCGTGTTCGTGACCCCCGCCGCCTCTTGGTCAGCCGCTTGACTCACTGCCCTCTGAGAGAGTTCTTGGGCACGGTCGGCTTGATGTCCGATTCCCACGGTATGCCCAGCTTCTTCATCTCAACGGCAATCTGGAACAGGTAATCCAAGCTAGATGTCATGTCAGCACATCTCAGCATATCGCAGCATCTCGACAGCGCCTCGTGAACAAATCAAGGGTGAGATCGTGACAAACATACCTCTCACACTGCCCCTTGGCCTGCTCCACGCTGTTGCCCCAGACGTAGACCCCATGCCTCCTGACCAGCACGGCATACGCGTCCGGGTAGTTGTCCATGGCCTCCTCCAGGAACTCAGTCAGGTCCTCCTCGTGGGCCGTGTTCTCGATGACAGGGATGCGGAGGGTGTCGTGGTAGCCCAGGTTGCCGAGCTCGGCGTGGGGGTAGCCCCGCGCGAAGCCCTTGATCTGCTCGATGTTGTTGATGCGGAACTCGCTCTCGCCGGCCTGCTCGAGGATGAGGGTGACCAGCACGGCGTGGGCCGAGTGTGTGTGGATGCAGCAGCGGGCGCCCCGCCGCGTGAAGGCGGACAGGAACAGCGGCGTGCACTGCGAGGGCTTGAAGCGGGAGGGCGAGCGCACGTAGACGCGCGACGAGGGCCGGATCGGCCCGTCGCCATTGTGCCGTTTCAGCGTCTCGGGCAGGGACAGCACGTACAGGTCCTCCGCCTTCATCAGCTCCTTCTGGACGCCCGAGGGCGCGATGTAGACATGCTCACTAGAGGTTCGCAGCGTGTTAGCACCATGACCTGGACCGCGAACCAACCCGACTTTCTCGGAACAGAGAGAAAGGCAAAAGAAAGAAACAGAGGCTCCTACTCGTCGCGGATCGATGCTCCACCCCCGGTGCCCGTGACCCAGCCCAGCGTCCAGAACTTGGCACAGAGGGAGGGGATGAGGTTTGCGGGGTGTTCGGGGTCGCCCGACTGGACGAGGCGGTCGTCGTTGGTGCTCATGGCTGGGAGCTTGCACGGTTCTGAAGCTGGTGGGATTGGGCAGGTGGGCGAGCAGCGTCCTGTGGTGAACGACAGGCTGTGGTCAGGCAACCAGCACGTCTGAGCGTTGGGCTGGGAAGTTTTGGGTTCGGAGCCGGGGCGGCGAGCACGTCAGGCTTTTTGCCGATCATGCTCGAATTTACATTTGTTTATACATGCGGTTCACATGCCAACCACCGTTGTGATAAATTTTGAAGCACCCTCTCACGAGTCTCTCCCGAGTTCAACCCAGACTTGCAGGTCAACAGTTGAATGCTTTGTCCTAAAGGGTCTTCTGCCCATGCTTCTGGTGGTCTCACACACACGTACACAATACAAGCCACCTCCGGGGCTGTTGAGACACGGACCAGACAGAAGTGAGGTTGAGACCCGGGCGCAAAAGTGCACAACTGGTTTCCACTGCTTCGGGCTCAGTGCTATGTCTATCTGTTGGCAAGTAGTGTCTGGCATGTTCTTTGCAGAATTGGCAATTTTCCATGTGCCGATGGTGCTTGACGCGTCGAGTTTGACTGCCTGTGGAGCGACGTATAATGGCCCCGGGCAGTCGCCAGCTTCATACCACGCCCAAGTTCAGACAGGATGGAGGTGGTCATTCGCATCCCCTGTGATGGCTGCTAACTGCTGAGGGCCTGACACCCACATGCGCACAATGCCACGTATGCCGGATTGTCAGTGTTGATATTGGAAACAATTACGGCTGCCAAATTTAGCATACGCCCGGCGTGGTCATGTATATAGCCATCGGGTGTGCCGTGTCACCATCCCGGTGGCTGCGAACGGCGATCGGAAACCTACTCGACATGACCAAGGGGCTCTGCCAGAAACATCTACACAGCGTGTCTGCAGTCGAAGTTTCCAAAAGGTTCTCCAGCGGTGGGTCCGACCTGCCCTGAGGGTCCCCGTCACAGCAATCGGTGATGGGTCTCGGCTGAGTGAAGGAGAACACCCGACCCCGCATTCAATTAGTGCAGGCAGGTAACAGGGGCCAGGCCGGCTGTAGCGTCCGAGTCGAAGCTGCCACCCCTGTCGCCTGGCGCCTGGCTGAATTGACGGCTTGATGCACGGCGGGTGCTGTGCTGTGGTATTAGAATTTGGGGAGCTCTGTCAACGTGGCCTCTTTCCGCGACCAGCACCGCCGGCCTTGCCCCAAGCAGATAAATCCACAGCTCTTTATCAACACGCCGCCTCATCCGCCCCGAGCTTTCTCCTCCCCGGGCTCTGAGAGTAAAACCACATTATTCCTTCACTGCGAATAACACCTGTCCCCATCGACAGACAGTCTTTCCTTCTCCATCTCACCAACGCGAGAAGGGCAGCTAACCAGTATCTGTTTCTCCCTTCTGCTCCCTTCGCCCCCAACAGCTTGACACCCCATCCAAGACTGCTGCTCCGCCATCATGAGGTTCACCCCCATCGTCGCCTGGGCCATCCTGGCCTACGGCTCTGTTGCCGACGATGCCCAGAAGGTCCTGAGCGACGAGAGCTCCTCTTCTGCCGCTGAGTCTGCCACCGCTTCCGTGGACACCTCTCTGCCCACCTTCACAGTAAGCCTGACTCCCGCCCGCCACCCCCCCAAGATCTCATAACAAAGGAAGCACTGCCGGCACGGAGCTTGCGCTTGGAGCTTCCCGCACTCGTCGCTGGGGAAGCTGCAGAAACACGTGCACACTGGTTGCTAGCGGTTGACCAGCAGCTGATTTGCTTGTGATTTTCCAGCCCACAACCCTCAAGGCTCCCTTCCTCGAGCAGTTCACCGACGACTGGGAGGCACGATGGAAGCCTTCTCACGCAAAGAAGGACCTCAAGGGCACGGGCAAGGAGGAGGAGGAGTGGGCGTACGTTGGCGAGTGGGCTGTTGAGGAGCCCACCGTCTACAAGGGAATGGAGGGAGACAAGGGCTTGGTCGTCAAGAACAAGGCCGCCCACCACGCCATCTCCGCCAAGTTCCCCGAGAAGATTGACAACAAGGGCAAGACCCTTGTCGTTCAGTATGAGGCCAAGCTCCAGAGTACGTACTGCGATCCCCCGCACGATTACCGCCGCGGCGCTTTTTGCTGACCCTTACGCGCCCCAGCCGGTCTCGAGTGCGGTGGTGCCTACATGAAGCTGCTCCGCGAGAACAAGGCTCTCCACCAGGACGAGTTCGCCAACACCACTCCCTACGTGATCATGTTCGGCCCTGACAAGTGCGGCCACACCAACAAGGTCCACTTCATCTTCAACCACAAGAACCCCAAGACGGGCGAGTACGAGGAGAAGCACCTCAAGTCCCCACCACCGGCCCGTATCGTCAAGACCACCGAGCTCTACACGCTCATCGTGCACCCCAACAACACCTTCGTCATGGAGCTCAACGGGGAGCAGGTCAAGGAGGGCAGCCTCCTCGAGGACTTCACCCCATCCGTCAACCCCCCCGAGGAGATTGACGACCCCGAGGACAAGAAGCCCGAGGACTGGGTCGACGAGGCCCGTATCGCCGACCCCGACGCCACCAAGCCTGAGGACTGGGACGAGGACGCTCCCTTCGAGATTGTCGACGAGGAGGCCGAGCAGCCCGAGGACTGGCTCGTCGATGAGCCCCTCACCGTCCCCGACCCTGAGGCCCAGAAGCCCGAGGACTGGGATGACGAGGAGGACGGTGACTGGATCGCCCCCACTGTTCCCAACCCCAAGTGTGCCGATGTTTCTGGCTGTGGCCCCTGGACCAAGCCCATGAAGAAGAACCCCGACTACAAGGGCAAGTGGACCGCTCCTTACATCGACAACCCGGCCTACAAGGGCGTGTGGGCACCCCGCAAGATCAAGAACCCCGACTACTTTGAGGACAAGACGCCTGCCAACTTCGAGCCCATCGGAGCTATTGGCTTCGAGATCTGGACCATGCAGAACGACATCCTCTTTGACAACATCTACATCGGCCACTCGATCGAGGACGCCAAGAAGCTCGCCCAGGAGACCTTCCACGAGAAGCACCCCCACGAGCAGCTCGCCGAGCTGGCTGACAAGCCAAAGAAGGACGACACCAAGGCCCCCTCTGACCTGAAGTTCACGGACGACCCCGTCACCTTCATCAAGGAGAAGGTCGACCTGTTCCTGACCATTGCCCAGAAGGACCCCATCGAGGCCATCAAGTTCGTGCCCGAGGTTGCCGGTGGCATTGGTGCCGTCCTGGTCACCGTCATCGCTGTTGTCATCGGTATCGTCAGCTCCCTCGGTGGTGCCAGTGCCCCACCCGCCGTCAAGAAGGCTGCTGGTGACGCCAAGGACAAGGCCGCCGAGGCCAAGGACAAGGTCGCTGCGGCTGCCTCCTCCGGCGCCGAGGCCGTCAAGGACAACACCACGAAGCGCACCACCCGCAGCCAGCAGTCGTAGGTTGACAAGGTGGTGGCAAGGCGGCTGGAAGGTAGTAATGGGTGATTATTGAGAATGGTGCGCGGAAAAGAACCTAGCAGAGAAGGGATAAGAAGGAAAATGAAGAGAAACCCCCAACCGAAAAAAAAATAAAAAATTGATGCTTCGCTTTTCACATTAGGGCTCGTGGGGCTTATAGGGTTGAGCACGGCGCAGCTGGTGTATTTCTAGTACGGTATCACGGGGAATAGGAATCATTCACAATCATCACAACGTAGCCATGTGCGGCAGCGCGCGAGTCGAGTCGGGAGGCTCTCCAAGTGCTGTCCAAGCTGTAGTGTCCTTGTCGCGTTGACATTCCTATTGCGGACAGTCCAGGACATGGGAAAGGCCTTGTCGGTCTGCCCCAATCCCATCTCAGATGTTGTGAGGCTCGTTGCAACTGGAACCCCAGCCGATATCGCCAGCGGCCGAGCACGGACATTGGATCGACTCGGGCCAGCCTGATTGCTCTTGCCGGGCCGGTCCTGCTATCTATACATCGAAATTGTGAAGGACGAGCAAAGCAAAACCATGACAAATGGATATAAGACGAGCCGTGGCGGCTAAGGATTTCCGGAGCACCGGCAATTGACGGCATTGAGGTGGAGCAGGGCGGGCAACAACAACAGTACACCTCTCGTCACTCCCCGCACCGGGCCAGGTTAACGCCCCCTGCCAGCTGCTCCCGATCGCCCTGCGCCGCCCGCAGAGGTCCTGGCATTTAAAAGGGACGACAGCCTAATACCAGCAGGTCCCGTCCCTAGCCCGTGGTCCGGTATCGTGGCCGTTGCTGGTGTTTCCACATTCCGAGGTTAAATCGAGGCAGCTAGGCTTGTCCTCCTCCCCCCTCACCTTCTGTGTTTCCCCATTTCCCTCCCTCGCAGTCTTCGCGCGGCCACAAAAGCCTCCAATGCGTCGGCTCCTATCGACCAGAGCAACTGCAAGCGCAGCACGCTCCACGAGGGCAGCAGCAACAACCGCAGCAGCAGCAAGCACCGGCAGGACAGCCCCGCTCGTGCTCTCGGCACCTTCGTCTCCCAAGATGGCCCCCTCTTCCTCGTCAGCGGCCTCCATCAGGAGGTTACATGCCACCGCCGCACACCTGAACCCAGCACTGGCGTCGACGGCAACTTCGTACCCGACAACGCATGAGAAGATCGCAAAGGTGGAGGACACCCCCTACTTCATCGACAACCAGTTCAGGCCCTCCAATGCCGAGCAGTTCATCGACCTGCATGACCCGGCAACCAACAACCTCGTCACCCGCGTGCCGCAGATGACGGACGCCGAGCTTGAGGCCGCCGTGGCGTCCGCGGAGAAGGCGTTCCCCGCCTGGAGGGACACGACCGTCATCGCGAGGCAGCAGATCATGTTCAAGTTTGTCGCCCTCATCAGGGAGAACTGGGACCGCCTGGCGGCCAGCATCACGCTGGAGCAGGGCAAGACGTTCGCAGACGCAAAGGGCGATGTCCTCAGGGGGCTGCAGGTTGCCGAGGCGGCGTGCGGTGCGCCGGAGCTCCTCAAGGGCGAGCTGCTCGAGGTCGCCAAGGACATGGAGACCAGGACCTACAGAGAGCCGCTGGGCGTCACGGCCGCCATCTGCCCCTTCAGTGAGTCTGGTGCCCGAGCTACGACCGCTGCAGGTGACGCCGCCCACTAACTGCGTCCGTGATAGACTTCCCGGCCATGATTCCCCTCTGGTGCATCCCCATCGCCACCGTCACGGGCAACACCCTCGTCCTGAAGCCCTCGGAGCGTGACCCTGGCGCGGCCATGATCCTCGCCGAGCTGGTCGAGAAGGCCGGCTTCCCCCCCGGGGTTGTCAACATTGTCCATGGCGCCCACCGTACCGTCAACTTCATCCTGGACCACCCGGCCATCAAGGCCATCTCATTCGTCGGCGGCAACAAGGCCGGAGAGTACATCTTCAGCCGGGGCTCAGCGAACGGCAAGCGTGTCCAGGCCAACCTGGGCGCCAAGAACCACGCCGCGGTGCTCCCCGACTGCAACAAGAACCAGTTCCTCAACGCGGTCGTGGGCGCCGCGTTCGGCGCCGCCGGCCAGCGCTGCATGGCCCTCTCGACGCTCGTCATGGTCGGCGAGACCAAGGAGTGGCTGCCCGAGCTGGCGGAGCGCGCCAAGGCGCTGAGCGTCAACGGCGGTTTCGAGCAGGGCGCCGACCTGGGGCCCGTCATCTCGCCCCAGAGCAAGGCGCGCATCGAGGGCCTGATCGCCAGCGCCGAGGAGGAGGGCGCCAAGATCCTGCTGGACGGCAGGGGCTACAAGCCGGCCAAGTACCCGAACGGGAACTGGGTTGGGCCGACCATCATCACGGACGTGACGCCAGACATGAAGTGCTACCGCGAGGAGATCTTCGGGCCGGCGCTGGTCTGCCTCAACGTCGAGACGCTGGACGACGCGGTGGACCTGATCAACTCCAACGAGTACGGCAACGGCGTGGCCATCTTCACGCGCAGCGGAGCCACGGCCGAGACGTTCCGCCGCAACATCCAGGCCGGCCAGGTCGGCATCAACGTGCCCATCCCAGTGCCCCTGCCCATGTTCTCCTTCACCGGCAACAAGAGGTCGGTCGCCGGCGGCGGCGCCAGCACCTTCTACGGCAAGCCGGGCATCAACTTCTACACCCAGCTCAAGACGGTCACGGCGCTCTGGCAGGCGGGCGACGCGGTCAGCAAGAAGGCTGACGTGGTTATGCCCACGCACAAGTAGGGGTCCATATTGCATGCATGAATCCAAGATTGAAAGCTATGACGGTGTGATTCTTGCAACCTTTGCTAGTGATGTATGTTGACAAGACAAGCCTGGTCACCGAATGAGACTCGAGGGCTGTTCCGTGTCAACGAGTCATCACAATGCTCACATTCGATGATGAGACCGGTGAGAAAGTGGTCTAAAGACGCCGCCAGCAATCACACCTGTAGAGAGCCAAAGGCATTCACACAAAAGAAAAATGCGCTGCTGGGTCCAATTTCAAGTACATGGATGGACCAGCCAATGTTGCGATCGCACTCGGCGGGTGCGTCATTGCCGAGAACCGCCGCATTGAATTGGCCGGCGTCGGCAACTACGGTTCCGTCCGCAACCAATACGGCCAGCCAGCCACTTAAACCCCTTTCCCTTTGAGGCTATCACCCTCTGTGTTTTTCAACGGCATGACTTGGACCACGAAGCTTTGCGTGACTTCTCACCCTCGCTGCTGCCACTGCCTGCCCTCATATCAGCGTGCCCCTGCGCAACAAGACTATATCGGCTAAATGCCCGTCCTCCCGGGCGACGTGGACTGATGTTGCCGACCCGAGGTACCTTCTTCGAATGGACCGCTGCTCTTCTGAGCCATTACTCGATTTTCCCTTTTGGACTGACGGCCAAAAGGAGAAGTCGGCCTCTTCATCGCACCGGTTTCCCGGCAACAGATGCCGGCTTATTTTCCTGGCAGCCGTTGGCTACACCCTGTTCTGAACAGTCGGCGTCAATGTGTTCATCCCCTACCTTGAATTCCTTGTGAAGAGATCTCATCATACCGCAGACAACACAAGGGAGCGGTAGACGCCCCGCTCAAACCCTACCATGGACATCGTCGAACTCCCCCGAGACCTTTTTCTCTTGGTGGTAGCGCATCTATCCGCGCGTACTCTCGTGCTCTGTCGACGCGTCTCCCAAAACTGGCATGGCGCCTTTACGGACCCGGACCTGAACCTCCAGCTCCTGAAATGGCGCTTCCCACGATGTCGCGAGATGCGGGTTGCGTACTTGGCCGGAGCACTCGGCAGGCCTGGACTTGCGGGGCCCGAGGAGGTGCAGGATATGGCACACGAGCAAGGTGGCCAGCCGCGCAAGGCTGAGACTGGGGGGCCCGGAACTGGCTTGGGGGCTTCTTGGTCTCCAGACTGGACGTCGACCTTCGCCAGCGTGGCCAGGAGGTACCACCACCTTCGGACAGCCACGCCGGGGACCATCGAGGCGATCAAGCTGGGTTCCACCGAGCAGGGCCCGTCCAGGATGTTCTACCCGGTAGCAATATGGGACCGCTTTCTCCGTCTGGACGACAAGACCGCGCCCTTTCACTACCCAGACCCGGCCTGGTCATACAGTCAGGATGACGGGCTCTTGGTGTACCATTCGACTGCGCATGAGGAAACAGACGGTGCGGACCAGCAGGCAGCGCCCTGCCCCTGGCGCCTCCTCGACCTTGAGACAGGCCGGGAGGTTGTGGTTCCTTTCCCGCAGGGCGATGACCGCATCGTCCGACGTGTGCGACTTTCCAACAGTGTCCTGGTCCTGGAGTGGTGCGAGCGGGACGCGTACCACCAGCTCAACGACCGGGAGGAGTGTCACCGGCACTTTGTCACCGTCTTGGATGTTTTACGGGAAATGAAGGGCGGCGAGAGGTTACCAGAAGGCCACAGGACCGCGGTCGGCGAGATGGCGTGGACGGTCAGGCACCGGTGCCAGTTCAAGACACACTTCTTAGGCTTCCCATTGAACCGACACGACCGATTTTTCTCGGCACATACGGCCACGCACTATGCGGTGTACGTATGGCAGCCCAACCGCTCGCTCTACAACGATGACCCGATCGAGAGCGTCATCGTCTGGGATATCTCGGCCCGGGGCCAGCCGCGGACGATCCGGCGCATCACATGGGATACCCTAGCCTTCTACGGTGTGCGACAAGGTTCAACGCCGACGCTGAGGTCGCTCGGGATGGATGAGACAAATTTGTACTTCATCGAGGAGGAGCACCGCTGGGCAGAGGGCGGCCACAGCAGCCTTGTCCCGCCGAGGGTGCACCTCGTTCGCAGCACGGGCATCCCCGTCGTCGTGCCCGAGCCCGAGCCGAACGGCACCGGCTCTGCACACGCAGGGCACGACGATGCTGCTGCCCGAGGCGACGGTGCTGAGATTATCATCTACGGCCCGCGGTGGGTTGACCAGTGCGGAACCAACACAGACGTCAGCATGCCGTTCTGCACGCGTAGAAACGACGCGCGGTTCGGCGGCATGCTCCAAGACCATCACCAGCAGCAGCACAGAGTGGTCTCCGGCGGCGGCGGAGACCGGGATGGAGAGCGGCCCGCTGGCCCGGGCACGTGGGACGAGAACGGCACCAGTGGCGGCGGCAGCAGCAGCAGAAGAAAGGGCCTCGCAGGCGAGATCGAGACGGGCATCGCGGCGGGGACGACCCGGTGGCCCGGTTGGGCGCCCTGCTGGCGGCACGAGGACTTCCCCTACTTGAGCGTGGGCGAGGTCGTCGACTTCCGGGCCGGGGTGCGCATCACGGCGCGGCACTGCTTCATGCTCGAGACGCTGAGCGTGCACGTGCGGCCGTCCATCAGCGTGGTTGAGCTCGGTGTCGGCGGGGAGGACGAGGTCGGGCAGGACGAGGGCGAGTCGAGCAGTGACGAGGGCGCGACCTCGCTCGTCGGCGCCGACGCCTCGGCGGTGGCCGGGATGGACAGGCTGGAGAGGCAGTTGAGGGCTGGCATGGCGAGGAGGAGGCTCCGGGAGCGCAATGCCAGGATTGGCGGTGGCCGACGGAAGGCCGCCGGTGATACAATGGACGGCGAGGGCGAGGGCGAGGGCGAGGGCGAGGGCGTGCAGGATGAGGTGCAGTTCGCAGATGACATGTGGGATAAGCTGCTTGGGAAGGGCTGCATCAGCGGTGATGAGAGGTGGCTGATCGGCGAGGACGGCAAGGGGACGCTCTCTGTCGTCCGTTTCTAAGGACTGGCGTGAGGGCGAGGCGACGTTTGTAAGGACCAGACGGACGCCAATTCCGAGTACCAGCGTGGAAGGACGGTGGTTGGAATATGATCTGCCACACGATAGAGCACGACACAACAGAGCCAGGAGGGGTCGAACAGGATAGACATTTAGACACTGCATATTCAAAGACGAGGAAGATGCACAGGCGAACTATGCTGTTTACAAGCCTGCACACTCGTGAGCACCCACTTTCCCTCGGAGTGAACGCGACCGAGGTTGTTTGAAGTCATCATCATTATCGTCATGGCTAGCTGCGAGTGAACGCCCCCAAGTCTAGGATAGCCGACCCAAAGAAAAGTCTGTCACAGAATGAGAGTGAGTTCTTCCCCCTGTTCCGCCTCAGAGCTGTGAACACAAAACACACGCGGGATTGGTGTCTTCTCGCCCGACCCGACAGCAACGCCATGCTAATTTGTCCATACTGTGGGAATGAATTTCCCAACGCCAAAACTGTGCCTATACATGCAGGAGATTGTGTGCGTGTTGATGACCATGTCGAGACCAGATCGTCTCCCGTTTGAACTTTCCCCCGGAGCAGATACCGAACTCATACACTTGCCTGCTTTAAGCAGAGCTCCTATTCACCACCGACGACGCGATCGCCAAGCCTGTGATCAGCATCATCGCCCTGGGGAACCGCCCCGCGTCCCCAACGTTCTGCTCCTTCGGAACGTCAAGGCCACCATGCCTTCCGTTCTCCTTGGCCCTTGGCTTGGCCTTTGACCTCTCTCGCGCTTTGAGTTCCTTGCTCTCCTTCTTGCTCAGGGGCCTTGGCGTCTTGCCCTGCTGGTGGGGCAGGTGCCCGTGGTGCGCCCCGGGGAAGATGATAGAGCTGATGCTTTTCTTGTGGTGCAGAAGGTGCAGCGACTTGCGGTGTGGCGTCGCCGGCCGCGGCCGCGGCGTCTCCTCGCTATCCTCGCCTGCTTTGTCACCCGGTCGTGCGGCCTTCTCGCCGGGGGTACGCTCAGCGCCGAGCATGGGCGCCGTCGACGGCCTGTCGAAAGCGTGGCTGCCCGTCAGCGCGCCTCGGATGCCAAAGTCTGCCCACCGGGACTCGTGAAGGCCCAGGATCCCAGCTGTAGGCGTGCCCAGCCGTTTCGGAGACCCGGGACGCTCTGGGGTGCCGAGGTCATGGTCCGATAGCGACGGGGCCTGCTGGATCGTGTCTACGGAATCGCTCGACTGCCTGGCTTCGGAGACATAGTCCTCCCATTCTGATGACGAGGACTGGAAGCTGGCCCTGCTCTGGTTGGCGGTGGAGCCAACGCTGGCGAAGACCGGCAGGGGCGGGAGAAGAAAGCCGCCCTTCAAGTCATCGGGGCAAGTGGTGGGCTTTACTTGGACTGTCGGCTGACGGAATCCATCCGGCCGGAAGTCGCTCTGGGTCGGCGTTCTCTCTGCGAGCGCTGGCCTGGCAAGCACGTCTTGTGGCGGTGTTGTCGGCGTTGGTGCAGTAGAGTAATCCGAAGGAGAGAGAATATCGATCGCCTGAACGGGGCCGTGCAAGCCCGAAACTACGGTACTCGGGACGTCCAGGACTCCGACCCGGACACCGTCTTTGACTAATGGCTCTGAGGTCATCGTGGGATTCGAGTCGTCTGGTCGGGATTGCTGTCTCTCTGAGCAAGACAGGCCCGGCAACGTTGATTCAGGCCCGAGGTGCTTGCACTCGCCGTCGGATGTTCCAGTGCCTTCGGGGCTCTGCGAGATGCCGCGCCCTGTTTCTGAGTACGGCATCATGTCTTGAGACTCGCAGACTTCACCAAGTTGCAGGCTCGGTGCGGAGCGTCGCAGGTCCCCGAGGGCCCGAGGACTACGAGGTTCCTCCGAGTCCGTACCCTCCTCTTCTGCCTCGAAATAATCCATCTTGGATCTTGACAGATCATCCCCACCCCTCAGATCCCTCGTCTCTGTTGCGTCCGTGCTACTCGGCGAGGCTGCTTCAGAGATCTGTGGGGGCTCTGAGTGGCCTGTTCCCTCTTGGCGCACAGTAACAGGGGCGACGGCTGGTTGACAGACTTGACGCAGCAGCAGCTTCCCATCGATGGAATCCGGGTCAGCGGTTGGCTGCGGGGCCGGACATCCTGACCCAACAAGCACATCGCCTAGAACCTGGGCCGGCGTCCTTGGCGTGCCAGACGATTCGCATTCAGTGACAGTGGCGGCAATTCTGGGATATTCAGTGTTGTCTGGGACAGAGCTGTCTGACTCGTGATCGTTTTCGACGCAATGCAGTAGCCATCCTTCATATTGGAGATGGCGTCGTGTAGCCTCTGAGGACTCGCATCCTGATCGGTCGTAGTTGGGGCCTGCTGGATCTGTACCATTCATAGTGCCCAGGCCGGAGCTCATCTCATCAGGACTGGTTGGACTCGTCACGCTGTGCATTTCTGAGGCGCTGTCAGCTTCCTGTGAGCATGATTGGTCTTCGACAGAGCCGACTTCTGTGCAGGTTGAAGTCTCGGTGGACTTCAGGGCCCCGTCGGAGCCCGAAGTAGGTGAATTGTCTTCCCCTGGGTCAAAAGCAGGTGCGGTTGAGGTGATTGGCGTCTTTGGCAACGTGAGAACTTGAGTACCGGAGAGGCTGGCTGGCTGGTACGTGGGCTCCGACAGGTCTGTAGTTGCCAGAACCAAAGGGCTCGATGGTTCACCGTACCCATAGTCGTTGAAGAACTGGCCTTGTGACTTTGGTGACGAGTGTCGGACTTGGGAAGGTGTAATTAGTAGGCTCTGCTCAGGGGTGGCCGTCTCGCTCTCGGTGAGCGCTGGCACGGAGGAACAGGTGGACCTTGACGAGCTCGAATCGTCATAATCACCCTCGCCGTGCTTAAAGACTTCAGCTGCAGGGATCAGAACAGGCGATGCCTCCTCATGGACGGGATTCCCATGCTGGCTCTGACCGTCGACGACTCTGTGAGCTTTGTCCATGGTCAGAGAGGCCACGCTGGTAGCTTCGTCAAGCAGACTTCCGTCACTGGCCGAGTCGACGGCAATGGCCGAGTCTTGCTCTGACGGCGTGGACAAGAGCCCCTCGCGTCCTCTGTACTTGGCAGGGACGAGTGGGAAAACACGCATTGATGTGCTTCTGGGTGAAACAGAGGGGAGCACAGGCGGTCGGGAGAAGTGGCCTGGTGACCCTGGAGGTGTGTTGGACGTGGTATGGTTGGCTTTCATGGGACTGCGAACTCTTGGCAAGACCGGCTCATCGGAGACTGTAGCACGGGGTGTGAAAGGGCGAGACGGTGGATACCGTGGTCGTGCTACGAGTTCAGGGGAGGACGGCGCCTCAGCGACATTATCAAGGCTGCATGTGTCCTTGCAAACAAGGTCGATGTCAGCCTGGATGCGTGCTTTCAGGTGCGCCACAAACAATGCCTGCTCGTCCTCCGGGATTGTCGGCGCAAAAGGGCCTGCAGACGGCTGGTGGTTGCGTGAGATGAGAGCTTTGTCGAGGACCAGATGCCCTTGTTTGTGGGCGATCATACGGACTGCAACATCGTGCCCCCGCAGGACATCGCCAACGCCCGTCCGTATGCGTTCAAGCAGCGCCTCGATGGTCCGGCGAGTGTGGCGTGTCTTGCTGTCGAGGATGAAGCGGGCCGGATTCTTGATTCGCCAGCCATGACCGATGAGTTCTGTAACTCGGAGGTCAAAGTCGTTCAGTGCCCCCAGCTTCGCGTCCGCCTTGTCCCTCAGCTGGTCAAATCTTTCATGGACGCTGCGCACAAACTCATCACAGTCGTTTCCACAGACATGCCTGAACAGCTGCAGGCGGCTTTGAATGTTGCGATGCAGGTGCTCGTAGCGGGGCCCAAGGTTGTTCACGACGCGGAGGTCGACGTTGAGGGCGTCTGCGTCGTAATGCCGGCAGTCGCAATCCAGAACGCCCTCGAACCCATCACAGTCTGCGTGCTCAATCTCGAAGGCAGTCCTCCTGGAGTCAAGCATGTCCTCGAGCGTCCTGTAGGCTTGCCAGAGTAGCGTTTCGCCCTGGCCGAGGTTCAGGGGTGCAGCCTGTTTGCTGTCGACCTTCACATTGCGCGTGATGAGTGCTTGTCGTCTTGACGGATTGCGGCTCTTGAATACAAGTTCGAGAGTGAATCCAGGAACAAACTCCCAAGCCTGTGTTGACTCTATCAAACGAGAGCGAGGCACACAAGCAAGATCTGGAGCACCAGCCAGGGAAGGCTTGAAGGTTGATGGTCTGCCATGGAAATCTTCATGCGCGGGCTCGTCCGTCCATCGAAAGTGCCGGTCATGGTGTCGAAGAAACAGGCAGATGATGCTGTGCGTCGAGCAAAGTATGCTTTTGGCCCACGTGCTGGTGACTGGGTGTTTCTGGTAGGACTTGAAGGTCCTCTCAGCCCATACTCCAGGAAAGCCATCACGCCGAAGTTGGTAGTTGATCTCGAACCGGGCCTCCTGGCGGAGCCTCGTGTTCAAAGCCTCGGGGTCATTCCGTGTGATGAGTTCGTTGCTGCAGTGCTCGATTCTTTGCAACAGCCCGCGACATATCCTGTCGGTGGGCTCAAAGGCTGCTGAACTGGAATAGGTTCGATTGTAGTACAACGGGGTGGCAGCCGGGTCCAGAAACCTGACGGTGACCTTGACCTTGAGTGGGGCGTTGTCAAAAACAAAACCGCTTTCCTCCTCGATTGGCGACAGCAAGCCCCCGAGGGTCATGTTGGCGTCGTTTCCACTGGAGGATCTGGATGAAGAGACGAAGACGGAGTCATCACGGCCGGATTTTGAGAAATCGAGGGTCTGTAGGTGTGGACCTCGCGCCCGGAATCGATCGGACGCGTCCCAGGCCATCCTTGAAATTAATGCGAACCGTGGTCAATGCTATATGGAATATGCTGGCAAAGGGTGTGTACCGTGTAAGGTCGTGATTCAGCACCGGCTATTCTCGTCTGCTGCACCTGAGATGATTTAGGGTACAGAGTAGCCTATCGCGTTTCTTGGGTCGTTGAAGTGAGAGAGGAGAGAGTGTGTGCGCGTGACTGAGTGTTTGATTGTGTATACAAAAAGTTGATAAGCCACTAGGGACAGGAACAATGTAAACAAGATATAGGCTCCATCTGGGCGGCTTCGTTGGGGTATGATTACACTTGAGAAGTGTACAAGGGACGATAGGGACGCATCAATGCGTGTAGAACACGGCGCGTGGGACACGAGAGGTGGGAAACAAGGAGGGCAAGATGGGTATATGTGTTCGGCCTAAGTAAACACGGAGATTATGGCGAGGCTCATGCGACCGAGACCTTTTCCATGACCACATCAGAGAGGCCGTCCTATCATTCATTCGAATGAGCGATGGTTTCTTGTCCTCTACATATACCAATGCCTTTGTTTCCTCCTTCCGTCCCAGCCGAAGGGCGATGGGCCCCACCGAGTCAACAGGAGCAACGAGGTCGTGCCTGGGCAGCCGGCTGTGGGTGCTCGTGCGTGGGGACAGACGTGCATTGGTGGGCGGGTGGGGACTGCCCAAGCAACCGGGACAGGCCGGGGTAACGAGAAGCAGGCGTGCAGTCGGGTAGTGTGGCATGACGCCGGGCCGCGAGGTTCAGGCCGCGGCCGTTTGACGTGGCATGACACAGTCTAAATTAGGTGGCGACGTGCGACTTGGCGCCACCTGGGAGTGAGCACTGGAGAGGACGAGATGGAGGTGGGCATCCTGATAATCCCGAGTAACAGCTCTGATTTGATTGACCCGACGCACGGCGATGGGGCCCACGGGGCCAGACGGGGACATGCTGCAAGCACTCAGACATCTCTCTCTCTCTCTCTCTCAAAAGCATCTTGTCAGATGCGGGTTCATGCAGTCCGCTGTGTGGCCGCGAGTGGCTGGGCAGCTGGGGCCGACCTGCTGTTGCGTGTTGCGGCGAAACAGGTCGTTGTTTGGGCACAGCTCGAGGGCGAAAATGGATGGTTTCAATTCGACCTTGCCGAAGGCCCCATCCGACCCAGGCTGGTTGGCCCGTCTCATCTCCCGCTGGTCAGCTATCAGGCCTCATGGTACGGGCCCCAGTTCGATCATTGACTGCGCTGGGAGATGAGGGTGCGATCGCATGAAGAAAGAAACGTCATCACGCGAGCGCCAAAGGCAGAGGCTATGTGCCTAGCAAGCCTAGGTAGGTAGGTACCACCTGGGTAGGGAAGAGGGGAGAAATCGACCTGTCAGGGCAGCAGACACGGTGGGGCCACTTTGTCTCTCTCTCACACACACTTACACATCCGCAGTCCCGATTCTGCGGGGGCGGAGCTCGAATCAAGTACGGATAAAATGGAGCCACTTCACTAGAGCAGGCCAGGCAGGTTGGCAGGCTGGCTTGCGAGTGACGAGGCTGCGGCATACACCCATCAGCCCATCTTTGCCTTCCATCAAGCCGCTATGATGCAGGTAATCTCTCCTCCGGCTTTGGTGGGGTGACCTTCATCTGCCGCACCTCAAAGGCAGGGAAAGGGCATGTGTCTCAATCCTATGGCCGGGGGCATTATTAGCCAGGAAACAAGGTAGAACGTCCAGTTGCAAAATTGGGAATTGCTGTCAGATACACCACAAATGTAGTCCTGTCTCTTTCGAGGTGTGTCGATTACCGGGTGCCTGTACGCCCCACCATGTTTTCGAGAGATACTTGGAACTCTTGTAAATTCTGCAAGTCGCTGCGCTGTTCTTGAACCTCGCTGTGGCAAAAGGCATCGCTACCAATCCGTCAGGTCAAACTGTTCGGTCCAGGGCCGCCATGTCTCTTTACTGCCCCTTCACCCGATATACTCCGTCGTCACCATCTCATCCCAAGACCCACCGCTCTCCCACACCTTTTCGACCAGTTCCTTGGCCCTGGAAACCTGCAGGAACCCGCTGCGGGCCATGCTTCCGAGCCTCTCACGTATCCTGGCCCTTCGCGCCTCGTCGGCGAATGTCTCGCAGGCGGCCGTGAAGAGCGGAAACAGCAGGCTGTTCTCAGCGCTCCCCCCGAGCGGCACGCAGTCGACGCACGCGTGTATCTTGAGCACCGCCGCCTGCACGTCCTCGTGGCTCGATGGCTTGCCTAGCACCCGCCGGTGCAGGTGGACCAGCCCGGCCCAGTGGTATGCCTCGTTGAGCGCCGCTATCTCGCGCCCGTCCCACCGGACAACATCCCCCGACGCGTGCAGATGCTTGCACGGCTGCGGCGGTAGGATCATGCTGCGCTTGGCCTCGTCCTCCAGTTCCCACGCCCGTGTTATTATCTCCTTGGGCGGCCGCCACTCCCTGCCACTGGGCATCCCGTGTGGGTGCGGCAAGGGCGGCTCCGCTGCGCCGACGCCGCCGCCGTTGCTGCGTAGTGCGTCGCACGCCTTGACCAGCTCCGCCACCTTGGCCAGGATGTAAACCCCTCGGGTCGTCATCCCCATCAGGCAGTCGATCTCGTCAAACTCCTCCTCGTAGTCATCCTTTTGGTAGTCCAGGATCCACGCCGTCGAGCTCTCCCTCCGGCCCCCGCTCAGCGTGCCCAGCACATCCAGGAACGCCAGCCAGCTCCACAGGAACGCGCGGACCTGGTCCTCCTGAGTCCACCGCCGCGACCAGCGGATCCCGTCCGGCCTCGAGGCGATGAGCTCGCGCGCAAGCCCCAGGTGCCGCTGCCACGGGATCGTGTAGCCGAACGCGGTCGGGCTGACTATCTCGAGAGACGCCAGCAGGATGCCGGTTGCGATGTTGGCGTTGGATATCTTCTGATTCGGGTCGTTCAGGGCGGCTCGCAGGGCTGGGAATATGTCCTGCACCCAGTGTGCTATCCGCATGGCTGGCTCTGGCTGGTCCAGCAGGTGCGCGCGATGAGAAGCTGCAAGAGAGTTTAGCTTGGAGTACTCAAACCTGCTTGTTGCGGGCACGAAGACCACGGGAGGGGGCACCGACCAGAGTACGCCAGCATGAGGCTTAGCAGGTTGTCGTTCTGGACGGCCATCATTGGCAGGACATGCCTGTACGGGTTGGATTGCTCGTCGTCGTGAGGCACAAGCGCCTTGGCAGTGTGGTTCATGAAGTGGTGGAAGTATAGCAGGTTCATTGGGTTGTCGCGCAGCTTGGATGGCAGGGGCTCCAGGTCTTGGGGGATCCGGACTGGCATGGGGCGGTTGTAATACCCTCGTGGCCTCGTCACGCTCATCTCTTCTGTCCTGATGGATTCAACCGCCTTCATGTCATCCTCGGCAGTCGAGTCCCCGAATGACTTGATGATGGCGTGGGCGTCGTCGTTCTTGCCCAGGTCGAGGTCCCTGAAACCAGGGTCGACACCGTAGTATGTGGTGACCTGCGACAGGCACAGGGTGGTCGTGGCATTGACCGCCCTCTCGGATGGTGGTGCGTACTGCCGTGCCACCGGCCCAGGAGGCCCAGAGAGAAGCGAGTTGACTGACATCTTCCGGACTTCTGGAGACCCTAGCATCCCGTGACTGGATGAGGCCCGACGCCCTCCGTCACTGTACGGCGAGGAGGCAGCTGGTGTCAGCGGCGACGAGGCCGTGGTGGTCGTTGCAAGCCCGTTGCTGGTGATGCTGGGGAATACGTGGGGCGTGGCGCTTGCGGAGATGGATTCGGTCGGCGACGAGATCTGCGAAGGTATATCGAGGTCGACGCTGTATTTCAGACGCTTGGTTGGAGGCGGGCGTACCATCCCGCTGTTACTGCTTTCTGAGGGGGTGGCGTAGGCCGGGGCGATGGAATTTGGACGGCTACTGTGAGGCTGGGGAAGCAATAGTGCCGGGCCGGAAAAGCCAGGCGGGCAGAACGTTGCCTCGTCCGATTTGTTGCGAACATGATCTCCGGGCTGAGCAGCAAAGACGCTCGACGGCGGGAACGAGGCCTTGGAATCTGTGCCGAGAGACGGGCCCGCCGTGGGCCCGGGGCCTGGGGAGCTGTCTTGTTCAGCAGTCCGGAAGCTGCTCGTCGACGGTGACTGCCCTTCTGCCGTGCGTGGCGCCGTCGCTGCTGACGAACCATCAGATGGACGCCGCGCACCTTGTTGTGAACTCGAAGGAGATCCCGACGGGACCTGGAACAGGATGGTCTCGAAGCCGGGGTTCTTCTTTTTCCTCCCCTCCCAGTTGAGCTTGATGCTATAATCACAGGTCTCACCTGTGCGTTCACAGCTGCTCTACGTCAGGATGATTGTTCCGCAGGCTCGCAATAGTTGGCATGACAACATGGCTTGACAGTTATCCTTGCCCTCCACTTGGATGAGCCGCTCAGCTTGCTGTAGCCAGGAACCGCACTTCCGTACGGCACCCCGTGAGTCTGCAGCCAATAGCAAGATATCTCGAGCTTCCAGAAGCCCTGAGATTTCTTCTGTGTGTAGGTAGTGGGCCTTGCATCTTACTGCTGCAAGCTCACTCAACTGGCCACTGAGCGACGTGCCGGGGGTGTTTCGGACAGCATGAAAAAGCAGGCGAGGCTGTTATACTTTGCGCATTGAGGCTTCTCTTCTCCACATTTCACCTTCCTGGCTTTACACGGCCTGTGGCGCGTCATCAGCATCCTGTCCGTCCGCAAGTTCCAGGGGGCTGCAAAGCTCACCAACAGCCATTCCTGCTCCGTTTCTTGGGTTCCGGCGCACCCGGCCTCTTGGGTCGAGGCATACCTCGGAGCGGGCGTGGCCTGGTCTGTCGTCGGTGTCGTCCGCTTTTTGTCGCTCTACTGCTGGCGGGCCAATTAAAGCGGGGTTACAGCTGGGAATCCCCATAGTCCACCTCGTCCGTTGTTGCCCTTCCGTCGGTTGGGGCAAGGTCACGATGGGTCGGTGAACGAGTCTTCGGCTTGCCAAGAGCAATCATTTGCCCAATGACATAACGAGTATCAAGGCCGGCTGGCAGGCATGCAAGAACGTTTTGAGGCTCACGCGTGAAAGAAGGATGAAGAAGGGGTCGGGCCGCATAGGGAAAAGGGAAATCCAATGGGCTGGCAGTGATTGATTCAGGCGCCGGACAGCCCCTTGCAAAAAGGGCCCTTGGGATGAGATAAGGCTAATACGCGGCAGCTTTGTGGATCCCCCGCCCAAGGCGGCACTTGGCCAGGATCCAACTGGGAGCTGTGCCGTCACGTGGGGTTGCAACGATGCAGTGTGCCGCTCCGGAGGATGATGCTTGAGGATGATAATAAATGTGCAGCCAGCTACATGCACGTACTCTGTCTTTTGGGGGCCGTTCCGGACTACAGTGGCTGGTGGCCATTATTGGCACAAGGCGAGGAACAGGGCCGCCAAGTTGCCGTGTGGATCGCGTGCAGGTGCACGCTGCAGGTGTCCGACGGGCCGATGATGTCTAGATTCAAATCTATGCGATGTCGATGTTGAGAATCTTGATATCCTCCTCCGGCCGCTCCTTGTGAGTCCGGGTGTTCTCGATCTTGTGTATGACATCCAACCCCTGGACAGCACGCCCGAAAATAGTGTGCTTGTTATCAAGCCATGGCTGTTTAGACCGTTAGCCTTACGGATCCCTCTGGCTGGCAGTTCGCGAGGGGGCGGTACTTACTGTCTTTTCGGTAGTGATAAAGAACTGGCTCGCATTCGTGTTGGGTCCAGCGTTGGCCATGCTGACGGTATAGGGCTTGTCATGCTTCAGACTGCTGAACTCGTCCTCAAATTCCCGGCCCCAGATACTCTCGCCACCAGTACCGTCACCCAGCGGGTCTCCACATTGAATCATAAATTTCCGGATTACGCGGTGGAAAATTGTGTTGTTGTAGTAGCCGCTCTTGGAATGCGTCACGAAGTTCTCTACCGCTTTGGGTGCGGCGTCGGGGAAAAGGCGAATGTGGATATCGCCGTAGGTTGTGTGTATAATAGCCGCAGTGCCACTCTCCTTTTGCTTTTCTCGCCCTGCTTTTTGCTTCTTGCCTTCTCCCGTGGGCTTCTCGTTCTGCACGTCCCGAGTGCTCTTGGAGATCTCTTGTTCATTAGTGAACATGTAGAAGCGATTCTTTCCCACTCCCGTGGCGAAGATGATGGGGTCTCTGGCTTCCGACTCTTCCAACAGTGGATTGCTCGAGGCGGCCATCGCAACGGTGGTGACGCCCTTCTTCTGCGGGGCGCCCTGGTAGATGGCCAGGCCGAGCGCCCGGAGCTGCTCGTCTTTGCCAAACACCTTGACCACCTGGTTGGTGTAGGTGTTGAGCACCTTGATCCCCACCATGGACCCGTAGATGATGAAGTGGCCCGACTCGTCAAATACTACCGCAGCCTTCTTGCGGTGGGCCGGTGCCTCAACCTCCCGCTCAATGGCGAGCCGCCTCCCAAACTCAACCGCGTCTAGCTTCTGCAGAGCCGTGCCAGCCTGCTGCATCTCCTCAATGACCTGCAGCGACTCGTCGTACGTCCTGTACAGCTTTGCCGTGGCGAAGTCGAATATCCTGATCTTGCGGTCCGGCATCGACCATGTCACAAACTGATGCCCTGACGGGGATATCGTTAGAGAAGTCGGGACAGACTTTGCCTTCTTGAAATCGAACAGATTTGTCGAGCTCTTGTACTGGAAAACATTATCCGGCTTCTCGTAGGAACCGCTGGGCCTCCAGTACTCCACCATACCGCCCTCGTCCGCCGACACCACACAGTCGTAGGCATCGTTGAATGCCATCAGACCCACCACGCTCCGATGCAGGCCTTTTATCGTATGTATCGGCTCCTGTCTCTCGCCCCTGCCGTCATACAAGTGAATCACGGGCGCGCCCGCATCCGCGACTGCAAGCAGAGGCAGGCTTGCGCCCTTCTTGTGCACCCAGCACACACTGCTCGGAGCGTAGTCCAGTGGCAGCATGGAAAGGAGGTCGAATGTGATGACGTCGAAGATCTTGATGGTTTTGTCGTCTCCTGCCGTCGCAAAGCTCCTGCCGTCGGCGCTGCACGAGACGGACCGGATCTCGCCCTGGTGGGATTTGAACTCCTTCACAAACTCGATTCCCTCGGCTACCTTCTTCCAGAACTTGACGACACCGTCCACCGAAGACGTTATCAGGAAATCCGTGTGGGGCGTCATGGTCACAAAGGAGAGCTGCTCCTTGTGCATCAGGGATTTCGAGTAGCGGGTTGATTTGGGCAAGGCAGATACGTAGAGCTTCTCGTACGGAAGGACGCGGCGCTTCTTCTTGGGCGCAGCTGCAGAGGGGAGCTGCGGGCCCATGTCATCGTCGGATGAGCTGTCTGAAGTCACCCTCGTCAGTCTGTCTGGAGCGACAAGAGCCCGTGGGAGCTGCACCTACCCTCGCCCTCAAACTCTGAGCGGTCTCGCTTCTGCGACCTGACATCTTCGTCTGGGCTCACCTCTGCCATGTTTCCGGACCGGGCTGCGACGCGTATTTGAAAGCCTGGGAGGGGTCCTTGGGGGGCAGAATCCCGTGTCTCGACTCCTAGAAGTTGGGTTGGGCGGATCGCGGTTCCAATGGGAGCTCTGGCCCATGGCTTTTTTGGGGCCTTGGCTCTTATCGATAGAAGCGCCAAGCTCCCGCCAACTGGGGCCGAGACGGCATTGACCAACGGTCTTACAGCGTGCGAATACCTAGCACATTACCCAAGTACCTAGGTGCTTGAGTACCTTGGTACTTGGCATGGGTTTACTCCAGGGTCCTAAGCGCTGTGGTGCCAGGCGCTAGGTATAGGGTCTGTAGGCTCGCCCTAGCATCGTGATCAGCAAAAGAGTAACCTCTTCAGTTGCATATGTTCTAGTGTCCCTGCACTTTGTTCTGCATACGACTGACTTGGTGAATTGCCAAGCCAACTTTTAAATGCCTGCTAGTTGTACACAGCTACTCGAGATATACAGTACACACTTTGAAAGATTCGTCAGATTCAGTGTCCATTTCCCACATTCCCATCGTCCAACTTCGAGTCTCATTATTCTCATACAATTAAGAGCCATGGCTTCGTGCCATTCAGATGCTACGAGCCTGCACTACAGCCTAGTCGCGATCCCGCCACCGGTCGTCCACGAGCTCAATGTCAGAACCACCATGTGATCTTTCGTCGGCCGAGATCGGCCCAAAGGTAACGGTGTTCGTGATGCTCTTTTGGATCCCACCACTGAGTTTGTAGCGAGGGGACTTTGGTGTCATGTAAGGCGGGGGGGTATTCTTGGTGTCTGTGGAGCTGCCGAAGCAGCTCGGGAATGTCCTCTTGAGGAGCGAGCGGACCGCAGGCATGCAGCAGCAAATGATGCTCACGAAGACCTCTAGGACGCTCCAGTACGCCGTCGGTACGTTGTCATCTGGTATCATAGGGCAGCCTGTCAGCTGGGCCATGCATGCCGTGGGTCTGGTGCGTGCTGGGACTTACAAGTGGCATTGGTTGTCGTCGCGAAATTGACCAGGGCCGTCAGCCGCACAATGCTGACGATCGTGATGCTTTGAGGACAGCAGTCAGAACAATGGCTCCGTGAAGAAACATTCCCAGATGGATAGCAGGCATGCTTACAAAAGCCCGACGCTGAACATCAGCACGATCTGGATTCTCTTCTTCCTCCCCATGTTGAGCTTCCACAGCTGCGGTATCGGGAGGAGGATGATGATCAGGTCCAGCACGATGTTGATGCTGGATTGCGCCCACGCAAAGGTGTTGAAGCTGAAGCAGCTGCCTTCTGTCTCCCCGGTCCAGCCCGTCCAGTTGTAGCTGACAGGAGTGCAGTTGAAAAAGGTTGCCAACGCAGTTGCGGGTGAATAGACCAGGCATACACCTATCATGACGAAACAAACCCGTCGGAAGGTCTGGCTAGGGAATACCTTGAGGTACAGCAACAGCATGGCTATCTTGGTCGAGCCAAGTACTATCATGTAGAATACTTCTGAGATCCAGGTGAACTGCAGAACGTCAGCTTTATGCCTGGGTACGTCCTGGCACTCATGGGGCCCGCACCATAATGATTCGGGTTATGTTGTCGTGAGGGATTGTCCATATGTCCCTGCCAAATCCGTATTTGGACACTACAATATTGTCAGCACGCAGAAAGTTGGAGGCTGACCGTTCCGTGCCGGCAACTCACTTGGAAACACAAGGGCTCCGATAACGAGGCAACAGGCCTGGTTCCTTTAGCTTTTGTCTTCACCCAAGGACAAAACATCCTTTAGAAGACTTACAAGTGCCACGACAATAGAGAAATTGGACCAGTTGAGCAGGTGGCCACGGTTGAAGCTGTCAACAAGCCTCATGACAACTGCCACAATGGCGAGTGTCCCTGACACGGCCGTGACGACCGGGCTGATTGCCGTGAGGTCCCGGACGGGCTCTCCGCAGAAGGTTTTTGTTACATTTAAAGCCGCTGGAGGGGCAACAGTGGTCAGAACGAGAAGGCATCCCCGAATCAGCGGACGACAGAAACCTACTCAGAGCTTCACGCGTCGTGCATGCTGCCAGCGTGCAGTTCTGCACCTGTCCGTTCAGCGTGACGTCTGAGCAGATACAAGGGGCGTCTGTCGCATTGCACCCAGACTGTGGGAGGTACGTTGCCAAGCAGTCGGCCTGGGGAGAGAGAGAATTAGCACCTTGAGCTAGTTAGCGTTTCAGTGATTCCGGCTGCTCACCGCACACGCTGGCGTCGTCGAGGCGTCGGCAAAGGATAGCCCGACTAGCCCCCCGAGGAGAAACAGCGCAACAGAAAACGCCCTCATGATGGCTGGAGTTTTGCGTTTTTCACTCCGCTCTCATTGTCAAGGAAAAGACAGAGAAGTTGATGTGCCCGAGGCTTGCGACAGCGGCGGGAAGGAGCCCAAGGTTCGCTGCTGAATATGAATGAGCGAGCCCGGACAAGACTATATCTCCCAGCACGTTGGCATCTGCCGTTTCATACCATGTCACAGTGTAAAATGGCATCAATGGGGGAGGGCCGCAAGGTATCTCGGATGAGCACCTGGAGAATCGAACCCCTGAGCCCCCTTCCGAGCTGCCGAGTCGTTCATGTTGCCCGGGGCTAGGCCATACTCGGTGGTTATCCGCATCCACAATGGCAAGGCCGTGGTAGCATCAATGGGATTCCTGCAGTTGGCCTAGGCCTGATTTCACAATAACCCATCGGATTATAGGATAACATCTCCACAGGCTGGGGTGTGATCCTTTGCCTACACTGTGTGAGCAGGCAAGCCCTGGCCGAGTGGCACGGCTGGGCTCCTGAAGTCTGCGGAGGGGGCAGTTGCAAGTGCCTTAATACAAACCTGAAGACGGCGTGGCGGGGACCAGGTCGGGTCTTCCCGATCTCATATACGAGTCCCCAATACCCTGATCTGCGTAACATTGCTGTGGGACCTGTGCCCTTCTCTACGCGATGCCGGCAGAGCAATCCGGTGGGAGGACGAGTCATGACCCACGCCATTCTACCCTGCCGTGGCAGAAACAGGGTTTCAGGCCATGCAATGGTTCAGCTGCTTTCCCGGGATGTTGGACTTCCAAGCTGCCTGGCCTGCCTGGGTGAAGCCCAGGTCAAACCGTGAGCGCACATCCGGAGATTCATTGTGCGGCCAAGATATGGCGTCTGTGCCTTGAATATTAGTGTGTAGTCGCATCAGCCGCGTGGTGTTGCTTGCTCTCGGAGACCCACAACCACAGTACGACCCCACCCTCCCGTTTAGAGCGGTAGCTTGTCTCCGGCTGCCTGGCCTGGCACTTGAGATTAGCGATGCTTTAGGTTAAAGCCCCTGCCGCTGATCAGATGCTTACACTAGTAGTCTGCGGGGAGGAGGTAATCGTGTAAGAGACTTTGTGCAGCTATTCGCGGCTGTTGAAACACTACTCGGCAACAGAAGCCATCTCCGCGTGCAGCTACACAGTACGTACCAGGCGGCATGTTGCAGCAACTGTATGATGTCCACTTGGACAAGACTGGGGAATACCCGTGGACGGCAGATGGACCTCCACGTGGGCGACATTGAGCAAGGGGCATACGCTGGCCGGCCCCCCGCCATCGCATTTCGCTCCTTGTTCTATCAGTTGATTAAGAGCCCCGATGTTTGTGAGCAGCTCCACGATGAGATTGACCACAGGTTCAGTTCAGGACAGCTCAAGGCAGCTGTGAAGTCCCTAGACGCCATCAAGCTCAACTTCCTCAACGCTTACATCAAAAGAGGCCTTGCGGGTGCACTCGGGAGTGAAGTAGACAACGGGCCGTGTCTGGATGTTCATACCAGCTGACTACTGGGCAGGTATGAGCCCGGCTGTTGTCCACTTTGATGAGTCGACCTTCGGGCAAGACGAAGATGAGTCCCGGCCGGCGAGCTGGCTCGGGCCTGGTGCTCGGCAATGGACCAACACATGCTGCATTTTGGATATGGATCACGAACGTGCATTGTGAAGAATATCTCCCTGGCGGAACTGCGCAAGTTGACACCCGAGGTCTCAAGACGTTTTGAAACGGAGCCGGCGGACAAGAACAGCACGCGGAAGACACGGAACCCGTGGTTATGCACGCACGAGAACGTGACTGTAAGGCTGAAGAAGCGTGATTATCACTGATGGTGGACTGAGTGTAGGAGTCGGGCCGCCTGCGGGTGGGAAGCTTCGGGCCTGATCAGGTGAGGACAAGGCATCGAGACGCACCGACGGCGCCGACGGAACAAGGCCCTGTCCGCTCGACACGATCCGAGCACGCGGGCATCAGCTGCAGCCCGCGAGGACGTCAGGCTTATGTAATTGCTCAGCCGAGGGAGCCGGGGCCTTGGATTGTTCAATCCGAACAGTTCTTGATATCCATCCATGATGCCATCACCAGAACCGCTTTGTTTCCAGTAGAGTTCCTTGCCTGCTCTCCATTTTCGCTTTAGATTTCTTCGCACCACTGCATAGAGCCGCATCGGGGCCGTACAAGACACCCTTCACCCCATAGAGTTCCGTACTCGAAAATATCACCACTCACCTGCCATGGCGCGAAATGGCCACCCCTTGCAAAGACTGGCCTCACCCTCCAGGTCCGTCTCTGCACTCATCCATCTGCTTGGGGTAGCGTCATTCTCGGCATCTTTCAGGTGGCTCTTCCTCTACCCCAGCCCCGAGAATGAAAAGTTCGGAGGGGTGTTTCAATTCTTGACCATCATTGGGTTGGCGCTCTCGTTGACAAGTATGGTCCTGGGTCTCCTCGGGGACCTGACCTTGAGCCCTACGCTGTTCAATGCAAAGAACGTGGTTTCGGTGTGCTCCACCCCTCTGGAGGTCCTCGTCAGCATTCTCTACTGGGGCATCACTCTCATCGACAAGCGTCTCCTGGCCCCCGAGGAGTACCAGCTTCCTTTCTGGCCGGATTTTGGCTTTCACGCAAGTAAGCCACCCCTGAACACCACCCTCGCACCCCTTGATTTCTTCTGGCTATGCAAATGGCCGGAAGCTGGGGGACAGGCCATTTGCTTACTCTCCAGCCCTTGAATGCCCCCCATGACAGACTCATAGCTAATGTCGGATGCTGTAGTGCCAGCAATAATGTTGACCTTGGACCTGCTGCTTCTCAGCCCGCCCTGGACCATCAAGTTCCAGGGTGCAGTGGCTCTCAGCACCTTTTTGGCGTTTGCCTACTGTGAGTTCTATCCACAGTAATAGCCATGGCTGCTGCAGCCACCCGGGGCACTTGGTTCTGTGCAGCAGCAGGCAGAGAGTGCAGCCACTGATAGCGTCCCAGGGGCATGGATCGAATACACCTTCTCTTACAACCAGACGTGAGTGTGGCTGCCCTTTGGAAGTAGACAGCAGGACTGACACAGACCATCAGTTACCCGTACCCCATCTTTACCCTTCTCAGCACGCCTCAAAGGATAGCACTCTTCACATTCTCCGGGCTCACTTGTGCAATCAGTACCATGGGACTGAAATGGTTGTACGGCAAGATCAACGGAAGTGAGTGTCCCTTTCCTCGAGTGTCTTTGCGGTGCATATCTGGGGCAGGAGATACGAGGGCGGGGACCTCGGCCAACTCTGATCTTGTGGTTGGGGGCCCATTCTGGCATTTCTCAATTCTCATTCGTGTATTCATGAAGCCTCTTTTTCTCAGGGTAGGCCCATGGCTGACGATTCACAGTCGAGGAGTTCAAAAGGCAAGCTGCGAACCCGGTCAAGGTGGACTGAGCAATTTGAAGCCAACCACTGCGCTCACCTTGTCGCACGGCACCTATTGGGAACATATAGATGGCTGCCAATTCTTGTGAAGTCACAAAAGGACCAAATGTTACATGTAGGTGTCACAAAAGGCCGCAAGGTGGGTGAACGGGCAAAAAGAAACCTGGGCCCAGGTTGTGACATCTGGTTGTAGGACCACCACTGCTAAACACCCGATTGACGCTAAAATGAGGTGTTGCGCGATGTTGGACTTAGAATACTCTGGTTGTTCCGTTCAGGAGAGGAGCGGATAGGGTCTGTGAAGCTGAAGGGTACCTAGGTACTTGAGTACAGGCTATATATAACCCAGGAGCCCAACAGCTCGAGGCTCACAGCTCCGAGGGGTCCTCTGCCTGCCCCGGCTTTGGTTCTAGGCCCCACCACAGGAGTGACTCAATTCTGAACCCAGGGCGCTGCGGTTTGAAATAAGCATACGTCAATGGCTATCTTAGCAGGCCAAACTTTATCCATCTGGTACTACAAAGCTCTACCCTGCCAAATTTCTCAGGCTGATTTACGTGACCCGTCCCAGTTTCTTCTCTTACCACTTACCCCTACACTTAATTGCCAGAGATACCCAGTCCCCAGAGCGTGCATTGATTGGACCTTGCTTGTGTTGGACCTCCCACCACAAGTGACACCACCATGTCTGTAAGTGAGCAAACAGCCCCGCCGTGCTGGACGCCGAGCTGCGGCCCACTCACGCCACTCCCACCCCGACCGCGAATGCGCTGACTCACATCGGGCCTCCAGTCCTTCTACATCGAAAACAAAAATGTCGGCAACAAGGCCGAGAGCGAAGACTGGAGAAGTGAGTAGGGCCGCGGGTGCCCGGTTTCTCACCTGCCACAGAAGACCAGACGGCTGATTAAACGCTTCATTTCCAAGTCCGTGGATACAACCCTCTCACAGCACCCGACCTGCTCCAACATGAGATCAAACAGACACAGGAGTCGAAGCGCACCGTGCTCGACGGCCGTGAGGAGGTCGTCGCGGTGGTCAATGGTACGGACAAGAAGCAGCGGCTGCTGGTGGTCGTCGGCCCGTGCTCCATACACGACCCCCAGGCAGCGCTCGACTACTGTGATTTGCTGCTGAGAGAAAAGGAGAAGCACAAGGACGAGCTGCTGATTGTCATGCGGTCCTACCTGGAGAAGCCCCGTACGACTGTCGGCTGGAAGGGCCTCATCAACGACCCGGACATCGACAACAGCTTCAACATCAACAAGGGGCTGCGCCTGTCGAGACAGCTCTTCGTGGACCTCACCTCCAGGGGCATGCCCCTAGCGAGCGAGATGTTGGATACCATCTCCCCCCAGTTCGTGGCTGATGTGCTGTCGCTCGGTGCTGTGGGCGCGCGCACGACCGAGTCCCAGCTGCACCGTGAGCTGGCCAGTGGCCTCAGCTTCCCCGTGGGCTTCAAGAACGGTACCGATGGGTCTCTGGGCGTTGCGATCGACGCGATCGGCGCTGTCAGGCACCCTCATCAGTTCCTGTCGGTCACCAAGCCCGGCGTGGCGGCCATTGTGGGCACGGTCGGCAACGACGATTGCTTCGTGATCCTGAGGGGAGGCACAAAAGGCACAAACTACGATGAGAAAAGCATCAAGGAGGCCAAGGAAGCACTGAAAAAGGCCGGTGTGCGCGAGAGGATGATGGTGGACTGCAGCCACGGCAACTCGCAGAAGAACCACAAGAACCAGCCAAAGGTGGCGGCCGTCCTGGCCGAGCAGCTCGCGAAGGGCGAGACTGGCATAATGGGTGTGATGATCGAAAGCAACATCAACGAGGGTGGGTGCTCATACGGCGCAGATGGCTGGCACGAACTTGAACTTGCAGAGCTGACCACGTGCATAGGATCGCAAAAGGTGCCCAAGGAGGGCAAGTCGGGCCTTCAGTACGGCGTCAGTATCACCGACGCTTGCATTGGCTGGCAGGACACCGAGTCTGTACTTGCCCTGCTGGCTGATGGCGTGAAGAAGAGGCGAGCCGTCCTCGAGGAGGCGACGGCGAAGGAGACCGGTTCGTAGGATGTCCGCCTTCCTCTCCGGCCGCGGTCAGGTTGAGTCGTCGAACGGACGGTGGTGCTGTGCATTAGACTTGTGTGTGAACACAGACTGGGATAAGGAGGGCGAAAAGTTCTGTTTGAAGGCGTTCACAACTATCCAAAATGGTGGCTGGTCAGGGCAGCCGGAAAGTAACCAGGTAGAGTTCATGCGCGTAAAATCATACAATTGGAGGAATCTCGATCAGTATTAGATGCATCCGTGGACAGCCTCCACTCACGGGGTGTATCGCTCATCCGACAGTTGTTGTTGATGCTGTGTGGCGGATAGAGGTGGCTCCTGGCAACCCTTATGCACATCTTGGATATGATCGTCATAGAGAGGCACAATCAGCTGGATTTACGCTTGAATTGACGAGTGCTGCCAGGTCTTGGAGCAGTCGTGGCAGCAGCAGCGGTTGGCCCGTGCGCGGTTGGGGGGTGTAATCGAGCAGCTTTCATTGGCAAATTCCTCGGGATCTTACGGCTGGCACAGGTTTTCCTCTGGCCCTCGACCACAACCCAACGGCTACCGACCGCTAGACCTCAGATATCCAGGCATTGGGACTCGAATCCAACCCCACTCACCCACTCATTTCCTCGCAGCATCCTCTGAACGCCGAGCAGCAGCAGCTTCTTGCCCAAGATGTTTGCCCGGTCCTGCCTGCGCTCGACGCGCGCCTTCTCCGGGGCACGAAATGGCGCCATGAGCTTTGCGAAGGTACGAACCGATCTGTCCGCCGGCGAGGGGGGGGCAAGCAACGGGGCGAGACTGGCTGCAGCACCACCAAATTCCAGAAGCAGGACCATATCACACTGTTGGGGACGGATCTCGTGGCTTTTGAATTGTCGCTAATGGGCTATCTGATCCACAGCGCGCCGCGTCCACGACCAGCAACGCAAACGCCGCCGAGGGCACCCGACTCAACGTCGCCGCTGCGGCCTCGACTGCCGCCGCCCTCGGCTCCGTTGCTTGGTACTACCATCTCTACGGCTCCGATGCCTTCGCCGCGACACAGGCCGAAGAGGGGTGAGTGCATCAATTGCCTGCTGCTCATTGCTTGGGGCCGCGGTGTTGCTAGTTGTGCCCGGGCTGTTTTGAGGCATATACAACGCACCCGAGCCCCCAGGCGGTATCTCAAAGGTGCGAAGCTCAGAGCTAACGAGAAGCACATAGTCTCCACCCCACCGCATACCCGTGGGTGCATGAACAGTGGTTCAAGACCTTTGACCACCAGGCGTGCGTTCAGACCAGGCCCCCGATGTCCCGCGAAGCTTGAAACTCACACAGCCAGACAGACTCCGACGAGGCTTCCAGGTCTACCAGGAGGTCTGCGCGTCTTGCCACTCCCTTAGCAGAATCCCCTACCGATCTCTAGTCGGCACCATCCTCACCGTCGACGAGGCCAAGGCCAAGGCCGAGGAGAACGAGTACGACAGCGAGCCCAACGACGAGGGCGAGATCGAGAAGCGGCCCGGAAAGCTCTCCGACTACCTCCCTTCACCCTACAAGAACGACGAGGCCGCCCGGGCTGCCAACAACGGCGCCCTGCCCCCAGATCTGTCCCTGATCGTCAAGGCCCGACACGGCGGCTGCAACTACATTTTCTCCCTGCTGACCGGCTACCCCGAGGAGCCCCCAGCGGGCGCCGTCGTCGGTGCTGGCCTCAACTTCAACCCCTACTTCCCCGGAACCGGTATCGCCATGGCTCGTGTCCTGTACGACGGACTCGTCGATTACGAGGACGAGACCCCCGCGACGACATCACAGATGGCCAAGGACGTGGTCGAGTTCCTAAACTGGGCCGCCGAGCCCGAGATGGACCAGCGGAAGAAGATGGGCATGCAGGTGCTGATCGTGTCGACGGCTCTGTTTGCCATCAGCGTGTGGGTCAAGAGGTACAAGTGGGCCAACCTCAAGTCCCGCAAGGTCACCTACGACCCGCCGGCAGAGTCCAAGGTGCGCCATTAAACATGAGACAGCAATGCGGATAGAGCAGTGAGACAACGGGCCTGTCAAGGTCTGGCTGGTGGTCTCTTCATCAACGGTGGCTGCTGTATGTGTATAATGTTATCAAACCTAGACTCCTTCCTCCCAGGTTTCTCCTATCTCATTCGCATTGGCGAAGTAGAAAAAAAACAGAAAGAGAAGAGACATGGGGATGGGGACAGGAGTAATTCTCGGGGTCGGTAGAGTGTATATCAAAGCTTTCAGGTCTCAATTTCACCATTTTCTTGCGTCCTCAACACTGCTCAACACATGTGGTGACATTTCGCTTAGCCTCGTGACGGGACCGGGCCGTGTGTGCAGTGCGTGCACGGCTGGCCCCCTCCAACTTGGAATATTGAGTAAGCAGCCAGCATCCTGGGTCATTCCAGATCGTATACATCAGTGTTCTATTTATGAAATTGCTCATCATCAAAAGTCGACTTGGCACCGACCCAGATCCTCCCGGCCCGTCGAATTGATCAGAAGCGCCAGGAATCCGTTGGTGGTGCCTGAGACTTCAGGACCCAAGCGTGCCCAGGTACTGCGGTACTGTTTTGAGGGAGTCGTATGTCAGTGTTTTCTGGTCCGTGCTCACGCCTCAACGGCCACCTCGTCTTCAATTCCAGAACTCAACTTTTCATTCCAGGCTTTGACCAGACGTGACGCTCTCTATGCGTCATCAAGAAATTTGCACTGCAGGATTCATCACAGCCTCATTATGTGAGACTGTTTTGGGCCTACACGTCACTCGAGATGGAGGCAGTTGTCAACGGGTCAGTCGCGGCCAAACGCCCGAGTGCGCGGTCAACAACGCTCGATGCGGATGCAGCCAGGGACCTGCTCAACTATTTTGAGATTGACGAGAACGAGAAGGAGTTCCTCATCTCCGCCATCACGTCCAGCAAGGCGCACGAGGACGAGGTCAAGGCCCTGCTGCACGACCGCGCCTTCTCTTCTCACACGTCCGAGGATGACACGTCTGAGGATGACGACAACCAAAATGACAACGCACCAGCCGGCCGGCATTACATACCGTGGAGGACACCCGAGAACCCAGAAGCCCCACCAATGGACGAGAACACCGCCCGCAACCTGCTCTGCGGTTTCAACATCGACGATGACCTGAGGGAATTTCTCATGGCCATCATCATGTCCGGCAAGGTTTTTGAGGATGATCTCAGGCACCTCTACAAGATCGGCCTCTCGGCCGGCTGGGAGACCTTTCAGGCGCAGGTGCAGTGTGCAAAGTCACTGAGGGACAAGGTTCTGGCAAGGCACTACGGCGATGACCTCACGTTGTATCTGGGGATGATGAGGGAGTCGGACCAGATCCCGGACTTCAAGGAGAAGTACTGGCCCCTGGGGGCACCTGCACTCAACGCCAGTCACAAGCTCGTCGCCGGCAAACATCTCTGGGGCGGCCTGGCGGATGGAAACACGACGAGCCTGCAGAGCATCCAACTGGTTCATGATGATGACAGCCAAGTCAACAACGGCATCGTGCCCATGGACAAACCTCCGCCGGACTGGGTGGCAAGCAGCCCCCAGCCCACCAAGACAGCAAGCGATGCGACCACCAAGAAGACCAAGACCAAGAAGCAGGGGACAGAGCAGGCTCCAGCTTCCGCCAACGACGCCAGGTTTGAGGTCGTGTGCCCTATCCGACGGCAGGATGGGTCCATTTGTAACAAGCGGTGCTACGACGGAAAGGCGTACCGCTCCATGCAGGAGCACATCCGCAAAGTCCACAAAGACCACTACATACCAGGGCTCAATGCGAACGAGGAAAGCTTCCGCCGCATGGTCAACAACACACCTGGCGCGGAACCCAACCTACAGCAGGCCACAGGCGGAGCCAAGGGCGCGGGTGAGCAAGCAGGAGGGGCGGGCGCTCAACTGATCAGGCCGGCTGACTTGTCCATGCCGTTGGCCAATGGCGCGGCTCCTGACGCGGGAAAGCAGCAGCGGGTGACCAAGAAGGCGAAACAGTCGCACGAGAAAACCCTTGCAAAATCACCGTTCTTCGTCGAGCAGGGACATAATCTGATGGATGTCAACGCTTCCGTGCCCGTTTCTGGAATGATGCCAGTACAGCCTGCTCTTGGCGGCCCATTCGACGAGAGGCAGTTCCTGTCGCAATTTGATCGAGGCCAAGATGGATTCGGATCAATGGCACTGGGATTAGATGCCACCATATCCCAGAGCCTGTTCCCACAGCATGTCGATGGCATAGCCCAATGTGCTATGCCGCCAGATCGGAAGAGGAAGCGCGACGACGCAGGAACCGACGCGCTAGACCAGTCCTCGACCCAAAATCTGCAGTACGGGCTGAATGGCTCGACTGGCGAGGTCTACAACCCACCGGTAGATCCCAGCCTTTTCTTCCAGACCCTGCCGTCGCACCCAGCACCTCCTGTCGCGCCCGATGTATTCGACGAGATGATAGATATCCTCGGCCAGCTGCAGGAGGCTTCGCGAGAGAACAATGCCACACGAGAGGTGATGGGCCCGAACACTGGGCACTACAACCCACCGGCCGAGTCCACGACCCTCCAAGCCCTGTCAGCCAAGCGGAACCCCTTTGCTACTCCCACACCCGCCACAAAAGTGAAACCCGCTGCCCAGAAACAGACTGCATCTCACTTCTTTGTGTCTCCCACAAGCAAGAAGATCGACGAGGCACGAACCGCCGCAGTGACGCCGAGTCCGACTCCAAAGAAGACAAGCCGGCCCCCCAGGAACACCGTGTCGGCGCTGCCCATCCCCCCACTGGCAGGGGACAGATTCGGCCTTGTCCAGGAGGAACTGGCTGGTCAGCCCTTTCGCCTGCTGGTTGCTGTCACCTTCCTGATTAGAACTCCCGGGAGGGTCGCGATCCCCGTGTTCCGCCAGCTCATGGAGCGCTATTCCACGGCGCAGGCCCTCGCCGAGGCGGACCCGGCTGATATCGAGGCTCTGATGCATCATCTCGGTCTGTCTAATCAACGGACCAAGACGATCCAGAAGTATGCGCGGACGTGGCTCGAGCGGCCACCGTCCAGGGATGTACGTTACGGGGTCAAGGACTACCCGCAAAAGGGCGATGGGAAGGATGTCCGCGCGGGTGAGATATTTGGGCCCGAGGACCACTCCGGCACGGACAAGGGTGACGGCATCGTTGGCAGCCCCGACTCCTCCAAGGAGAACGATCCCCAGGCCAAGACCACTGCTAGGGGACACGGTGCGGCCTGGGAGATCGGGCATCTGACGACGGGCCGGTACGCGCTCGACTCGTGGCGGATATTCTGCCGGGACGTGCTCCTGGGTCGCGCGCAGGACTGGAAGGGCAAGGGCCGCGACCCTACCTTCCAGCCAGAGTGGATGCGCGTCCTGCCCGAGGACAAGGAGCTGCGGGCCTGTCTGCGCTGGATGTGGATGAAGGAGGGCTGGGAGTGGGACCCCAGGACAGGGGAGAAGACGCCACTGAGGGAGGAGATGCGCCGGGCAGTCGATGAGGGCCGGGTCGCCTACGACAATCAGGGCCAGCTACAGATTTTGGAAAAAGTGGGCGGTCAGGTGGATGGTAGCGGAGCGGCTTGAGGAAAAGAGGATTTTAAAAAAGGCACTGGACTTTGGCTTTCGTAGCTGTCAGGTCGGCGAGGCCAAGCCCGAGCATGCCCTGTACTGCCTAGTTGTATTCATGTGAGGAAACGAACAAATGACATTGTAATTGCACGAGCTTCCCGCACACAGGCTTTATACGCTCTGCACCGTCTACTAACCGTTAGCTCGACGCACTTGCCATTAGCTTGCGGCTCCCGAGGTCACTGCAGGTCTGGGAACCACAGAAGTCATTTGATGCCCAGACCCCATCGGTCAGGTCACTCAGGCCGCCCTACCCAGGTAGTCAGATGTACACGAATGCAGGAACAACCACAAGAAGCTAATGTGTCGACCAATCTGGATGTGAACATGGGCTTCAGACGATGCATTCACTGTTAGCCCTCTCTACCCTGACAGGTATGGCCCATCCTTTTCTCCCTGGCAGGCCCCCAAACCACGCATGTCATCAACATGAGCTGGTGTCTGGATTGCAGGGTACCCTTCTCCACCACTCTTTGCTCAAACCCCCGGGATCGTGTGCAAGCCTTTTGCAAGCGGTTGGGTGAGTCGTGTGATCTCAAGCTACCGTGAGTGGCACTAAGCCCTGTGTACTTGCAAGGGCTGTGAGACGATTGCTAACACGAGGACGAAGACGGGAAGCAAAAGACCAGAGGCAGCATCAACCTGGATGTACAGCAAGTGCTTCGCAGATGATCAAGACCCCAATCACTAATGTTTGGATGATCACATCGACAACAACGACGGCGCCTTGCACTGTTGAGCAGCCACCCGAGTAAATGCCCTTGTTTTTTTTTTTAGGTACAGATATCGGTATGCTGCTTCCACGACGGAAGATGAGCTGCCTCTGTCTGATCCTGGGTCATTCTATAACTGATATCTAGCTGGAGGTAGCTGGGACGTATCTCATGGAATATCCAAGGGGATTTGACCGGTCATTGGTCTCTCTAGATACCGTCCTAGGTTGGAAACATCAAATACGTAGTGCTCAAGGGTTCTTCTCTTCGCTTTTCCCAAGTATGCGGCTTGGAACAGTCTGTCTGGATTTGGGCGGCCGGTTGAGACACAAATACAGACGGGCCTCGAGTCAAGATGACATCTGGCGAGTGTTGTCGAATCTACTCACTTGCTTCCTCGGCTGAGTTGCTTGCTCAGAGGCCTCCGTGAAGACGCACTCCCGCGCATTCCCGGGTGGGCACATGTGCAGGCAAAGAAAGGACCCAGAAAGCAGAGCGACCTCTGGATGCCGTAGGCCAAATAGCGCACTTTCCAGATGTCAGTATCGACAGGTCGAGCCTTCCATCTTTGTCACTGATCAGATAAAAGCCGCGAACACTTGGATACTCCACGGCAAGAGGCTTTGACATCCCACTTCGAGCTTTGTGGGGCCCCAAGTCTGACCTCCACGCCTCTTCTCCCTCCCGTCACGATTCGTACAACGTCTGTACCGCCAAAAACAAAATACATTCAGCGTCTCCGCTGATTTCTCGAGCCTGTCAGCGCCTCCTCGCACCATTCACAAATCGATCGCCCGCAAGCCCCAGCATGAAGACCGTCGCACTCGTGCTTGCCATGTTGTTTTCCACCGTGGTTTCCACCGTGGCCGGTGAAATATCCCAGTCCGCGGTCGGAGAGCCTGCTGGGATCGGAGGAAACATTGTAGGATCAACCATCACCATTCCAACTGCGAGTCCTGTCCCGTACAACGAGTCCTGTGCCGTGGGCACCTACGTGCTCAATGGAAGCAGCATTGGCATCTACTGCAACACCAACGACTACTCCGATTGGTACTACGACTGGACCTCGTATGCGTCACCAATCAACGCAAGCTCAGATGGGTTTACCGATGCTGACTGACTGACTGACTCTACTGCTAGGATCGACCTGGACGCCTGCGTCGGCAACAATGCTGGGTCCTTGGTTCCATACCCCTTGTGTGTCAACAGCCCCACCCTCGTGAAGGAACTCTCTCCCTGGTACTGAAGACAAGTGACTGACGACGATGGAACGCAGTGGGAACTTTTCGAGCAGTTGTGACGGCTGCAATGTCACCTGGAGCCACGTCGACGAAACCCCATACAGCACGACCTACGTTACCGGCTACCACTCGTCCGTGGTCAGCAGTGTCGCCATGCTCTTCACGCCCCGCTGGGATGATTTGTACTTGGCCTGCTCCGGCTGCAACGCTGGGTCCGGCACCACGGTTGTGCCCGGGCAGCTGGCCCTCAGTGAGTCCAAGCGCGCTGCTGCCACACTGCCACCTTCTCCATCTGCAGGCCCATCATCTGACTGTGGCGGTTCAGACAAGGTCCTGGTCAACAACGATGGCACCATCGGCTGCTTCAACGCCAATGGATCTACCCAGCGGGCACAGCCCACGGTTGAGCGCGCCCTTGTCCCTCGGACTGCCTTTGCAACGCCCACTGGGGCCTCGGATAGACCAAACGGGATGGTCACGCCCCGATGGTAGGCCTCCTAGGTGGCAGAGAACAGGAAGGCTGCCCAGCAGCTGATCAGACCCGTGTGTTTCCGTTTGAGAACTCGAGACAGCTGCATCAACCAATGAAACTTCATAGATGACCAATGGGTTCTTAACCGTGCATACTCTCTTCAGCACAGAACGAACAGGGACAGTAGGCGTGTGGTATGCGACAGAGAAAGAGAGTGACAATACTGAAGATGGTACTTGCCGTTGCGTCTCACAGAAATCAGGTCGGTTGATAACTTTGCCGTGGCATTGGTTGGAATGGTCTTCTAACATTGTACATTGGAGACATGACGTTGAACGTGGTGTGGTTCCTACATGGTCCGGCCGTCTAGATTTCCAGACTACCAACAGTTGACTGCGTCCGTCCGAATATCAGGTGGTACAGACACTGCGGGGGCCGAGGACATTTCCAAGACCGCCGCCCCCGCCTCTTACCTGTCAGGTCCATGGTCCTAGCGTGGGGACCCAATACTGAACGTCCCAGAGTTCATGCTGTCCGGACCGCAGGCCTGAGCGTCAGTCGGGCCCGAAGCCGTTGGGAACGTGTCTGCTAGACCTTGTCGATCACCACGCTGCCTCAATCCCGATGGTGGATCTGGCTGCTTTCCGTGTGCTCGCACGGGGGCAAGATCCGAGATCGAGAACCCGGCCGCTGACTCTGCACAACGCACATGTGTAACATGTGTCCAAGTACATGCTCTCGCCCGGAGGTGGTGACATCGTGATGGCGACGGCCCGGATCAGGACTTTGTCTCCCCGGTGAACACTCCATGGCTTAGCCACAGATCCAGTGCACCTCGGGCCAGGATATTGCACGCCACAGAGCAGCATTGGAGCACAGACCCGGCACAGGATGGAGAGGAGCAGTCGACGTTGTGGCGATCATTGGGCGCTAGCCCAGGCCTAGAGATGTGAAGAGTGGCGCTGTGTAGCACGGGAGATCGTGTACGGAAGGTTGCTGCTAGGAGTGGCCTGTCTGTCTGAGTGAAGCCCGGTTCTCCCAGCAGCTAGAGCCCACGTCACGACCGCCCTTCCGCCCGGGCTTCTAGCGCGGGTGCAACTCCCTGGCCGCGGGCCAGCAGCCGTACCGACCCTCCACGAAGCGTCCGACGCCAATGGTTCTACTCGCCGGTGACCAGATAGTGGTACCACAGAGTCATCTCGAGGTAGGGCCATCCAAATCCTGTCTCCCCTAAAGCGCGCCGAATGCGTGATGCACACTCGAGCCTGGACTATCCCACCTGCCCGCACGCGATGCTATTCGGGATAAGGAAGGGCGCATTTTAGCATGGTTCGCAACACCATGACGTCTTGTGTACGAAGCTACCGACAACCTCCAGACAGAGAGACAGGTCCCTAATATTTGTGTTGTAACACCTGTAAGCGCTGGGTAGCAGCCGGGAGGACTTCTTGGGCTGTAGAATTTCAGTCTTTAGCCACTGCAGATGCCTAAGCCGGAGACCTTGCAACTCGAGCCGTGGCGCCTGTCCTGACACAACCGTTGGGAGTTTGGTCATTGCAGATCCTGCGGTGGGTAGGTTGGGCACAACCCGCTGGGCAGCTCCGTCTCAGATGTTGTTTGGCTGAGCTTCATCTGACGCATGATGCGTCCTTTGAAGAAAGTCAAGATGGTTGACATGCGATATTAACTTTCTTAACTGAACTACGTTATTTAGACTCGGGAGCGTGTCACGTTAGAAAACCTTTTGATTGTGAGCCCAGGAAACTCGGACGAGATGGTCAGGATGGTGTGTGCCCCCTCCCTTCCAGCCAAAGGAGCAGGGACAGGTCAGGTTGCAGTGAAGGAGCCCTGGCCAAGTTCGGGTCCCAATCTCCGACCAGGTGGGTGGGCAAGATCTAAACAAGATCCAGGCTTAGGATCATCGATGGCTGGGACGCACCCTCGAGCGTACCAACCTATGGACGCCTCTCGGTTCGACGATATTCCAGAAGCCCCCGAGTCCTCAACCGGCCTGCAGAGGATACCCAGTTGGGGACCAAGGGACCTAAGGTGTGACTCGAAGGATTCCGGCTCAATGCGGGTATCTTCCTTGTCCTTGGTGAAGGTAGTGTAGAACAAGTGCCAATACCCTTCATCCTTGATCTTAACGTTCGTCTAAAAATCTCGAGGGTGGCCAATCATCCAACCTTGTCCCAATAACCTCCGATTGATAGCTGCGTGGACTGGGGGCTGCCTCGAGAGCCCCCCAGGAACAGGAGTTCAACGCCGGGGACTACACGCGCGTCGGCCAGCGCTTGGTTCACCCCCTGACCACATCCAACCTGGATTGCCATGAACGTGTCAGTCTCGACAGGCGAACTGTCGACAACACCCTTGGTTGCCCTGATCCTGGGGACACACCTAGTCCGCAGCCACCTCACATGAAGACCGTGCTCCCTAGGCAATTGCCCGACGGGAAACCCAGCCTGGAAGAATGCATCTATGCCTGTGCGGAAGCGTTCGCGAGCCCAGGAGCCGCCGGGCTTTCCGTCTATCGTAGCACTGCACAGTGATCTGCCGCGGCCGCCGGGTTTCACTTCTGTCCAAGAGCCCGGTTCGACCTCGCTCCAAGGGCACCCGCTGGGGCTGTCAATGCTGGGCTCACAACTGACATGGGCGCCACTTTCCCGTGGCAGTAGGTAGGAGACAACTCTGTGCACGCCATCGAACGTCAAATCCGGATAGGCGGGCGAGCGTCCCAATCAGAAGTCGAGCAACAGGCGGCAGCCAGAGTGATCTTGGTCCGAGGAGAGGTCGAGTTTGGTCCGCGGTGCTTTGACTGGCTTTAAACCACAATGGGTGGTGCCGGCCTGCTGGGAGATGGTTGGGCGACAGGGGCGTGTTTGCCGATGCCGCGAGGCCGTGCAATGGCGCAAACAGCGGCTGATGAGCCAAATCCTGACGTGCCTTTCCCGCGCACGGAGGCAGCGTGGTCTCTTGACGTGCTCCCGTGCAGAGTCGGCTCTCCCGTCCGCTCGAGGCGTTATGTTGCGCAGCTGTGACCCTGCATGGCGCTGACAGGTCTGATCATCATCATCATGATACCATGGCCCGCGCTGGTGTGTTGATCGAGCTCTTGTGGGTAAGGCGAAGTGTGCGTCTGTGTTGCCATTGAGAGGGGAATTGATCAACAAAATGTGCTAGGTATTACAGATCCCCAGCGGTCCCGTGGGGGTTGGAGCTGTAGATACATGTATTTTTCCGCGGCCTGCCCTGCCGTCCACTTTCCCGTCGAGTCGTATGTGGATGTAGATAGAAAAATGCAAAATACGCTATTAATTCAATTACCCTCATATCGTGTGCTCTATAGTTCTGATTATCCAGTTCCTGCCCCCGACGAGCCTTGTATGGGCAGCGTCGCCGCCGAGCCTTGTATGGGCAGCGTCGCCGCCGAGGATGAGATCGAGCCCGGCTGGTGCGGGAAAGAGTTATGCGTTCTCAGCTGCGACGAAATGTCGACACAAGTGTACACGTTTATACCACTCCCATGCGCGGCAACGTCCTCCCAGGGTGTACTGGCAATCTTGGTTGACACGATGCCTTTTCCGGGGTACGGTGTCGGCACGGACGACGGTATCTGAAGCTGCATCTCAAGGTCCATGTCCGATTCGTCATTCTTTGACGTGGACGGCGCGCGAGCCCCAGGCTCAAGAGGCGACGAGTCGATGGTGCTGGGAGAGAACGGCCCGTCGCTGAGTTTCTGCATTGTGTTTCGAGCGAAGCCCCATGTGCGTCTGTCGCTTGCCGCCGAGGGCCCGTAGTGCGAGGGTCCATAGCCGTACCTCTGCGTGGTGGGCTTTCCGAAGCCCAGGCTCTTGAAGAGCGGCCGCAAGGTTGCCACGCAGCCGGCTATAATCCCGAGCGATGGTTCCATAACAGACCAGATAGCAACGTCGACCGTCTCAAACAAAAAGTCGGGTGTAATCGCCAACCTTTTGACAAAGGGTATCCTCACGAGAAGAGCAATTCCAGCGCTTCAGGTCATCAATGTCAGTATCATGATCCCAAACAGGACATGTGGGTGTCTTACACGGCCCCCATGCCCAGCAAAAGAGCAACCACAACCTTGGTCCTCTTGTTCAGTTGAACGTCCCATAGCATAGCAACAGGCAACGCAGCGAAGACGAGGTCGGTCACCGCGCCGATAACGCTGTGTGCGATTACGGCGTTGGGCAGGACATTGATGTTCATACAGCCACCCGGTTTCCCCAGCACCTGCTCGTAGAAGTAGGAGGGCGGGTTGCATTGGAAGATGGCGATGAATGTGAAGACAAGCGAGATGATGTAGATGACAGCGAGGTTTATCCATATCACCCACTTGTGTAGCGCCTCGGTAGCCACCCGGTGGAGGAACAGCGCGACCGAGGTTCTGACCATGGCCGAGATGGGTGCGTAGATGACCTCGCAGATGTACCATGCCTTGAGGCCAACCAGTGTTTCCTCAAGGCTGAGATTCGAGATGTGCTTCCCGGTACCCCCGTCGAAGATTCCCCACATGGCCACGATCGAGTAAGCCGTGTATGCGAGCTGTGGACGGGATTAGCCCTGGGTGTGAGGTTGTGCCACAAAGAAAGGGGAGGACGGACAATGCTGGCGAGCATCCACCAGTCGTCCGACGCGACGTTCTTGATCATGATGACTCTGACATAGGCTCGAAGCAATACCTGTTTAGTGAGTGTCAGTGGGCTCCCCGATAGGCCTACTCGGAGGGATCCCATACGAGTATCCATGCAAGGCCCAGCACCACCATCATGACGATGAACAGTTGAGTCCCGCGGTCACCAGGACTACTGGAGAGGTCCATCTTGGTGAGGTAGTGTTCTGGTAGTTTCGTCATGTTGGCTTTTGGAGTGTTGCTCGCCTTGCGCAAGCGGTGGTCATTGTAGGCCTGTTTCGCCGTGGTAGCGTCCAATATAGATCATGGAGGGACTCTGCCCTGCGGCGCACCTGGAGAGAGCAGAGGTTGATATACCAGACGGCATCGGAAATACCTAGGTAGCCACCTAGGTAAGTAGGTACCTACTAGGTAGGCAGGTAGCCATGACCGTCGTCCCGTGGCATCGCCTCGAGAGTACGGAGTACATCTACTGTGTGCTCGGAGGGTTCTGCACTAGGACAGGGGCTGGGCAGGTCCGGGGGGGGGGGATGAACCTGGAACGCACTTGTCGATGGTGGAGGCCGGCGACTTGAGACTGCGCAGCAGTCGACCAGCACGATACCTGCGGCGACTTGCGTGGAAGCCTTGCTTCTGCATGTGCTGGGGTACTGTGCGTTCTGCTCGTCATCAACCACAGAAGACCTGACCCCTGCATCGCGGCAGGGGCGATCGGGCGCTAGAAAGCAATGTTCCCCATTCTACCTTGGGCATGGAGCCCCGGCGAGATCCCGTACCGGCCTGGTCGAGCAAGCTACCGACGGGCTAGACTACCCTAGGTATCCCAGGGTAGGCAGACTAGCATGTGCTGTGTGGTACTACATAGTAGTAGTAACGTTCTTGAGTACCTGCACATTGTGTCAAGTCTTGAGCCCATGCTCCCCCGTCATTGGGTTGTGGCCACATGATTCGTGGACTCTGGCGACCCACGAGGAAGACCGGAGGGGGTCTGGAGCAGAGGGACGCCTGGGCAGCGAGAGACAGTGCCGCAGTGCCGCAGTCCCCGGTGGCTTCGAGCTCAAGGACTGGGGGCTCAAACCAGAGCGCCGGGACCAGTCCAGCCGAGATGAACAAGCAAACGCCATGAGAGGCTCCGACGGATGCACGCGAGACCCGCGGACGCAGCAAGAACTCGCCGCCACGTGGATGAACCGACTTCTGATCAAGAGCCCCCAGGTCCAGAAGCAGAGAGGTTGTGCCCGGAACACTGCAGGTTCCCCATGGTAACTGACATCTCGGGCCAGGAAACACGCGCATCTGCAGTCCTGGCAGCGGACCAGCTCGTCAGCGTCCTTGCCGGTGGCGGCCCACGACGTGAGCTTCACGACGAGGCTCGACGCTAGTGTGGCAGCCCTGGGGTGTTTACTGAAACGACCCAAGCGAGGGCTGTGCTGTTGTGCAGATGAGCGTCGTGGAGCAACCCCGGAATCTCGCATCAAGCACTCGAAGCTCGCCGCCTCAGCCGAGCATGTATCTCGTGCTGGGTTGATGCTGATATGGGCTAGTTGACATACGAGCCCAGCCAAGGTTTGACGCGGGTGTAAGAGCCTAGTCGCGAACTGGTCGTTTTGGCGCCTGTCCCGGCACAGGGCGTCCTGGTTTGCTTAGGCTCCGCGGCTTCATGTGCCGCCAAAGTGACAGCTGTCTAAATGGGCAATCACACGGGGTCGCCCGTCTCAGCATGGGGGGATAGCTCAACTTCGACAGTTGTCGGTGCAGGATCAGCCCCGTATATGATCTCGTCACCACTTCCGGGAAGAGAATTCAACGAACCTGGCGGCGCGTTGCAATAGCCATGCCTACGGCCGGCCAATGCCGGGGTGGTGGTTGGTTGGGGTGGGCTCGTGTGATATAACACAGTATGGCCGCGAGCAGGAAGCCATGTCCGACCAAGGACTGTGAGACGTGCTTGGGTCGAAGAAGCAAGACGTCAAAATAAAGTGGTGGAGCTCACCTGGGCCCGAAACGTGGGTGGAGCAGCATCTCGGGTGGGCCCACTTAGGACTGATAGTCCGGACGAGTGTGGGAATATACTCGCACTCGCTTGGTAAGCCTAGAAGGCAGTGTTTGAAGCTTCAGAAATTTGTTTTTCTTCACGTCTGCTGGCTCGTCAGTGTCTCTTGTTTCGGACCTCGGGACCGCGGTTGCGAAGCGGCCGTAGAACTGAACTGCCCAGGTGCTGCCATTCCCGTGTCCCCCGGTCTTCGTAACTCGATGAACTGAAACACCTTCCGGGATGGGCGAGAGAAACAAGAGGGCATCTTTACTCGGATCCACTTGTGGCTGATCAAACTGCGACATATCAGCCGACATGTCAGCTTCAACTGCATGCGTGATACGGCATCATCTGCGTGGGCGGCCCTTGATCCGAGCTTGAGCAAGTGCGGACGGCGCTGTTGGCTACCGATCACACTGGGGCCGGGTTGGGTGCAAGGGTGAAATAAACCTCATATATATATGGGGCCTTTTTGATAATAAGTCGAGGCTGGAGAACCGTGCTTGGCGATCCGGGTGCAAGTAGGTCCCTGGGAGGTGTGAGAGTACACTGCAGACCAGTCTTTTTTTTTCTTTCTTTTTTTGTGGCCAGGACAACAGCCTCGCAGTGCAATTTCTCCCCCACGGTCGTATACATCCATTGAATGGTTGGTCGTCACTGTGAGCGAAGAGCAGAATGGGCCCACTGGTATCTCAGAATGACGTCGGGATCTCTCAACGCCCATGTCGTCATTGATAGTCACCTACTTGGGAGCTTTCCCTCAGTGATTTTGTCTGTGGTACAGTATATAAACAACACAAAGAGGGGCCGAAGGTTATGAATCCCCCCTCGTTTAGCCCAACGGACAATCCTACCCGCGTCGCAGCTGAAAACTTGGGCGTGGAAGACAGAATCCACCAACAACAGCCACCCCAGAGAAGTGCCCATCATGGCAGACCAAGCAGAACAGTTCAAGCAGGGCAAGTCCACTGGCAACCACAACATCCACTTTCCAAGGGGTGCTGACCGTCCCCTACAGGCCACAGCATTCCTGTGACCAAACAGAGCTTCCCTGGGAAGGAGTCTGAGATGCCCGACCAGCCAGAGCCCCAGCGGACCTACCTTCCTGGCGAGGAGGGACAGAAGATCCCTTACCTCGCCGCTGGGAAGCTCAAGGGCAAGAACGCCGTGATCACCGGGGGTGACTCGGGAATCGGGCGGGCGACGGCGATCCTCTTTGCTGAGGAGGGAGCCGACTCGCTGATCGCCTACCTCCCTGACGAGGAGAAAGACGCCCAGGAGACCAAGAAGGCGGTCGAGGCACTTGGCCGCAAATGCCACCTCTTCTCGGCGGACCTCTCAAAGCAGGAGAACTGCAGGAGGCTGGCCGACGAGGCAGTCCGGACCTTTGGCGGCAGGATCGACATCTTGTTCAACAACGCTGCTTACCAGATGATGGTTGAAGACATCCAGGACCTGCCAGAGTGAGATCTCCCTCGGCCCCGTCGCGCCAGCGGCCGTTGAATGTTTGAAACACTGACCGACGGCCCCCGACCTACCAGGGAGCAATGGGTGCACACGTTCAACATCAACATTCACTCGTTCTTCTACCTCTCCAAATACCTGCTACCGCACATGAAGTGGGGTAGCACCATCATCAACAACGCCTCGATCAACGCATACATCGGACGCCCAGACCTGCTGGACTACACGTCCACCAAGGGCGCCATCGTCTCCTTCACCCGGGGACTGAGCAACCAGTACGTCCGCAAGGGCATCCGCGTCAACGCGGTGGCCCCGGGGCCGGTGTGGACGCCTCTGATCCCCGCAACCATGACCGACGAGGCGCAAGAGCAGTTCACCGCGCCGATAGGCCGCCCAGGCCAGCCGAGTGAGATTGCCTCGTGTGTTGTGTTCCTGGCGAGCGCGGACTCGTCGTGCGTGGCAGGACAAACAATCCACTGCAACGGCGGCGTGATTGTCAATGGCTAGGAACGGTCGTGATGTCTTTTGGGCTCTGAGGACCCGGATGGGCGACCAAAGAGGTTCTTGCCCGGATGGGATGCATGCTTCTCTGTGCACTGTCTCGGCCGTGCCGTGTGACAAGATAAGAAGCGAAGAAGCGGTGAGGTAGACAATGAGCTTGATGAAACCAGAACATGGACAGCGGCGTGATGGCAGTGTTTGCATGCCTAGGTATTTTGTAGGTCCAGAGGAAAAAAATAAGTCTGGCAGGCTGGACGGGGAATGAAGCCTAGTCCCGCCTGGGTTACACCACTTCGACTTGGCAGGCTCGGCAGGGACCCGCAAGGCACCCATGACAGGTGGGGCTGGTAAACTGGCCGACTCGGTGCCGTGAGGCTCTCGTCCCCAATGGAAGCGCCTCACCGTCTGACGGGGAAACCTTAGCAAGCAGCATTTTAGGCACATTCCGGGGCCTATGCTATTGCCCTTCCAAAAGGCCCTTCGTCTTCCTTGCATGTCCGCCCGAGCATCGCATCGACTTCCATCACATGGGGCGGACGGGCTGCTCTCGTTCCCTGGCTGTGTTGTAATTGTTTTTTTTGACCCTCGGTGCCCTTCTTGCTGCGTTGTGGTGTTCCTCGGGCTCGGTGTGCCACGACTCCTCAAACATTATCTGTCCTCGCCGAGTCTCTGTTTTGCCAACCTACTTCATCAAGGACTGTCCAAAATTCATCAAATCTCCTGCACCCACAGTAGCCTTAACAAGAAACGAGGGCCGAGCCTCTCGGAGGCTCCTGTCTCCTAATGATGCATCATGACGACCCCAAGGCCGCGGCCGCGGCCGGTGAAGCACTGGTGGTTGCGCTCCTGTCTATCCCGGCACTTGTCCATTTCTTCGCCAAGGCAAGGCTGTACAGGGCAAGAGGTTATACGACCGTCTCGGGATTTTACGAGGATCAGGACGGAGAGGCCACCGAGGAGTCCACCCACGAGTATTCGGACCTCGTGCCGCGTGTGGGTTCCTGGCTGAGCTCGGCCCTTGGACTGGCTTCCTCGATCGTGGCAGGCGTCTTGTATCAGCGCGTGGGCCCGTCATCTGGGCTACTGGGTTTCACGAGCAGATGGGCAGATGTACTTGCCTGGGTGAGTGCTATCGGCCCATTGTTGATACCATTTCTAGCTCGCTGATGCACTCTAGGGCTTCCTACTCTTCCAATCCATCTCTCTCCCCAGGAGAGGTGATTACAGAGCTAAATTTCGCCTGGCCAACTTTGCTCTCGTCTGCTCAGTGTTGATCCTCGCCTCCTTGGTCTACCGGAGCAAGTTCACTCATGTTCTCAGGGCGCCTCCAGATTCCCCGCGGCTCGCCCAGGGCATATGCTGGCTTCTACAGGCAATCTCCGCTGCTGGCGCCTTTTTCGCCTTTGGTTCCTTCCCCCGCAGACCCGACGTGTACTTCAGAGGAACACTTGTTGACCAGCAACATACCGTCTCCTTGCTGTCAAAGATATCGTTTTCTTGGAACAGCCTCGTCTTTGACATCTCCAAACAGCGCCAGCTGGAGATGGAAGATCTTCCGAGGCTGGACCATCTCACGCGTTCGAGAAATCTACATGACATGTTCACCGCCCGGGATGGCAGCGGGAGGCTGTGGTGGCGTCTTCTGAAGTTTCACTGGGTCGAGCTCGCACAGCAGTGGTGCCTGGTTTTTGTTTCTGCCGTCCTTGCTCTGATCCCCAACTACATGATGTACAACCTCTTGGGCCGGCTGGAGCAACCCAGCACCCCTGATTCGAGCATTGCGGAGACTCTGGCCTGGGCGCTTGCTCTCTGCCTTAGCCTTTCCCTCGACAGCATTGTCGGCAGCCTTCTCAGCTGGTGGACTACCAGCCGCCTAGTAATCCCTCTGGGGGCCGTGTTACAAACCTTGGTGTTTGACAAAGCAATGAAGGAGCACGAAACGGCTATGCCACCCCCTCGGGCTCAGGAGCAGGATGGGCAAAAGGCTGATTCCAAGGACAACAACGACAGGGATGGCAAGGGAGACACGGTCCCAAAGGCACAGGGAAAGGAAAAGAAGGACGAGGTCCGCCAATCAGTGATTAATCACATGAAACTCGACTCGGGCCGTGTCACCATGTTTTGCAGCTTCAACTACTACCTGCCCCTGGCCGTCGTCAAGCTCGTCTTGGCGGGCGGCTTCCTCGTCACTCTCCTCGGCTGGAAAGCAGTCGTTGCTGGGCTCGGATCCGCCGCGTTGGTGATCCCCCTCAACACTTGGATGTCGAAGAAGTACGCCAAGATCCAGTTTGGCCTAATGAGATACCGGGACGGCAAGGCCCACCTCCTCACAGAGGCCCTGCAGGGGATGCGGCAGATCAAGTACTCCGCGCTCGAGCAACACTGGGAGGGCAAGATCCTCAAGTCTCGTAATGAGGAGTTGGCCCAGTACTGGAAGGCCTCGCTCTTCATGTGCGGCGTCATGCTCATCATGAACCTTGGGCCACTCCTTCTCGCGTGCGTGTCGCAGAGCGTGTACGCCTGGGAACAAGGCGGTCATGTCAAAGCCTCTGTAATCTTCGCCTCGCTGGGACTGTTCGATCAGCTCGACGAAGCGACAGCACTGCTACCCATCCTGCAAGTCTACATGATGGAGGCCTGGACCTCGTGCGTCAGGCTCGAGAAATACTTCTCGCAGCCCGACAAAGCCCCTGTTGCGGTCCCGGCAGACACAATCGTCTTCGAAAACGCGACTGTCGCCTGGCCGAAGAAGGAAGACCCTGATGCCGCGCCCGAGCCGACTGCAGAGCGCTCTATGCTTCGGGACGTGTCACTCAGGTTCCCCGAGGGCAACTTCAGCATCGTGGCTGGCAAGACGGGATCAGGCAAGTCCCTCCTCTTGGCTGCGATACTTGGTGAGGTGAAACTGCTCTCTGGGACCGTGAAGACCCCGACACCGCCGCCTGAGGAGGAACTGGACCAAGCCAAGCCGATCTCCCCAGAAGAATGGCTTATCCCATCCCTGACCGCCTTTGTGTCGCAAACTCCCTGGATTGAATCTGGCACCGTGCGGGAGAACATCATCTTTGGTCTCCCCTTCGTCGAGTCGCGGTACCAGGATGTCCTCCGCGCCTGCTCCTTGGAGAAGGACGTCGAGCTCCTTATCGACGGGGATGAGACAGAAGTGGGACCCAAGGGTGTGACGCTTAGCGGCGGCCAGAGGTGGCGTGTCGCTCTTGCTAGGGCCCTGTATTCTCGTGCGGGTATCCTGATCTTGGACGATGTCCTCTCTGCGGTGGATGCTCATGTCGGGCGGTGCATAGTCGACCTCGCGCTGACCGGGGAGCTTGCAGAAGGGAGAACCCGGGTCCTGGCCACCCACCACGCGGAGTTGTGCTTGCCTAAAGCCAGCTATCTCGTCCGGCTCCAGGACGGCCGCGTGGAAAGCGCCGAGACTATCACACCTACCGACACTACTGTCGCTTCCTCACGCGGGTCGAAACGCTCTTCCGTTCACGACGTCAGCGAGACTCAAACCATGATTGACGCACAGGAGAGCCAGATCTCTGAGGAGACGACGATTGCTGGGACAGAACAACCCAATGGCGACAAGAAGAAGTCGAGCAAGGAAGACGAGGAGAAGCGCGAGACCGGCCGCGTCAAATGGAAGGTGTACAGGACCTACCTCGAAGCCAGCAAAGCTCCGGTGCTTTGGTTCTTTGTCTTCCTCTTTATTGTCTCCGCCGGCCTGGCGAGTATCGGTCGGGTATGGAGCTTCAAAAAGCTCACTGATGGGTCGTCCGCTGAAGGTGCAAGCAATCTTTCGGCCACGTTCAACCACTACGACAGCTCGAGGATGTTCCTGCAGAAGAGTATGATGTATTCCGATGTGGTACCACATAGCATACAAACAGTATCTGTGGAGGGCCGCTCTATCTGGTTCTGGATCGGCATGAGTGTGGTGTTCTATGTGTTGATGGTTGTTCTTCAGGTCAGTACTCCACACCTTTGAACTCCTCCGGGGGGGGGGGGATGTTTGACGACGGAGTGGGATGGTTGAGCGCAGACCTCCAAGACCCTCAACCCCACCGTGCTAACATCTGTCCGCAGGTCGCTCGGAGCATCACAATGACGGCCATTGGGCTTCGGACCTCTCGGGTCCTGTTCGAGAGGATGACACACGCCATCCTCCGGGCGCCGCTCCGCTGGGTTGACAGCGTGCCAGCTGGCAGGATCCTGAACCGATTCACGTCCGACGCCTTCATGGTTGACAGGCGTCTTCCCGGCGATCTGGCAAACTTCCTGCACAGCAGCTTCTCGCTCGTCGTCACAATCGCGGCCAGTCTGTCTGTGTCCCTCTGGGTGATTTTTGCAGGTCTTCTCCTCATGTTTGTCTACGCTCGGGTTGCGAGCAAGTACATCAACGTTGCTCGCGAAGTGAAGAGACTGAATTCCATCTCTCACTCTCCAATCTACGACCAGTTTGGATCCGTCCTGTCGGGTCTTTCAACCATCCGTGCCTTCCACCGGACAAACTTTTACATGGATCGGATGTCAGTCACACAACCTCTCCCCTGCTTCAATACTGGAGGACCCGTACTGATGTGCACACAGGTTCAACCTCATTGACAACTCCCACAAAGCAAGCTGGGCACTGAGCTTGTCGGGCCGGTGGATGTCGTTTCGACTTTCCATGCTCGGCACAGTCTTTGTCACCGTCGTCGCCATTGTGGCAGTCTCTGGTCATGTCGACGCGGCGCTTGCAGGTTTCGGTCTCACCTTCGCGCTGAGGTACTCGTGGAGACTGACCTCGCTCCTCTCAAGCATGACATCGCTGGAATTAAGCTTCAACGCGGCCGAACGTGTCATTGAGTATTCTGAGATCGAGACAGAGCCTGAGGATGGGAGGGACGCCCCTGCCGCTTGGCCAGCCGAGGGCAGGATAGAGGTTGAGAAGTTGTCCGTCGCCTACAAGGACACCCTCCCCCCTGTCTTGAAGAACCTCAACTTCGAGGTCAAGCCAGGTGAACGGATTGGTATTGTTGGGAGGACCGGAGCCGGGAAGTCGACCCTGGCGTCTGTCTTCTTCCGCCTGCTCAAGCCCCGGGAGGGCTCTGTCGTCATAGACGGCATCGATATCGCAGACCTGAAGCTGACGCAGCTACGCAGCCGGCTCGCTATCATCCCTCAGGACCCCTTCCTCTTTTCGGGGTCGCTGAGGTCCAATCTTGACATGGATGACACCAAGGAAGACTATGAGCTGCAGACGACGCTACAGAGCGTCCACCTCGCCAAGCCGCAGCCAGCCAGTACTGAGAGACCTTCTCAGTACCCCGTGGTGTCGTCCCACGCGGAGACTGTCGTCTCAACCACAGAGGCCATCGCGGAGCCACCAACCCATGAGACGCCAGCCTCTAGTGCCGTCGTCGAAGATACCGACGCGGCGCCCACTGCTGCGTTGGTGACCACGACGGCGACGGAATCCCCCGACAGCACCGACATCTTCAACAACCTGTCCATGGAGATCAGCACCGGGGGAGGCAACCTGTCACAGGGCCAGCGTCAGCTTGTGTGCCTCGCGCGCGCACTGCTCGCGAGGCCCAAGATTGTGGTCATGGACGAAGCCACGTCCGCCGTCGACCGGGCCACAGATGCGGCGATCCAGTCTAGCCTGCGTGATGCCTTCGCCGCGGCTGGCTGCACCGTCCTGGTGATCGCGCACCGGTTGAGCACTGTTGCTGACTTTGACAAGATCCTGGTCCTGGAGAACGGCCGGATGGCAGAGATGGGGTCCCCAAGAGAGCTGCTCGAGCAGGGGATGAAGAGGGATGAGCAGAAGAAGCCCGGCGAGGGCGACGAGGGCAGCGGGGCGGGCAAGCAAGATGGTGAGGGCGAGGCCGGGGAAGATGAAGTAGGCGATGGCACGGGGGCATTCTGGGACTTGGTCCAGAGCAGTGCTGAGAAGGATAAGCTGGTCCAGATGATCCTGGGCAACAAGGGTTCTCAGTAGGGGTCCGCATCCAGCCGCAGAGAGACCTGGAAAGCTGGACCCCGACAGCTGGGAGGCCAAGGCGGCCGAGGAAGGCGAGACGCAAGGGAGTAAATGGTAGCTTTCAGCGATGACTTTGTACGGTACAATAGATTGGTTTATAAAAGCCCTCTCGTATAAAGACGGTCCAGTAGGGCACATGCGGCCGCCGACGATTGACATGTATTTACTTCCTCGACTGATCCTCATCCAGCAGCGCCTTGAAACCATGCAGCAGATCCTCCCTGAGGTCCTCCCAGCCCTCGACGCCAACACTCACGCGCAGCACCGTCTTGGCAATGTTCTTGTCGGTGACGGCGCGCCACTCGATCAGGCTCTCGACGCCACCGAGGCTCGTGGCGTGGTGGAACAGGTGCAGCTTGCTGGGCAGGCGGCGGGCGTGGTCGGCATCGCGCATGATGATGCTGAAGACGGGGCCCCAGCCGCGGGGCATCTGCCGCCGCAGCCACGACCCCTCGTGCGCCGCCTCGGGCTGGAGGCTGGCGTGCTGCAGCCTCTCGACGGTCCTCGCGACCGGGTTCCCGCCGCCGCCGTCGTCGCGCAGCTGTGCGTCCAGCCACGCCACCAGCCTCGTGGCGCTGGCGCTCTGCCTCTCGACGCGCAGCTCCAGCGTCCGCAGGCTGCGCACGCCGAGCCAGCCCTCCATGCTGCCCATGACGCTGCCCAGGAACAGGCGCTCGCCCAGCAGGCCCCCGACCCAGCCTCGCTGCTGCTCGCGCGCGGGGTGCACGGCCAGCACGCCGCACAGCAGGTCGCTGTGGCCGCCAAAGTACTTTGTGCCCGAGTGCATGACGACGTCGGCGCCGTGGTCAAAGGGCTGCTGCAGCGGCGGCGGGGCAAAGGTGGCGTCGACGGTCAGGTAGCAGCCGAGCTCGCGGGCGCGGGCGGCGTAGTGGTCGAGGTCGCGGGCCTCGCCGGTCGGGTTGAGCGGCGTCTCGACGTGGATGACGTCGCCGGGCCGCAGGGAGGCCAGCGCGGACGGGTCCTCGAGCTCGACCTTGTGCAGGCCGGTGAGCTTGGCGACGAGGTCGATGACGCCGTGGCAGCCGTGGTAGCCGCCGCCGACGGCGATGCGGCGCGGGTTGAGGAAGACGAGCAGGGCGTGGAAGGCGGCGAGCCCGGACGAGTAGGTGACGGCCGGCCCGCCCAGCAGGGCCGACAGCACCGCCTCGAGCCGCGTGGTGTTGGGCGCGCTGTCGCGGCTGTAGATGTGGCTGTCGTAGGGCGCGTTGTCGTCCGTGTTGTCCCACGCCCGCAGCCGGTCCGGGTCGTCGTTGTACCGGAACGTCGTGCTCACGTGCAGCGGCGGCGCCACCGCCCGGTGGTTGTTGATATAGTCGTCCGCGTGCACCGACAGCGACGACAGCCCGAGCCCGTGGGCGCCGAACCGGGCGGCCAGGGCCCCGGGCCCGCTGGTGGCCCCGGCAACAGTCGAAGGGGCCGGGCCCGACTCATCCGCGGGCTGTGCCATTGCGAGAGGCTGTGCTGGACCGGGTGGTTGAAGGCAGGCCAAAGGTCGACAGTCCTCGGTGGTGACCAGAGACTGACTGACTGCGACGTTGGTCGGGCGCTGTCAGGACAAACCACGTCCATCACGCAATTGAGTCATTAACCCGGTGTGGCGTCATGAAAAACGTTCCGTCGCGCCAGCCCGCCAGCCCGCCCCGATAACGGGGCCGGTCGGTGGCCGCGCCGGATAGTCGTGGCATCGTTGAAGTCACGTCAACGGGATCTGACAGATCACTTCTGACTGGTCGCAGGGCCAAATGCTTGCACCACCCTTCCTGCAGCCCACCCAACCGCACGGCCACAAGGGGTCGACGCTGCTTCGGCTGGTCACGCCATTTATCCAAAACAAAAAAAAAACATGATGGGTTTTCATGGGAATCTTGAACAATTATCATTTCATTAGGTATGAGGGTGAGTGACGAGACACCCCCCGTTGTAGTATAATTCATGTCTGGTTCTCTTTGAGCAAGACAGCCCGACAGCCCTGAACTCCATTTCCTAGGTACCTCTTCCTTAGCGAGTGTCCTATACCCGGTAACCGTCCAACCGGGCCCTGGTCCAGGACCTGTAAGCCTTTGTGGCAAAGCGCAAACTGTCAATCCCGTGTCCTTTGTTTTTGGTTTTCAAGAGAAACAGAAAGGCAACCAGCATATAGACATTGCTGCCCGTCTTCAAATTAAACGTTCATCTCGTTCCCCGTCAAGGCCTCGTATCATCAGCGACGAGTCCGCTGGCCGGCGCAATCGTCGTCCCCATAGCGGTGAACTAGGCTTCTACCGGTTGAACGTCTGTCATCTCGCGATCTCGGGCCGGAGACCTCGGCCTCTCAACCTGGCCCAGCTCGGCGCCCTGGCCGCTCTGGCCTCGCTTCCGGCCGGGCAGGATGGAGAACCTGGAGGTCGTCGGGGAGGGGGAGGCCACCGGCGAGTGGGGATTTTCCTGGTTGTTGCTGTGCTCCGAGAACTTGGCAAAGAACCCACGCTTCTTTGGTGGCTGGGCCGGCGCCTGTTGCGGCTGGACCTTGTAGTCGTCGTTGAGTCCGACCTCTTCGAAGCCCTCGCCCTCCTCGGACGTGGGTGGTTCGCGCTCAAAGAGCCGCTGCCGAGGCATGCGCGTGCGCGGGTAGCGCGCCGAGTCCATGGACCGTCGGGTTGGGAAAGGGTCGTTGACGGGAACGGGCGAGCGGGCGGAAACATCCTGTATGCCGGACAGGTTAGTTGCAATCCCACCCTCGCACAGGGGGGGCTCTGGTGGGGGCATACAAAAGACCGGCGGTACGAGTCGAAGGACTCGCGCGAGATGCCAAAAGGCTCTATCTCGCCAACCTCGCTCCTGGTGTCTGTCGAGTTGCGAGACAGGTAGCGGCGGGGCCATGAAGGCTTGTCCTCGGTGGGCGAGGGAGGCAGGTACACGCCGCTGTCATTGACCACTGCGGGGATTCGGGAAATGTCAGTAAATGTACTATCGATAGCGGGGCGGAGGGGCCGGAGGATCCATGACAGGCCATGGATGGCATGGCATGAGGGTTCATGCGTACCTGACATCTTGTACTCGCCGGTATCATTGGAGCGGCGGCTGCTGATGCTCAATGCGGCCGAGGAGGCCTTGGACCCGACGGTATCGACGCGCTCAAACCCCGGGGGCGTCTTGAGCGGAGGGTCGATGGTCAAGGGCGGGCGCAAACCCTCGTCGGCCTGAGGGCGGCGGGTGAAGGGGTTCCGGATGGGCATGTTGGCGTGTGCGCGTGCTTTGACTGCAGAGGGAGCAGGGCTGAGAGACCTGGGTGACGTCTTGAGGGTGGTGCGTGATGCCAGCAGCCCGGGTGAAGCGAAGCACAGTCGAGATGTCGCGAGGGGGGAGCCAGGCCTGGTTTTAGGTCTTGGATTCCGGTCGGGGAGATTCCGAGTCGACAGGTCCGGGGGCGACGGGGTTTGGGGCTTTTTCCTCGAGGCAACTGAGACCTAGGCCCGGGCCAGTCTTGGAAAGGGTTGGTCGCACGGGATTGCTTTGAATAAGAGCCCCGTGCAGAGGAGATGAGATGAGACGGGGCGGACTGGGATGGCGCAGGAACGGCCGGGCTGGCGGGCTGGCGGGCTGGCGGGTGAGATGAGCCTAGGCACTTTTATGCAGATCGCCCGCAGGGCTGGTGGGGTGGACTTGGTTGGATGGTTGGATGGTTGGTTGCTCGGTAGATTGGTTGACTGACTGACTGACTGACTGATGAGTTGACTCTTATGATTGATGACGGCTGAGGATGGCTGAGGATGAGATAGTGGGTAGGGCGGCAGGTGGCAGGGCAGCAGGGCGGCAGGGCGGCAGGGCAGCAGGGAGGGTGAGCAGATGGATGGATCGCCGGTGATCCTGCGCGGCAACACAAGCCCTGGTAATTATGGGAATAGAAACCTGGGGGCTCAGCTGAGAGAGCCGAGGTCTTTGGACCTGATCCTTCCCCCGGAATGTTGGCGCACGCAGCGAGGTGTCGCTCCTCCCCTCCTCCTTGGTAAAAATGGTCGGTCCCCTTGCGCACGCTGACCTCATTACTCCCGAGCCCTCTACCAGTCTACATACCACAGTACGTGCCATGGGCCATGGCAAGCATGGAAGCAGGGAAGACGGGCACCCGGGCACCCGGGCACACCGTCACACCGTGCCTGGTTTCCTTGGCACCTGCCTTCAGGGCTGCCGGGGCCTAGTTGGCTGCCGTTCGTCTGGTGGGGGGGGGGGTCATGGTTTGGCGCCCAGCGGACCGGCTGACGGCACGCGCGATCGGCGGCCGTCTCCACCTACCGTGAAGCAGGTCCAACTTCCAAAGATGGTCGAGCTACACTAGACACCACCACACACAATAGCTCACCGTGAGGGGAACGTCGCATACGCCCTGACGCCCAGGGCTGGCCAGGGCCCCAGGCTCACAACCAGGCAAGCCAGGCTTGCCAGGCACACCCCAGGTCCTTTTGGCCATGATCTCATCCCTGCCGTGTCCACTTTCCATGATTCTTCCATCGGGGCGTTGCCGTCAGGCGGCGGACCGACTGCCGATTGGGCCCATCAACCATTCGAGTTGCCAACGACATCTCCCCAGCCTGTCGCCACAGCCATCCCACGTGCCACGTGACGCCTGTCGTCGACATGGCCAACCACGTCCGGCTTGGTTGACGATGCCATCGCTGCCAACCCCCAACCAGATCACGACAAGGGCAGCAGCAGCGTGCTTCTCGGGAGTGGTAGTGAGAAGGATGTGGTGATACCTAGTCGCTAGCATCAACCATATGATTACAGTCGCCCAATTGTCCCAAACCTCAATGCGGGACCAAATCCCAACGCTCCATGCAGATGCCTGCCTCTAGGTGTTCGGCTGCAAGTCTTCTATGTGCCTCCCCCAGTCTACCACTTTCAAACTCCACGCAAAATGTCCTTTCCCTTGAATTCCCACAAAGTCCTCACACCGGATATCAAAGTAACGCTGCCCCCAAGCGGTGTTGTACCTCCCACTGTATCGTCTACACGACGCCCATCCAAGAGAACGCCAATAAACCTGACCTCGACAGGGCGATCCCAGAAAAAGAAAAAGAGTAGTCCAAAATCACACCAGGTGGCCGCGGGGCTGGGGCTTCAGTGTCCGTACCAGCCACGGTCCGGCGTCGCCCCGCCCTCGGCGCCCAGGAAGTCCATCCACGCGTCGTCCATGAACTGGTCCGCCGCCTCAAACGCCGGTACGTTGGGCCACATCATGGGGTACACGCTGTTCATCTGCGTCTGGGGGCTCTCGTCGATGGGGAGCATCATCTCATCCATATGCTGCTGGTACGGGTCCTGCTGCTGCTGTGTTTGTTGTTGTTGCTGCTGATGCTGCTGCTGCTGCTGCTGGTGGTGGTGGTGGAGCTGCTGCTGCTGCTGCTGCTCCTGTTGCATTTGGCGGCTGCCGCTGTGGTGGTGACCGTTGTTGTTATTGTTGCCCGCATGGCCCGCCATGTTGTGGCCATTGGGGGGCACACCGCCCATGGACGGCATGGCGGCATTCGAGCTGGGCGATGCCTGTGGGAATGGCGGCGGCACATGGTCCAGGTAACGCCCGCACAGCTCGGCGATGACGCCGTAGCACCGCTGTGCGCTCGCGTTGAAGGGTGCGAGGCCCGCGATGATCTGCAGGGTCATGGTGATCTGCTGGCGCCAGTCGGCGGCCTGGTCGGACAGGGGCAGGTTGCGGAGGCATATGCATGGGATCAGGGCTGCCTGGAAGATAAAGTATCTGCGGTGTGTGGTCAGCCTGGACTGCACGTGCACGCGGGCCAGGGACAGGCACGGGATACTTACAAGGCGTACCATGCAGCCATGCGCCCCTGCTCACAATTCACCCAGTAGTTGCTGATGGACTGGATGGAGTACTTGGCATCGGCCAGGCAAGTGTTGTACGCGTGCAGGCTGGCCGGGGTCTCGTCGAGGTTCCGGCCGTCTCGGGCCCGGAAGGCCTTTCGGATGACAAACGGCCGGTACATGATGATCCGGAAGTTGCGGTAGCGCCAGCTGATGGTGACATGCGCGAACGTGTACTTGGGCGGGACCTTGGCGGACTCGGCAAAGTAGGGAGGCACGCTCTTGAGCCAGGGCTCGATGCGCTCCTTGTCGAGCTCCACAAGCTCCTCGGCGCTCGGCAGGGGCTTGCCGATGACTCTTGTGTAGATGAAATTGGTGGCGAGGTGGAAGGCTGCCTGTGTGCGCACGGCAGTGTAGGGGGTGATGTCGTCCGTCTCGGGGGGGTAGTTCAGCGAGTTGGGGGTTAGCTCCTGGGACTCGTGTCAGTCATGATTTGCTCGCTCGTGGTAGCACCGGACAAGGCAACACGTACTCTGTCGTGGACATTCCTTGGCAGGGACACTTCGACACCGTCAAAGGGCCATGTAAGCGGCCTGCTGAAGGTGATGGTGGCGCCGCAGTCGAACACGCAGAGCGACCACCAGACCCTACGGCGGATCTCCATGTTCAACGGCGAGATGTTCCACCCCTGAAACTCCTTGTGCAGGCCCAAGCCCATCGCCATCCTCACGGCCAGTCCCAGGTAGTTGTAGGCCGAGTTCGGCCTGTCCCGCTTCTGCTGGTAGTTTGAGGTCAAGGTCAGCGCCTGGACCAGGGTCAGGTTGCCGAGCTCCAGAAAGTTGAAGGACAGGATGGACCTGGCCTGCGCGAAGAGGGTGAGGTCGAGGTTGTCCGAGGTCTTTGCGGAGCTCCAGACACCGATGGCCGCCACGACGTAGGCGAGCACGAGCCAGGGGTCCCCGTGCGGCCGTGGGATGATCTCGGAGAACTGGGCCCGGAACGTCGGCTCATGGATGATGGGGTAGTTGAGGTGGAAGAGCTTGAAGTAGGCGTCGATCATGATGTCGGCGATCTGGCGGTTCGGGTTCGGCTGCATGGTCAGGGACGGATACGAGGTCATTGACGGGCGCGACCTGGTCTGGATGGTCCTCCTCCTCATGCTGGGCTCCAGCAGCCGTATGAAGGCGGCGCCGGAGGCCACGCCGAGATAGCCACCCTCCTTCTCGCTCACGGTGAGCGAGGCCATGCCATCCAGGGCGGCGTCGTCGGGGTCGTTCATGTCCGGGGAGAAGGCGGCGTTCACCATGTTGTCCTGCTCATCCCACTCGAAGTCGTCGGTGGCCGGCGGGCTCTCCAGGATGGTGGACATGCCCCTCTGGGGCACGCGGTGGGGTGCAAGGCGGCCGGGTTCCCGCTGGGGGCCCTGGGCCTGGTCGCCGGCGGGCTTCACATCGACAGCCGGCGGGGCGGGCGTTGCGGCCGAGCCAGGAGTGGCCTCGGCGTCAAAGGGCGCATCCTCGGATGGATCGGGCTTTATGTGGGCCTGTCCCTCGGCGTTGTCCGAGGAGTGGGAAGATGAGCCGGGCTGCTCAATCCTGCTGAAGTCAAAGGACGAGGACGGGTCACTGGACGAGGGCCGGGGCCCCTGACCAGGAGGCGCATTCTTCCGGGGCAGCAGGTGAGGCGGCAGCACCGCGCGCATCTGGCGCACAAGGTGCTCCGCCCTCTCCAGCCTCTCCTCGACCTCGGTGAGATGTCTGCAGTGCCGGTCAGTGACGCTGGGCAGGATAAGAGGCGGGCAGGCAGTCTGGCGCGGACAGGGCCAACACGAGTGTGGCCATTGGGACCGGCGGTCCTTCTCCAACAGACGTACGGAAGGCGAGGCGGGAGACCCACTTTCTGGTTAAGGGAGTGCGCGAGTGCTTCTCATACAGGCAGTGTCTCCTGTATTTGACGCAGAGGTTGCAGGTGGGTATGGCCTTGTTGCACTTTGACTTGCGGCGGCGGCACTCCTTGCAGGCCTGGTCGGCGTAGCCCAGCGGGGTGTCGAGATCTCCGAAGGCGGCGCCAAGGTTCAGGTCGCTGGCGTTGAGCCCGGCGTCTGAAACACTCATGTCGCCGCCGGGAGAGGAATTGTCGTCCATGGTCATCAGGGAGCGATGGCGAGAGGGGAGGGCCTCGGGGTGGCGCCGGAGCTCTTGGGCGGAGGAGCAGCAGCGAGGGATGTGAGGCAAGGGTGAGAGGGAGAGGGGGGGTTCGAGGGTGACACGGTGGTAAAAGTTGGTCGCGGACCAAAACTCACGATGTTTTACGGCAGGTCTGTGAGTGGGCGCGCTACGGGCTCGGTGCTCCGTTCTGCTCTTTTTACTCAGCAGCAGCCCGACAAACCCAAGGGCCAAGCGCCCAACCATCCCAGTCCCAGGCCCGACTGACAAGCTGGGGGGGGTCGGGGGCCGGGGGTCGGGGGCCCAGTGGGCGTCAGGTCAGGTTGTGGAGGGGGGGACCTCCCGCTTTTTGGGGAACAACAGTGAAGACCCCCACACTGCGAGCCCAGCAGCAGCAGCAGCAGCCAGCATCCCGCACACCCCAGGGTCAGCGAAGCGATGGCCCCTTCTCCCCTTCCACTACTCACTCCACCAGCCCACCAGCCCTCCAGCCTCCAGCCCTCCAGCCCTCCAGCCCAATAATTGTGCTGCCCGGATACCTTTGACCACAAACCCTCCGAGTCATGTCAGCTGCCACGGGGAATGGGGTATGAAAACTTCACACCCGCCGCGACGTGTCATTTCGCCTCCCGGAAGACCGCACCGGGAGTCTCGCAGCCTCATCCCGGACCAGGGAGGAGGACCCTTGGGCCGTGGGTTGGCTCCAGGAACCAAAATCCTTGGTCTGTTAGCCAGCCAGCCCTACCGCCCTATTGGCGACTGTCGGACAAGGGCAGGGGCACATGCCGCCGGCGCAGAAATTGACTTGGGAGGCTCGTGATCGAGAGGATATCGACGTCTCGACACATCAGGCGCTCCCGGCCCTGCCGCTGCCGGGAGCTTTCCATGGCACGTTCGGGACCGGCGGCTGGGGGACACTTCTGTCATGGGTGTCGTCATCCTCCCAGAATGCCCTGGCCTGGAGTGATAGTGTGCCATCCCTGTTTAGCCACGACCGGCGATCATCCGAACCCTCTCCGCAGGCCATCGAAGCGAAGCTGCGCTCCGCGACCCCACGCCTGCGGCACCGGTTTGCAAAGGGCTCAATTCGAGGTGGCCTTGCTAGCTAGCTCATGGTCCTCGGTTATTGGTATGCCGGCCATCCACATTGTTGGCACCAAGGTACAACGTACGGGCAGAAACTGCTCCAGACCCACACCTGCCGCAAAAAGCTCCGAGATTCGCTTCGTACGATGCGCCAGCCCGGCCGGGTACGGCGGCCGAACGTCATAGGAGGGCCCACTCACGTTATCGGCCGGGACGGCCATCGCCTCAGCCTGTGGATATGATGAGTACTGTACGACCACGCACCGGGAACCTTCAAGTGACGGCCGTCTGGTTGGACCTGTCGCAGTGTTCAAGATGTTTTGCAAATCTTCCCCTTCCGTCGTTACCGTGGCGGCTCAGGGGACGTGTATCTCGCCTTACTGCTATGCGTGTGTTCGCCGTCGGCTCTCCATCATTCCAGCCTCACCTTTTCTAGTCGTGTCCCTGTTCATCTTGATCTGAGAGCTCTACTCAATTACTGGAAACCTGACGATTACTTCTTGGTTTCTACATGAAGACTAGCTCACATATCAACAGAATGAGATTTGCTCGGGTGTCCACCCCTCGGCGACGACCTCTATGGTAGACCACCTGGCTGGGCAGCACTTACTCTCAAGCTATCAGATGATCTCCTATAGAGCGACTCTCTTCGAATAACCCCATATGGACAACATCCATCACACGGGATGGCCCCCAACAGGATGACTTGCTGCAGAACAATCTGTCGCAGAATGTCCTCACCCGGAAGCCCCTTTCTTCGCAATAAACTGATAGCAGCCAACCAGACCAGCAAGCGAGCCACAAGTTTTCCACAATGGTTTTTTCGAGGCGTCTTAGAATGTGACCGATTCTCGCAGTGCCCACCACCAGGCATACGTTCGAACCGTGCGAGATTATGCACTCGAGATGTCCCGTGCATTCCCTTCGTCGAAACTCCACCCAACACTGTCCAATTCACAAAATGCTGGCTCCTAATAAGGTAATTGTGGAATATTCAAACCCAACCTAACGGCATATCAGGCACTCCGAGCCACCACCGCTTTTCATTCGCTGGCAGTCTACCAAACACTCGGTAGGCACTGCTAGAACCGTAGACTTGTGCGAGGGGCAGCCGAACGATTGTCATTTGTACCCACTCGCTCTTTCTCTGATCAGAGTCCACAAGGACGAACTCCAAAGGCCTGCTCTGCGATTCCAGACGCCTACGCACCTCCTTTGCTATTTCTCCAAACTCGTAAAAGCCGTACTCTAGCTCGCGGGCGAACTGGAGAACGGGAGGACTGCCGAGACCATGCTCACTTCCCAAGGCAGTGATGGTCTGCTACATGCATTCGGCGTGATGATCCAGGGCCCTTGATGGCCTGCAAGAGACGCCGTTGATGGGAACCATACTTCCATCAGGTCCAGCACCAGCTATCAGTTCTCCCCACTGAACTGCCCTACGCGCTCCTCGAGCATGATTCACGTCGATTTAAAGCCATGCTCGGCCTGCTTTATCTGCATCACTTCCCTCAGCGGCCTCTGCTAGTCTATATTCAAATACTTTATGATCAGCTTGTACGCCGCCCATAAATCTTGAAGTTCGTCTGCTAGAGCTGTGTGACTCGGGAACAAGTGGCTAGTCGGCTCGGGGCCTTCGTCGAAGGCTTGGTCAGATGACGAAGTCAACCGAGGCCGCATCAGACCCCATTACCCCATGCAAGAAACTGTCAATTGATGGACTCGCTTGACCAAACTTGACATTCTCGGGTCCGACCCGTGAGCCTCTCAGCTGAGATAAGTATTTCATGCTGCAATTAGGGACCACGACTGGATGTTGCGTAGGATGTAACGCTGATTTATGGGGCAGTGGATAGCGCTCATCCAACTTCGGAGACTGAAGACTGTTCTTAGTTGGCAGTGTGGCATACCTAGGTACTTGAGTACCTAGGTAGTAAGCGGGGCAGGGAGGAGGAATATCCATCTCGAGTCTCCAGTGCTAGGGTTGAGCAAGACACTCGGCTGAACAGGACACAATCTTCGTACGGTTCACCCCGCGCCGCATCAATGTCTCTTAAATATGGAAATTCTCGGCCTCCTTATAGACGACCAGCCCGAACGGACTGCTTGCTGACATAAACTGACACGTCGAACTGTTCTCCGCAGCCATGCATCAACAAGTTGCCTGGCAGGGTCGAGGTCGTGGGTTTCCCCCGCACCATGCCTTTCCCCCAGCTTCTCCAACATTCTCGTCAAAACAAAACCTCTCAACTTTGTGTCGATGTAAATATTTACAGCGTTGTCTTTTAGTCCCAGTTGAGAGTAAACGCCCAACTGGACTGGAGCCTACCTACCGCAGACTGTCAGAAATAGACCATAGACCTACACAGCCACAATGGTCCTCGCCGAGCACCCCAACCCAAAGGCCCCGGTCCTCTCCCACTTCGACCTCACTGGCAAGGTCGCAATAGTCACCGGAGGCTGCCGCGGTATTGGTCTGGAAGCTGCCCGTGGCCTCGCAGAGGCAGGTGCCAACGTAGCCATCACGTACACGAGCCAGAAGCCTGCGGACGCGGATGCCGTCGCCGCCTCCCTCGCCAATGCTACGGGAAGGGTGGTCAAGGCTCTCAAGTGCGACGTGAAGATCCGGGACGACGTCTTTGCGGCCGTAGACAAGGTCGTGTCCGACTCGGAACTCAGCCCACACGGCAGGCTCCACATCTGTGTCGCCAACGCCGGCATGGCCAGCAACACTCCCGCGCTGAACTATCCAGAGGACCGGTTCAGGGAGATGCTGGATGTTAATTTCCACGGCTCCTTCTGGGCTGCCCAGGCGGCTGCTCAGGTGTTTGAGAAGCAGTATAGGGCGGACGGTGGCAGCGAGGGTGGCGCTCAGAGCCGGTGTAGCATCATGTGAGGTGACTCCTGATTTGAAGGACCTGCGTGTGTGAAGCGCGCATGGCTGATACGTGTGGATGTTGTAGCTTCACTGCTTCGGTCTCCGCGATCCTGGTCAACATCCCGCAGAAGCAGGCTGCCTACAATGCCAGCAAGGCAGCCCAGGTACACCTGGCCAAGTCCCTAGCGGTGGAGTGGGCGGATTTTGCAAGAGTCAACTGCATATCTCCTGTGAGTGGATGTGGGGACAAAAGTTCACTTGCGTCGCCTCGGCTCGAAGGAGAACGGATGCTAACGTCGGCCGGACAGGGTTTTATTCTGACGGATATCCTCAAAGGCGCACCTCAGCAGATCATGGACAAATGGACGAGCATGGTTCCTGCGGGCAGAATGGCCCATGCCGGGGAGCTCAAGGGCTCCTATGTGTACCTGGCTTCTGATGCAAGCAGCTACGTGACAGGTTAGTCACAGACGTCTTTGTGTGATTCATGCGGTGATCGTTAACACATCTAGGGTCTAATCTTGTTGTGGACGGTGGCTACACGCTGCCCTGATCCCAATTGTGCCCAGAGGGTGTGTCTCGGGGAAGAAAATACTAAACCTTTTGTGGTCCATTTTCCAGGCGACTGCGGTTTCTAAGTGTAGACAATTTTGGTGTTGTACATATTCGTCGTGGTCATTTGGCCGTTTCAAAGGCAAGTATCTCGCTCTGCCTCTGCCAGTTGATATCCACTTCTTTCAACCACCTGATGGGGTGAATTCAGTGTTCACCTTACGTCCGTCTCTGGACTTGAGCCCCAATTTGGCCGGACTCGCGGTCGAGTTCACATCTTGTTCTGGCCCTGCTCCTGGCCCTCGGATCCGCGAGGTGAGTACTTGGAGGGATGTTGGTGTGAGGTGCACGGTAAATTTCACACAGCCCATTGGATTGTCATGCTGTACACGTGTGGAGAGACCTCTCACCCATACCGAGCCTCGCTGCGGCGAGGATTCGTACTTGAACACGTATCGGAATCCATCACGTCCTCGAAGTCTCACCGCCGTGTACGAATCGTCAGCCTGGGGATCCTTGGTTATTATGTTAAGGACGTTGCTCTTGGCAACTCTGTCGGCTGGGACCTCTTCAAGATGTTCAAGACTGAACAAAAACATTTTGCGTCTCTTTGCTGGCTCTCCACCCTCGGTCCCACGTTGCCTCCATGGTCTGTGATTTGCGAGGGAGAGCCGTTAGCGTCTTCAGTGTAGGGAAGAGACATGGGCATTTTCGATCATAGAATACCATGAACTTGAGTCTTGTTGACCCCCAAAGCTATGCTTCCCATGTCCGTAACATGCCCATGTACCGACAGGTGGCCTGGTCTACGTGATTTGCCGTTTAGCGGTGAGAGTGCAGGACTTCCGAATTCCTGTGCTCCGTAGTTGAGAACTCTGCCAGAATGAAGGCATGCACATCTGTATTTGAGCGGTGTCAGCCCAGGAATGCTGCGTGTAAGCCCGGTTGTGCGACACCCGGATGCCCGGGGGTTGAAGCCAGGCGGATGATCAAAACATGTTTAACTTGGAGCCTGTGTATCAAGCGGACCAGCAGTGCTCTCGCCGTCGCGTCCACAAGGCCCCGACGAGTCCAATGTCACCATCCGGCCTGCAACTGGCAGCCCGAGTGCTTGCAGGGAGGAGAGCAGCTCCAGAGGAAGCTGCCGTGGATGCGGCCGAAGCAGGTGTTTCCTGTGGTGTGGTACTGGAGCGGGTGTCCGTCTCATCTCCGTAGTCATGAGAGGAATGGTCTGACTCTTGGCCTGCCATGGGCATAAGCCGCCCAGGGGCCGCTCGAGAACTGGTGCCAGACATGAAATTTTCGCTACTACATAGTAAAGTTCGGCTGGGCTCCGACAGGAACATACACAATGGCCAGTCACACAGGGCATGCCTATTCTTTTAATACCGGCCGGCAGTTTGATGTTTCTCTGGGCGGTGGATCCCCGAGGGGGGGGGTCGCTGGCGAGCGAGGCTTGGTATTAACAAACCCGACCGAGTCCTGAGTCTTTGTACGTAACCGCCTACATGGCACGTATACACCTGTTGTTGCATACCCGCCAACTCGCATAAATGTTCATATTCCACAGGCATAGGTAGGCAGGGCCCGTTTTCGTCCTCACAGCCGGCACTTCCGTTTGATTCCGTTAGGGGAATGCCGCTGCCCGAGATTCGGCGGGGTAGCTGGCAGCTCGGGAAAGAAGAGAGAGAAGGGCCAGGGGGGCGGGGGAGCTATGACGATGATTTAAACGTCGGGCAGACCCCACCTCAGACAGTTTTCCCAATTGACACGAAACTCCCTCTCAAGTTGTTGCGTGTCCAGTGCTGTTGACTATAGCACCACTCTGTCTATCTATATCCTGTAAGTCGAAGCCCTTAGCCCCTTCTGTGCCAGACAGGCAGCTTTTTTTCTCGGACACCTGCGCGTCGAGAGACGAGCTTGGCTACCCCGCCGTGACACCGCTCCCCTCCCGCACTGCACTGGCCTGTATCCAAGGCTCGTTCGTCGCTTCGCTCGACCCTCTCTGGTCCGGGACGACCGTGGATGGGGGAGGCCAGTGCTTGGCCGGCCATGGCCAGCAGCCTGCTCTCTACACCGTCAGGCCATGAAGTCATCCTGGAGCCCCGGCCTGGGGATGTGCAAATGATGTCAAGCCTGTTTGTAAAAGTGGACTGTGGGTGGGAAGAGGCAGCAGAGCACGGCGTATCAGCCTCACTGTGCTCAGACCTTCCCGCAGTCCACTTTCGCAGCCCACAAGCAAGCATCCGCCATGCAACCAGGCCTTCCCACATACCTAGCAACCTAGGTACCTAGGTACCCAGGTAGCTCAGGCCCAGGGCACCGTCCCCTACCCACGCTACCCCTCCAGCCCACTCGGCAGCTCCCAACCCATCTGTGTCATACCCAGTCCGTACCGGCCAGGAGAATTTATCGCTCACTTCATAAGAAACACCTCATCGCATTACAATTTCTGCGACTCAGTCTCCTCAGCCCCACTGACACGCCACCAGGCTCGCTCCAGCGGTTTATAACTAGCTCTCCCCTACACTTTTCACCTGAGCTGTGGCCGAGACCATCTTGCTCTACTCCGCCTCATCACAGCCAGAAAGGACTGCTCACGACCACCTCAACCCTTCACCTACTCATTCTTGATCAAATCCTTCCCAATCCTCAACAAAATGGGTGTCCAAGACGTTCTGTCCCGCAAGTCCGGCGTCATCGTCGGTGACGATGTGCTCGCCCTCTTCAAGTATGCCCGGGAGCACGAGTTCGCCATCCCCGCCATCAACGTCACCTCCAGCTCTACTGTCGTCGCCGCCCTCGAGGGTGCCCGCGACGCCAAGTCCCCCATCATCCTGTAGGTGTCCTCGCCCCCGCAGCGCCCCGACAAGCCTTGGGCCTTGACGGCTGATTTCTCGTGTCAAAAGGCAAACATCTCAGGGTGGTGCCGCCTACTTCGCCGGCAAGGGCGTTGACAACAAGGACCAGACCGCCTCTATCGCCGGTGGCATCGCAGCAGCACACTACATCCGGGCCATTGCTCCCACCTACGGCATCCCCGTCGTCCTGCACACCGACCACTGCGCCAAGAAGCTTCTGCCATGGCTCGACGGTCTGCTGGACGCCGACGAGAAGTACTTCAAGGAGCACGGCGAGCCCCTCTTCTCCTCTCACATGATCGACCTGTCCGAGGAGCCCGTCGAATACAACATCGAGACCACCGCCGCCTACCTGAAGCGCGCTGCCCCCATGAAGCAGTGGCTCGAGATGGAGATTGGCATCACTGGTGGTGAGGAGGACGGCGTGAACAACGAGGATGTCGACAACAACTCTCTGTACACCCAGCCCGAGGACATCCTGGCCATCGTCAAGGCCCTCGAGCCCATCAGCCCCTACTTCTCCATCGCCGCTGGCTTCGGCAACGTCCACGGTAGGCAACGCCCCCTCCGGCTGCCCCACTCTTCCTCCCCCGCATGTGATGCAGTCACTAACACCCCACCCCACAGGCGTCTACAAGCCTGGCAACGTCAAGCTGCACCCCGAGCTCCTGGGCAAGCACCAGCAGTACGTCAAGGAGCAGCTGTCCAGGAAGGACGACAAGCCCGTCTTCTTCGTCTTCCACGGCGGCTCCGGCTCCACCAAGGACGAGTACCTGCAGGCCATCAAGCTGGGCGTGGTCAAGGTCAACCTGGACACCGACATGCAGTTCGCCTACCTGTCTGGTATCCGGGACTACGTCCTCAACAAGAAGGACTACCTCCTGACCACCGTCGGCAACCCCGACGGCGCCGACAAGCCCAACAAGAAGTTCTTCGACCCCCGTGTCTGGGTGCGCGAGGGTGAGAAGACCATGACCAAGCGTCTCGAGGTCGCCCTCAAGGACTTCAACACCGAGAACCAGCTGTGAAGGGTGGGTTTTGTTGGCGCGTATGGGTCTTGTCTTAGTATTTACTGGAATGCTTTATGAGGCTGAATGAGATGACATGAGCGTTGAAACTCGATGGTTGGGAGCATAAATGGGAAATGGCGGCGGTCGGTTTGCCCACATCTAGGAGGTTGACCTGGAAAAAAGAACTCCTATTGGTGATACCTCGAAATTAAAAAAAAAAAAAGAAGCATTAATCGATATCTCGATGAATCGGTCCCGTTTTTCCTTTTCTTTCCCATGTGATCTGCTAGGTCTGGTGTGTAGTGCAACGTCCCTAGAAACAGGAATGACATTAGAAATAACATCCTTGTTGCTCTTCTACTATATAAAGCCCCGAACCCCCTCCCCCTCAGAATTTAGACTTGTGTGTATTGTCGTGGGCCCTCACCTGACAGGCCCTCATGTTCTCCCAACGAAGCATCGGATCCCATATTGGCTGCTGTCTGCCACCCCCCAGGTGCTCGTGCCTAATCTAGAAAGAACATACATGTCCCTCAGCCCTCACATGCTCGCCCCACCACGGGCCTACTGGCCCAGGTGCGCCTGCGCAAAGGCCGCGCTGGCCTCGTCGTCCAGCGGGGGCTCGGCCCTGACCTTGTCCGCCTTTGCGCTGTCGAAGCGCCAGACGCCCCCGGTCTTGTCGCCGTCGCCGTGGTCGGGGACGCCGACGTACTTGGCCAGCTCGGCGAGGACGGGGTCCGGGTCGGTCCGGACGGTGAAGTAGCGGCGCTGCCACATGCGGCCCTCGGCCTTCTCCTTGGCGCGCAGCTCGCGCTGGGCCGTCTCGATCTTGCCCTTCTCGCGGCCGACGGTGTCCATGTCGCCCTTGAGGATGCCGGCCGCGACCTTTTGCCAGGCGCGCCTCGACTCGAGCGGGTGCTGTGCCTCGAGGGGCGCGACGGACAGCGGGGTCGACTTGGCGGCCACGGCGTCGTAGCTGTCGACGAGGTTGGACGAGGACGCGTGCTTGGCGGGGCCCGAGTGGATCTCGAACGACTTGGTCCACTGGCCCGTCACGCTGTACAGCACGTCCTTCTCCTTGCCCGTCGGGTAGAGGGCCGCCGTGAAGCTGTTCTTCTTGCCCGAGAGCCAGCCCTTGCCGCTGTAGTCGATCTTGGCCGTGTAGCCCGACGACGAGGTGATGTAGGACGCCCCGTCGAGCTCGATAAAGGGCGAGCCAAAGATCAGGCCCTCCACGTGCAGGCTCGGGAGCGAGATGAGGAAGGTCTCCTTCTCGCCCTGCTTGTCGGGGACGGGCACGGTGAGGATGGCGTGGCCGATCTGCTTGATGTTGATGGTCTTGCTGAAGCTGGCCTTTTGCGCGTTGAAGCCCTCGAGGTGGACGCCGGTGGGCAGGTTGGTGATGCTGTAGGCGGTGGCGGGCGGGTGGTGGCTGGTCGAGGAGGGGCATGCGGGTTAGTCCGAGTCGGCGGCCAGTGCAGTGGGACGCGGCGTGCCATCTCACCTGACCTGCTCGCTGATGAGCTCCGTGGTGCCGGCCTCGTCCTCCCACCTGCCGAGGAACAGCTCCCCGAGGAAGGGGTTCAGGGGCTTCTTCTCGTTGCCATACTGCTCGCTCCTGCTGGCGTACTGCTGCTTGAGGGTGGTCAAGAACCACCTGAGCACCAGCAGGGCCCGTTTCTCGGGGTCGGCCTCCTTGGCGGGGGCGACGAATATCGATGGGTGCTCACACCAGTAGGAGCTGAACTCGGTCAGGCTGGTGCCGGACAGGATGAAGGGCGGTGCGGTGAGGCTGGACAGGTCGCCGTTGAAGGAGGCGATCGACTATGACCGGCGGGGGCCCACCACGGTTAGTGCTGGGTGCCTCGCCGACAGGGGACGTGTCCCGGGGGACCGCGTTGCGACGACATACCTTGAGGAAGGCGGACCAGCTGCCGCTCTGGGCCGCCTGCGCGTTTGGCTGGGCGGAGTCGGCCATGTTGAGTGTCTCTGTGTGCAGGGCGGTGCTTGTTGGTCTCTGCTGGCAAAGGTCTGGCCCGCGGTGTAAGCGACCGTGTCAGCACTCGAGTATGCAAGTTGGCAAGGTAGGTCTGGGTGTCTTCCCACAACCCCCTGAGGACTACAGGAAGGGTCTTTCCTAGGCGAGATCGGCATGCGATAATAACAAGGTCAGGTGTGGGAGTGGGTAAGTGGGGTTCAGCATCGTACCTTCACCGGGCGGCGGCGATTCTGCGACAGCGTGAGGGTTTGGCCCTGCAGGCTGCAGCGTGGGACAGTAGCGACCAAATCTCACAAATGCTGATGCTTCAAAGTGTTTGGCAGCCCAAGCGGGGTGTGTTTTGATTATGTTGTGGTCTGGAGACTCGTGGTCAAAGAAAAAGACGCTCTTTTTGGAAGGCAAATAATAAATCCTCCCGTCATCAGCCCAGCCCGCCCGCCCACCCGCCCTTGCCCAGGCCAGGCTCAGCCCGACTCACGGGGCCATGCGGCAGGTAATTTTAGCATGCATGGCCTGCGAACTTGGTTGAGGTCTGGCGTTGGGTACCTTGGGTAGGCAGCCCTCCGCCCTCCCAGGCGCACTTCTCCCACTCGAACTTGTGGTGCGTGCCACATCGGCCGAGCTTGAGGCCTCTGTCGCCTGACGTCAGTACTACCCTAGGGTAGCCCGGACAGACACTCGTCATCCGAACAGCCACACCCAGGGTGCTGGGTCGGGGAAGCGCGGCTAACGCTTCTTAAACCCGGCCTGGGACCCTGGCGGTGCCATGGTTGCAGTGCCACGGTCCACTGAGTATCGTCTCATACCTGACGACTTCCAAGGCCGTCCCCGTGTCTGGGAATTGTTCACTTTTACTATTGATTCCTCCTCCTCCAATATGAGAAATTCATGCCCAAAAAGTCTCGGCAGAACACATGTGCGCAGGGTATCTAGATCCATTCCGCCCGGCCCACCCCCCCCCAAACCCCAAACCCCTCCAGTGACAAGATAAAACCAGCTCTGTGGTGGCATGCGGAGGACACTAGCCAAGACGGCCAGGTGTGAGGCCAGCTTCAGTACTTGCCGCACTGGCTCACCAGCTGCCTCACCTGGTCCACGTTGAGCCCCGAGTAACGGTCCTCGGGCTTCTCCTCCCCGACTACAACCCACGGGCTGACGATGCACAGCTCCGTCTTCTTGTCCCACGCCCACGCCAGGCACTTCTTGGGCTGGCTTACACAAGAGTTCAGGCACTTTTCAACCGAGCCAGCGTGGTTGATCATGGATATGTCGTCCTGCCTTCCAACGTGGTCCTGGCCAGACCGTATTGGATTCTTGTCGAGCGCATCCAGGTCTGGCTGGCCGTATATCCCCCACAGGTCCTTCCAGAACACGGGCTTCTCGATCTTGGCAAACGTCTTGCCGACATCCCTCATCTGCGCCGGCTGTGCCAGGCCGTGGAATGAAACGACCGGCGAGCAGAACCGGTCGGCGGACGCCTTTGTGATCAGCGGCCTCTCGCCGTTGAAAAAGTGACCGTACCTCTCGCTGATGTAGACCCCGACCCTGCTCAGGGTCGTCGCGATCAGCTTGTCGCCCCACGTCTCGTCGACGGAGGCCGCGTAAGCCTGCGAGACCACCTCCTGGTTGTCCTCAAACAGGACCCTCATGGTCTCGTAGGACAGGATGAAGCTCGACCCCCCGTGCGCGAACCTGGTCTTGTAGTCGCCGATGGCGTTGCCGAGATACATGGCCCTGGAGGCATCGAGGTGCTCGAGGAATCGGTAGAGCGATGGCCGTATGATGAAGGTATCGTCGTCCTGCATGATGTACCACTTCTTCCCGGGCATGGTCTTCCACGCCAGTTCAAGGCTCGGTACGAACTGCAGTGCTCGGGTCAGCTGGGGAGCCTGGGGCCATTCGACGGGTCAGGTACCTTGAGAGCATCCAACTCCCACCCCGCGGCCTTGGATGACTGCTCCGCATCTTCCTTTCGGCCCTGCTCTATAGCATGGGTCATATCCCGGTATTTCTGTAGCCTCTCTGTGCTTTGGATCTGTGTCTCGACGACAGCCTCGTGTTCGATCGCCGCCGCAACCACGTCGTGTATGGCAACCGTCCTCCCTTTCAACTCGAGTGTCGTGGCAAAGTCGCCGACGACCAATATGTTGTCCCCGTACTCGCCGCCGGGCTTCAGCGCCCCCGAGGCCTCTAGCAGCGCCGGGACACGCTCCTGCGTGCCATAGCCCGTCTTGACGATGTAGGCAACCTCCTCGTCGGTGAAGGGATACTGGCCGGGCAGCTCGAGCAGCAGGCGTTCGTCGGCGTCCGGGGGGCGGAAGCTGCCGGAGACCTTGGACGAGGTGAGTCGCAGGAAGGAGAACAAGGGGCTGTCGTAGGGCAGGAACATCCACGCGATCGCGAACCAGACCAAGAGGACGAGTCCCGCCGCCAACGCGAGGCGTTGAGGGCCCGCGACACGGGGGAACATGGCAAAAGCTATCGTCGGACGGGCGAGGGTTGACCGGCTTAGGGAGGCAGGCCGACGAAATGGTAGAGACCGGGTAGGGCTCCCATTGCTGGAGTTCAGCGCCGTTCTCAATGTTGTTGCAAGGGTGAAGTCCAGGGGACGCTTCGTCATTGACGATCGTCCTGGCCAGCAACTGCCCGGCAGGCCGCCAGAGCCGCCCTGAACCCAATGCCAAGATAGGGAGGCAGACCAGCCAGGGGGTCTACGGCTAGGGTTAAACCCTGACAAGCTGTTGCGGAAGGAGATGGGAGGCAGAGACAACAGACAACGCGGATGCTAGACCCGGATTGATACATTGACACATGTGCCCTCGGGCTTGTCGGCGCACCCCTCCAGAGAAGACGGATTGCCATGCTGCCGGGACATGCAGAGGGTCGCCGTCGCGTCGCGCGCGGCCTAGGGGTCCACCCGTCCGGCATGTACTGCTGCCCAACGGGTACCTATCCATCTCATCTGACAGCATCTGCGCGACCCATTCCGGAATAAAGATGGAGGTGCAGGAACTGGATACCACGAGGGCATGCAGGAGCGCTGGCGAGATTGGTGTTGCCATGTTACCGTGTGGCTGCATGCCCCTGCAAAGGCCGTCACACATCACTTGATCCTGTCCGGTCCGGAAGCCCTTGCTTCGAGGAGCCGCGCTGGGCTGGCAGGCTGGCTGGTCACCTTCAACAGAGCACGAGGCTGCGGGCTGGTCCGGGGCTAAGTCATGGGAGGAATAGGCTTGTCCTTCACGTTACATTGCATTCTGCCGCAGAGGACTCGATCCAGTGCGCGACGCCGCTTGCATGCCCGCGATCCCACAGCGATCCTCCAGCGATCCCACCTGGCCGCGTGCCAGCCTCGTCGGTTCTGGCTGGACCGCCATAAATGGGATGCGATCCCCACGTCAAGCATCGGCTCGTGCGTCCATGTCTGTCTGCCAGATGGATCCGGTGCAATCCACGCTGATGAGACATCATGTTTGCCCAGCCCTTGCGGCCGCCCCAGGAGGAGGACCCTGCCGTCTATTACACGGCTGCGCGGGAGTCACTAGACAAGTTGCTGTCGACAAACGACCTGCAAAGCTCGTGTCTCTCGGCTGAGCCACATGGTCTCAAGGACATCCGCGACCTGAGATGTCATTTCTTCGGCTGTCTCGGGATCAACAGGCGGCTTCAGGTGTTGGGTAATGCCGGGGATGCCATCTGGGCAGAAGCCGAGGCCCTCGAGAGCAAAGACACAGAGCCCATCCAGAAGAACAACTCAAAGACACCACCCGTGGGCTCCAACGATCCCGGTGAGTACCAGCCTGGGATGAGATATGTCACGGCTCTGAGCCTGCAGGCGGAGCTGAAGCGGATATCCGTCCTCCGCAGGACCCCGGCTCTCAGGGGCCTGGTGAGAGAGGTCCAGCGTAGTCTCGTGGCATGGAGAGACGAGAACAAGAAGAACATCAGCAATGTCGAGAAGCTCAGGATCGACACAACCCATTTCCGCCAGATGCTGCCCCCGGGGGCGCCTGAGGCCACCCGTCAGCCCGAGGGCCCAGGCGCCGTGGCCGTGGCCGCGTCAGCCCAGGAACCAGGTCCTCAGCTGAGCAGAGAACGGCGTCGTAGCACGAACCTGACCCAGGGGAGCCTGACGGAACACGACGACTTCTCGCAGATGCTCAGGACCATTGTTGACGACGAACGCAAGAAGAACAAGGAGGACCCTCCTGAGGATGACCCGATGACCTCGTACGAGCTCAAGAGAGATATCAAGGCGCAACTAATCCTGCTCGAGCGTCCAACAACATCTGCTTCAAAGACGCCATCGGTCATGGGGAACGTTATGGAGCCCGACTGGGAGGACGTCGGAGATGAGATATTCAAAGGCAGGTTCCCCGACCAACAGGTCTCCATGTTTCACCTCCTGAACGGGGTGTTGAAAGGGGGCCAGTTGAACAGGGGGAAGCTGGAGAGGACTTTCAAGAGGACCCGGGAGGACGAGCTTTGCCCGAGGAAGCTGAGATACTACCATATTCCTGTTAACAACATGCAGGTGAGCCAGGACCCTTTCGTTCTTCCAAGCGGTATCGATATTGTGTATTCTGAAAAGGGCAAATGGTCGACCGACGCGTAAATCATTACCGCCACCACGTTGAGGCAGTTACGGGGCTGATACCTTGACCCCCTCCCCAAATGCCTGCTTGCGTGAGGACAAGCTCTTCTGGTCCAGTACGGCGAGGCTGACAAGACTTCGCAGTGGGCCGAGGTATGAGAACAACGACTTCCAGGCCAGACTGATCTGCAGGTGAAAAGTCTAACCCGGTCCCAGCAAGCAATTGCGAGCTACTTTGACGAGCCTTATCCTAAGCCGGGGCACGAGTTCTACCCATCCACAAAATTGGTCCTGCGTGATGACTGCTGGAGGGGCCAGGAACACGGTAATGAGCCGCACTCGATGGTCCACAACCGTCACTTGCGCCCGATGTGCGAGAAGATATCGACAGGTAGGTTGTGTCCGCAAGGACGGTGTGGAGGCGACCAGTAGCCGCCATGCTCACTGTGACCTCAGATCCGGATGATGCCTACCACAAAGGGGAGAACAGCCTCGTCCTGTTTGTGAGTTCGCCTTTTGGGATTCTCGGTTCTGCTTCTTAACTTGCCATACAGATGCCCTTCCTTCACTGGGAGACAGACAGGAGAAGAAATCAGGCGGCAAACCTGATAGAGCGGCTTGCAGACGAGCACGAACTGGACCTGAGGGAGACTGCGCAAATGTGGAAGGCCATACGAAAAGAAGACCGAAGCGGTCTCCGCAAATTAGCCCCGCCACGTCCTGTTCCAGCAGCCACGGGTTACAAGGAGCCGAACTATTACAGGACTCGCGGGACAGACAGAGACAAGATCCTGCAAGCCCTGGCCGTGATATTGTGGGAGAAAATCCGCAAGGCCGGCTCGACAACAATGCCTACAGGTCTGCCACACATGCTGTGGCAGAGGATTAGGGATGAGGCTTTCGAGGACACTCTGATTTTGGCCTTGAAAAACGCTCTCGTGGAGAAGGCATGCGCCCAGGAGATACCACAGATACTGCAAGCGTTCATCTCGAACCGGGCCCCGGGCCAAAAAGAGCAGCCGGCCTTGGACTGGGACCACGCCCTCTGGAGGATCAAGGAAGCCGGCAAAGGCTATCCAACACCGCACGCTCTTGAAGACATCCTCTGGGAGCAGATCAAGAAGGCTAGGAAAATAGCTGACCGCAGGAGAGGATTCAAGGACGCCAGTGACCAGGAGCCAGAAGAGTCCATGGAGGACGCGGAGACGGGCAGCAGCAGGCTAGGACGCATCTTCCAGTCACCAACGACGATATTCAAGGGGGTCAAGGTTGATGAGTACGGCTGCCCCCAGCCCAGGAACAAGCTCGCCAGGGTCTTGATCAAGGCCGCAAGACTTTATGAGCAGATCATGACATACCCTGATCAGAGGATCATGGAGAAGGATCTCTTCTCTGATCCTCCACTCCATCCTCGACGAACCCTAGACCAGGCATATTTCTGGCGGCTCCGCACGACAAGAAACAGAGACCGCGACCAGGTCGTGTATCGACACACCAACGCGGAGTTCGCGCACAAGTACCGCCCTCTTAACATAGGCCATCCACGTGACAAGGCTGCGGCGTCATCGACGGACAGCCTGACCCGTTCCGCCAGGGAGGACAACACGGCAGAGGAAGAGACTTGGCAATGGAGCCGCCACGGGGAGTTCGAAGAGACGTTTGGATGCGCCCAGTGCGATGCAGATATTCGCAAAGTACCGCGCGCGATTATGGTCGACCAGTTATGGATGTGGGTACTGGACAAGGACACGATCCTTACATGCTTCCCTCAGAGGTATGGGATGTCATACAAAGATGAGTCGGGCGTACACCAGTCCATACGAACAAGAGTCAAGACCCGCAGTAACCCAGACAACCACGTCCGGTCCGTCTTCGACCTCGCCCTGATCATCCTGGACGAGTGTTTCAACACCTTCTTCAACAGGGCCCGGACGGCCGACAAAAGACCTCAGGTTATGGACATGTTCGCCGAAAGCATAGGCCGCGTGGTAGGTTGGGCCCCAGCCCGGCTCTCACTTCCAAACAGGGGGAGGTATTGCCTGCAGGAGCGTATGCGGGGGAGGCCAAGCACGATCGCTGACGTCGGGCCAGACTCACAAACAGGCCATTGCCTTCAGGCACCTGTGGAGCCTCTCGGAGCGCCTCACCGCAATCTACCAGAGCGACGTCGAGGAAACGGTCGACCCAAGCATCTACCAGTCCGATGTTGAAGACAAGGTCGACCCGAGGATCATGCTTGCCCTTCTCGACGTGACCCCAGAGGCCGAGCTCCAGCGCGAGATCCGCGACATAATCGACGAGCTGGACATCATGCTTCACATTGTCGGGCAGCAGCAGGAGGTGATCAAGCGGTTCGTCAGGTTCGCGGAGGATGTGCTCAAAACCAAGCCCGTCAAGTCTCATGGGAAGGCGCCTGCCTCTGCATCCGACGATATCCAAGACATTGTGGACGACCAGGTGAGGTCGTTCGGGGCCCGCAGCTTGGATCTTCTCTCCGAGGTGGAGGACAGGATCAAGGAGCTCGAGGGGCTGAAGGCCAGCGCGCTCAGCACGGCGGAGAACGTCTGTTCCCTTGCTCCTTCCCCGTCACGTTCATTCGCTGACCACCTCTCAGGTGAACGATCTCCTCGGCCTGAAGCAGCAGCAAGCAAGCGTGGTCCAGGCCTACGAGGCCATGAAGCAGGGCGAGGAGACGGTGCGCCAGGGCAAGGCGATCATGGTCTTTACCGTCATGACGATCCTATTCGTATGAGACTCTGATGCCCCTCACCTCCCCCGCCACGTGGCCTGCGATCTAATCTCCCAAAAACAACAGCTTCCCCTGTCGTTCATGAGCAGCCTCTTCGGGATGAACGCCGTAGAGCTTACGGGCTCAGACCCGTCGCCTGGGGCAGGTGACGACTCGCGGCCGGTAGCAGATGAGATCGAGACCTTCTGGCCAATCACCTTCAAGAGGCAGATACTGATTATGTGTAAGTTGGCCCAACCACGTAGGAGGCCCAGGAAAGGGAGAAACACGAAGAAGCAGTAAAGAAAAGGCACCTGACAATGCAGTCACCGTCTCATTGGGCGCCGTCCTGGCGGTGATCATCCCAGCCTTCAGCCCGTTCGCGCGAGCGGCCGCCGGCTCTGCGCTGCGGTACACGGCCGCGCGCGCCGTGACAGCCGCGCCGCTGTACCGTTTCTGGCTCGGCCGGGGGTGGAGCAGCAAGAAATTGCGGGCACAGGCGGGCGCCGCTGTCAGGGACATGAAGCACGCGGTGCGCGAGGCCATGAGGCGCCAGCGGCTGGAGGAGTCCGAGGTCCACGACGGCGTCAGGAGGAGCACGAAGCCGCCGGCAGATGCGATGGTAGCCGGGCCCAGCCCGCGGCAGCGACAGAGACATGGGATGTCACGAAGAAGGGGTGATGGTGTCTAGGGGAGAGGCGGGGGGACGAATCGGAGGTGCTGCCTCGGTCCTGGGTGGTTGCATGCGCGGTTGTGCTGTCACGGTGCCGGGCGAGGTAGCGAAAGGCCCATGCCGGCGAATCTATCCCTCCACCGGCAGCCCTGGGTTCCTGCACGCTTTGACCCTCTTGTCCTCTTCAATTTCGGAAACCTTGCGTAAGCTTGATGCGCCTTGAGCGCCAAGGCAATGCGCCGCGCTCGCTGCGGCCCGGTGGGATTCGCGGTCTGCTAATAAGGCAACCAGGGGGTTGTCGGAGACGCTGTCGCGGCTTCAGCTTGACCTGGCCCACAAAGCAGATGACCGTGTGTGATTGACGCCCGATTTCTGTGCGTCTCACATTTGAGAGACACCGCAGCTGAACCCACATGCCTGGGTATACCCGTCTACGAAAGACAGCCTCTGAGAATGGTGCAATCGATAAGATAGTTTGCCGGCAATACTCAGCACTTGAGTCTTGCAGTTGGGAGCTACATAACAGATACAATACGGTAAAGCAAGGCTTCTTTCGCTCAACACACAAAGGGAAATAGGAAACAAGGTCAAGATGAACAGCAGCGCCTCTTCCATTTCCATTTGATTTGACCCCAATAAAACCCCTTTCGCCGAGATATGATGCTAACGCCTCTGGGATGATGATAACGAATGACTGCATGTTTGTGTGCCACCTCCGGTTTGTGGCACATACATTCGGGGCCAGGCTGTCTCGCAGGCCTTGCTCCTGCCTTCCGGGATGTCGAAGGCGACGGAACAGGACGGAAGCACAGCGCTATGAAGAGCGGCTTGGGTCTTTCGAAAACCGAGATTGCGGGTAGGCATGCCCCATCCCAGGGCACCGCAGGCGAAGGGTCCACTAGGCCCTCCTGACGCGGTTGAATATCCTCTTCATGAACCCCCGGTCGCCGCCGGCCGCCACATCGGGGCTCCAGTGGTCGGTCCCCGTCAGGATGGCCTCGATGCTCTCCTTGGGCGTCCGGCCCTGGGACATGTAACTCGGGCCCTGCTGCTGTGACGCCGATGGGTTCTGTTGCGACTGCTCCTCTGCCCTCGTGGTGTTGGACTGCTGGCTCTTCCTCCCGGTGGCCGGCAGGTAGGCGGCCTGCTGCGCGGCCTGCCACCCGTAGATTTGCTCGTCGTCGGCCCTCAGATCGGGTCTTGTCAGGGTCATCCGCAGGGTCATCTCTCTCGAGTTGGCCGGGATCTGCGCGTACGCGTCGTTGGGCTCCCGCACCGCCAGGCCGCCCCGCTGGGCTGACTGTAGCGGGTCTGTCAGGACCCTTGTCGGGCGGTGGTGGCCGGGGGGAGGCGTCAGGCCACCCATGTGGGGGGTCCTGGGCGAGTCCGGGTCTGAGATGCTGCTTGCGTCGTCGTCGTCGTCATCGTCGTCGTCGCTCAGGTCGTCGTCGTCGCCGTCGTCCAGGAAGGACCGCATGTGGTCGGCCGAGTCGTCCTTCAGCTGCAGCCGCGACTGACGTTTCCTGACCATGGAGCGCCGGTTCGACAGGGTTGGAGGGGCCTGTACCGAGTCTGTCGCCGGGAAGCCGAACTCAATGGCCTCGTCGAACTTTTGTGGGGACGCCAGGTACACCCGGAGCTTGAGCCGGGCTTCGGGGTCTTGGTAGTGGGCCGCGCCAGGGTCTATGCCTGTAAGGGATCCTGACCGCACGTGCTGCTGCCGCGGGTTCATGAGTGACAGGGTGCGAGACAACCGTTGGGCATGGTGTGTGCCGCTTGGCTGCTGCTGATGTTGTGGAAGGGTTGTAATATTGGGCGGGGAGCTTGGTGCCGTGTCACTGTCCCTCGGCTCTGACTGGCTGCCGGATACGGCTGGTTGACCAAACGGGCGCATGGATATTGACAGGTGGCGCCGGAAGGACGGCCGCCTGCTCTTGGCCGCATGCGGGAGCTCCTCCCGCAGGTTCGCGTGGTAGTCGTCCAGGAAGAGGCGGAGGTCCAGGTCCTCCTCCTCATCCAGCCACCTGAAGCTCTCGTACAGGCTCTCTCGCGCGGGGTCCTCCCGGCCGGCGGCGTGGGACTGGGCCATTGCCTCTGTCAGCGAATCAAAGCTCCCACGCCTGGTTGACAGGGTGCTCGTGGAGCAGTCGATTTCCGGCGTGGGCGTCAGGTTCAGGTTGCTAGTCTTGTGGCGGAGCTTGTAGATGGCCTCGTCCGCGGCGTCCAGGATGACACTGGCGCGCAGGTGCCTGACCAGTTCACACTGCTCCTGGCGGGACAGTTGGGTTTTCCTGGCCTTGTCTGGGTGGTTCAAGAACCAGGACGAGTCTGACACGGCCGTGGACGGGGAGTCGCGGATTGCGAAGGGATCTGGGGCGCTGCGTTTGGAGATGTGCCTCCGGCGCTTGCTCTTGTGGGTTGTGATGTCGTCGTAGTGGTTGTAGATGTCGTCCACGTCGGTAGACTCCTGTGCAAAACGAAGACGTTCCAGCGTGGAGAAGTACTGGACGAGAAGTACACGTTAGCTTTGGGGCAAATGTGACACGGACAGAGAGCTGGCAAAAACACCATGTGGAGGCGAGGAGGAATATAAAAAGGAAAACAAGAAAGGCACCAGGCACCCGGATTTGTTGACGACTTCGGGGCATGGGGGCACGACTCGTGCGAGCATGTGCAAGTCTGGTGGGTCCAGCAGGAACGGAGGGGACAGCGGACAGGAACAGCGGGTCAGAGCCTCGCTTGCGCAGTGTGAACGGGGCTATCGAGGCATGCAGGAGCACTGCATGGGAGCAGGGATGCGTGCTCCACACAGGCACCCGACATGCCCCGGGTGCCCTGGAGGCCCTGAGCCCAAGCGCCTCTGGTCCTGCCTGCAGTTGCTACAACGCGGGCAAGAGGGCAGCCGGTGACGACAGAACACGAGCTCCGTGGTCCTCGAGCGAGGGTCGTCAGGTCGTGTCTACCTCGTCACCCTCCGCCTGGCCATGCAGGGCAGGGGCGTGGCAGGGCATTGGCAAATTCCGCCATCCACACTTGCGGAGCCCCGGCCAGGCACGCAGCGGGGGACGGAAGTGGAGCGCGACTCGCGGCTGAAATATGGAGGCGTGATTGCTGCAGCCTGGAAGCTGAAGGTATGGGTGCATGAACCAGCCAGACCCGCCCCTCCCCCCGATACAACGACAATAATAACCAGAATTGCGAACAACGAAGGAGAACAGCAGGTGGTGGGTATGTACAGCAACTTGGCGACCGGCTCGAACCTGGCTGTGACCAGGAACTCGTGAAGCAGCAGGTGTGGGTGGGTGAGATTGGGCGCGGGTGGGTGTGTAAAACAAGACGATATAGAGGAAAGCAAACACACCTCGTGGGCAGGCTCTGATAACGGACAGAAAGAGGGGAAAACGAAAAGTAGAATTCAGAAAACAGAAAGGAACCAGCGAGGCACGTTCTCCGCCCCAAGCCAGAGGAAAATCCGGGGTTGGGGAGCAGACGAGGTGCCGGCCCAGGCAAATAACCGAGAGTTGACGCGGTGCGCTGGAATGGGAAAGCAGATTGAAGAGCACTGGCGATCATGCCAGAGTTGGACTGTCTGTTGGATCCCTTCCCAATCCAGACAAGCACTGGCAAGGAAGGAAGGTTCAGAGGCTCAGGGGACCCAACGGGACCCTTGCGGCCCAGGGCCCAGGGCCCAGCACCCAGCATCCGGGGCCAGGGCATTTGCCTAAGGGCCCCGGGCCCACAACCACAACGGATGGGCGAGAGAGTGTGTGTGTGACGGGGCTGCAGCAGCCAACAGAAACCGCCGCCTCGCTTGCCCCATCCTCCCGGACCCAACGCTGCGGCTCGTCTGCGCACAGGCTTAGTGGTCGCTGGCAGCTGGGTGCTAGGCCTTGAAAGCCCTAGTCCTGCACCGTCTCAAACGCCGAAGGACCGCCCAACCCGCCGTTTGATGTCAGCCGACTTCCGCAGTGTCATGGCCGTGATGCATGCTCCGTGGTGCTTCAACTCCCCGTCACTTGCCGGAAACTTGGAAGCTCGTATGCCATGCCGCCCCTGAAAATATGCAGCCGGATCAAGAAGTGGCTGCATTGCATATTGGACAGGGCACCAAGCGCATCTCTGCGCCGTGCCATTGGGCCGCCCGGGTGATGAGGTTGATAAACAATCATGCGGCGCGACTTCGCCGCCTCCCAATTGGGTGCACATCTCCTTGAGACAAAAAAAAAATGGGAGGGAGGGGGGAAGAGGAGAGTGTGTGCAGGGGAATAACGTGACTGCGTGACCGACCAATCGACCGGAATGCCGGCCGCGGGCCACTGGAATGTCGGAACCGGGGGTCCAGCTAAGTGCTGACGCGCTGGCGCGAACCCAGGTTGCCAGGGCCGTCGTAACCCGGCAGCTGAAGGATCGGGCCCCGTTGTGCGGGCGGGCAGGGAGGAAGGGAGATGGGGCGGGGAGGACACAAACAACCAACATACCTTTCGCTGGATTGCCAGGGGTAGTGCCTCATATTCCTCGCGCGTCAGTGGTGGCGGTCCTCCGCCCTCCGATGTGTTGGCCGGCTCCTTCGCATCCTTCAAGCCATTTGGCGCCCCGGAAGCAGACCGCGGCGGTGTCGTCCTGCCCTCGTGGGCCTCGACCGCCGTCCCGTCGTCGCTGATTCGCTTCCACGAGACGCCCGAGTCCATGCCGGCGTCGCCAAGCATCCCCACAGGGACGTCATCCTGGTGCGACTGGTGCTGGTGCTGGTGCCCGTGCTGGTGCTGGTGCCCTTTCCTGTTCCAAAGCCCGGTGAACGGGTTCGACGTGCGCGAGAGGTTCTTGGGTGCCGAGCGAGGCCTCAGGTGTGCGTGGAGGCCGTGATGGTAAGGGTCGGTCGGGATCCCCCCGCCGGACGACGCCCACGTCGACGACAGGAAGGCGGACGCGTCACTGGTGTCGCCGAGCCCGGACAGCTCAGGCATGGTCTTTGGCGGCATGGGGCGGTAGGTGGTGTGGTGGGAGTTGTGGCGGCGCGGCAGGGTCGGAGAGCCCTCGGGGCTCTCTGTCGAGGCGTCGAAGAAGGCCTCGAGCGGGAAGGGGCGGCGTCCTGCGGGCGAGGGACGGTCAGGGGAGGTCGAGGTCGAGGTCGGGGTGGACGGCGAGCTCGATAAAGGGGAGCCGGTTGCGCTCAGGTCTGCCCCTAGGTCGTCCCCGCCCTCGTCGTCTGTGAGGTCCAGATGGGCCCACCGGCGGTCCCAGAAGCCGTAGATCTCGTCGCTGCTGGCGGCGGCGGCGGCGGCGGTGGTGGTGGTGTCGGTCTCGCGGAGTCTGGCGAGGTCCTGGAAGGAGTGCAGGCGGGTCAGGCCCTCTTGGAAGACGGCGCTGTCGATGGACGAAGGGGACGGTGGCGGCAGGTCGGGGCGGGTGGTTATGAGGAGGTATGGGAGGTACTGTGATGGGAGGTATGGGAGGGGTGGGAGGTGGGAGTCGTCGTGTTTTGGCAGGCCGGGCTCATGGCACGCTGCATGCTCGACGGTACCGGGAAACGAGGTCGGAGAGTCGAGGCTGGAGGGCGAAGTGGCATCGATTGGAACCCCAGATTGGGCAATAGCCGTGCCGGCTGGTCGCTCGACCCCTTGCGCTGCTGCGCGTGCAGTGGGCGTGGGCGGCTCGGGAGGCTCGAGGGGGAGGCTGCCCTGGCTGCCCTGGCTGCCCTGGCTGCCCTGGCTGCCCTGGCTGCCCTGGCTGCCCATCTCGCTAGCTGCGGACTGGGCTTGCAGGGGGCTTGCCTCGCTCCTCTCTGCTAGCGCCGTGATAATTTGGCTGGGGGTTGCAATTTGCCCAAGCTGCAGGCCCTCGGGTGGGCTGCCCGGCTCCACCTTGCGAGCTGGCAGCTGCATGTGATGGCTTGTTGCGACCCCGGGCCCGCAAGGGACATCCATCCAAGGGGACCGCCTCCTGCTGTTGTGAGTCCTGGAGGGGAGGAAAAGGGAAGAGGTGGGCCTGTCGTGTCCCGACGGCCTGGGAGCAGCAGAACAACAAGACTCGCGCCGGCCTTGCCGTGGGAGAGTCCAGAGTCCAGACTCCAGACTCCAGAGTCCCTCTGCTGCTGGTCGTCGACTGGCGGGGCGGCCTGTGGCAGTATATAACAAAAGTCGCGACACGCAGAGAAAACAGCCGGCGCTCAGATGCTGTCGCAGCTGTTCGAGCCCACGCCTCGTCCCAACATCCTGTCCCTGCAGACTGCGATTCACAGCCATTCGACTGGACAGCCCAGCCAGCCAGCCCAGCACCGCCAGAGCTTGCTGATCACTGCCGGCCGCCGTTGGAGCTTCGCCGGGCATGGGCACCCCGGGCAGCGCGCACCTCCAGCTCTGCTCCTGCCCCGCCGCCCTCGTGGTCGTCGTCGTGGTTGACGTCGTCGTGGTCGTCGTCCTCGTCGTCTGAACCTCCAGGAGCTCGTGCTTGGCGTGGCGCCGCACTGGGGCAGCCCGGCCCACGGCTGACAACAACGACGACAGCAACAAAAACAACAGGGACAACAAGAGAACCCCCCTCGAGTTCAGTCAGCCACCTGCGAATGAGCTGAGGCACGCCCAGAGGCTCTCATCACATCACGGAGGCGTCCTGGCGTCTTGACCCTCGCGAGGTTGTCCATTGGCGGCCTGCAGAGGAACGTGGTGCCGCTGCACAGGCGCAACGGTTTCACAACTTGTGCTCTGCTGTGTCACCCGCAGCACAAGCACCCCTTCAGCCCCTTCCGAGGCGCACGGATCTACCGTTTCTCATCTCGTCTAGACTGTCCGTCCCGTACGTACTATCAAGTATGTACAGTACACAGCTCCTATTCCGGCACCGTGCCCTCTCCATCGCCCTCGCCCTCGCCCTCGCCCTCGCACCCCCGCCGCCATCGTGCATCGTGCATCGTGGACATGTGTTTTCTGCTGTGACCGAAAAGAAGAGACAGGCAGACAGGCGGCCATGGTCTGGGCACGGCCGGCCTGCCCAGTCAGTGCACCCGCAGGCTGTACAGATTATGTACTGTCGCCGAGGACATATAGCCCCCCCATGTCGGCGATATAGCCGCCCATGCACAACATCATCTCTCGATCGACGCAAAGGTTGGCACTACAGTACCGTGCACTAACAAGTCTGGTGCCATTCTGGCGGATCAGAGGAAACTCTATGGCGCTGATGGAAGAATGCGGCCATGTCGCTGGCAGTGCGGAGCCGGCAACGCAGCAGCGCGGCCCAGCACGTTGATATTGCTCGGTTCATTGGGACCTGCGAACCAGGCAACCACCGCTCTCGCGGGCACCCCGGCCATCTGTGTTCGAGGCTAGCTCGTGAGGCCCCACCCGGGTGCGCTAAGAACGACTGGATGGAGCCTCAATCTGCTGGGTGCTGGGTGCTGGGTGCTGGGCGGGCAGGTGATGGGGTGTCACGAGCGGGCTCGCGAGGAGAAAAAAACAAAAGTCGTGCATACGGGTAGATTGATGCTACGGTATCTGCCGTGGCCATCCAACAAGTCAGCCCAGCATCCACTCGAGGTGGCGGACTGACTCTGATTCTCGGCATGCATGCGAAAGAGAAAGTCCCCTCCGTGCCGGGGGGACTGCGAGCAATACTGCGCACCGCACCAGTAGACGGACGCCGCAGCTGTGTTTTGTGCTTTGGGACGGCCCGGCGTCTCGCTGGCAGCGTCAGGTAGTCAGGGAGGGTGCTGTACCCGTACCGTAGCGGGCACGCACGCTGGACCGTCACGGCCATGTCGACTGTCCCCGGATCAGGCGAAACCATCCACGTGTCCGGGCACTAGGCTGCGTAGGTATGTGACTGGTTGTTCTCGAATGATGCTCTCGTCTCGGGAGCGCACGTGGTGACAGCCAGCCACGTCCCTGCAAACAGCCTCTGGTTCCTGCATTGTGCCTTGTTACGGTCCCGAGCGGGCGATGAGCCTGGACGCTGCGGGTTGGAAACAAGCCCCGCCCAGGTGTGACCGAGGCCTTAGTCAAGCAGGCTACTGAGTAGACCTACTCTGTAACCTCATGCCGTATTACTAATAATGACAATAAGCATGATTGACACAGAAGGACCAGGCAGCATCCTGCGTGGTACTTGTGCCACGCGAGTCGCAGCGCATGCCCGCCAACAGCAGCCCCACGCTGCCAGGCTGCTCGCTGCTCGCTGCTCGCTGCTCAATAGACCCGCGCTATAGCCCATCTTGCTTTCGCTGCATCGCTCATCCGGTCGTAGATCCCGGGTGGAGGGCCAAGAAGGGGTGAGGGCAGACGGGAAAGTCAAAAGAAGAAAAATAGCCTCGAGTTCTGGGGTCGCACATGTGCTCGTATCGTGACGCTTCAGCACTCGTCACCCACAAAGCAGGCGGTGGAAATTAAGAAACCCATGTCGCGCATGCTTTTCCGTCCTCCTCAGCTGATGGAACACCAGCAACACCAGCAGCGCCAGCAACGCCAGCAACGCCAGCAACCAACACCGACAAGCTCGGACCTCCCCAGGCGCCTGCAGGACTCTTGGCCACACTACCACGCCGGAGCGGTGTGATGTCGTACTGTACGGGGCTACTACGCTCCTGGCTGCAGGACCGCTCTACCCCAGCTGCCCAGGCCGCAGACCTCACTCGAGAATCCTCTTGCCTGCCCAACACACCTGAGACGTGGCGCCGGGGTCACCAGAACCGCCCTCGTGACACGTCACAATCCGCGCGACCCGTCGACGTCCAGGGCGCGTTCGAGCATTCCGGCGCCGCCCTCCTGCCATTGCTCGTTGAGCCACAGTCTGGGCGGGCGCCATCGGCCAATCCTCGCCTCCCCAGGTGGCGGCAATCCGGTCTGCCGGTCCGGAGGCAACATTGTCCCTGTCGAGGGTCGGGCTGAACCTTCTTGGTAGCGTCTCCAGCTCAGCATTCAGCCGGCGCTGACGGCCAAGAGTGTGCCCACACACGAATAAGCTTAAATCTTGCGCGATGCTTTCGTACAGCCGTGGGACTTGAAAACAAGGTGTCCGGCTCAACCCATCTCTGAAACACACGGTGATATCCCAGTGCAGTGTGTAATTAATATTGTGCATTGCTCTTGATCTGTGTTTCCTCCCGTTGCATTCAGAAAATACCCGCGCCTGTCAGATCTTGTCAGGGTTACACGTGGCAGCAGGATGCTGCGAGACTTCACCGGGCTTCCGCCGGCTCTAATTCATCACATCTAAAGGCCAGAAGATGGCGCCGCCGACTTTTCCCGAGGTCATCAAGCTCCCACGTCTTGTCAGTGTTGCCTGGATGCGCAAGTTGGTACCTCATGCTCATCGCAATCCCATCGAAATTTCACGCACTTGCAAACTTGACGAACCCGGGAGCCCCCCCCCTACGATGGACCAGCGCATCAGAGCAGAACATCAACCTCAGACCCCTCATAGACTGGGCCATGTAGTGTTTTGATGTGGTTTGAGCTTGGTTTCCACCACACGTGCTTCTCGGGGTCGTCCAAGATACCGTCAACCAGAACCAGCCTCCCGGGTTTGGCCGAGCGAGAAAGGCGCCTTCGGATGAGGAGATGAGGGTAAGCAGACCGAGGAGATTGACGCCTGATGTGGACAAGAGGGGGATGAAATCAAGCGGGGGAGGCTCGAGTCTTTGACGGCAGCCCCCCGCGCCTTCCCAATTACCATGCGATATTCATCCCATGTCAATGCTTCCCCCAGATCCAAACTCGGAGCAGCTTTCCGACAATACGATCGGGGGACATGCGAAAGCCGCTCTTCAATCGCGAACACACAGACACAATAGAGTGCGGCTTATGCTCTATTATTGGTATGCAGGACCCATAGTCCCGGTTTTATATGGAGCGCAGGGTCTCGATGTTCTCCCCCATCGTGCCATTTCATTTCAGCCACCCATTCCCTTGGGATTGCGGCCCTGACGGCGTCCCCGCTCACGGCCCGGGTCCTGGATGATGGGATCTTGTCTCGTAAAGGCGCTAGAAAATGCCTCTCGCTCGCGTCACTAACGCCGCGTCAACCGCCGGTCATGTGAGCAGAGCGCCTGCCCAATGCATTGACAGCGTGCTACAGGTGGCCCGCAGTCGGCCCAGGGGTCGCAGCACAGACGCTTTGGCGAGATTACACAAGCAAGGAGCGACCTGCGCCTGTCCAGAGATCCGATCCTGCGCAGAGTGCGTGGGGAAGATCAGCTGCTGGTCTCACTATGCGCTTCATCTTGTAGGGAGGCAGCTGAGGTTTCATCCAGGACCGGCCCAAAAGTCATTTGTCCGCTTCTTGGGAGCACAGGGGCCCGGCTTGGCAGAGTGCGACGAGCAGCCAATCGTCTTACACGGATTTACAGGGATGTGGCGTCTAAAGCTGCCCTGCCGGTACCATCCGGGCTGGTGGTATCTTGCACCACTGCCAGCAATATGGTCCAAGTCTGGTCCATCAATTAAAAAGAAATAACTTGAATTGAGAAGTTTGGTCTCCTAATATCTCCTTTCCCGACCTGTAGACAATCGCTGCGGCATGGAAACCAGCCACCCTCCCCCCTATAAAAAAGTGCTGAGTAGCGATTAGACGTGTGATAAAATAAAATACAGGGTTGACGGCCTCTTCCCAACTCGCTGGATTATGGGCATATCTCTGTCAGGATTGGCTGAGCCCTAGTCGTCCAGATCGTTAACGGCGTTGTGGTTGATGGGGTCGTAGTACTTGAACACCTGTGGCTCCTGCCTCCCAATATGATCAGCGGCTGCCGCTGTGACCGCTGGGGCCGTGAACGTCGAGACCCCGTTCTCATAAGTATCAAAGGACCATGCGTCACGCTTTCCGCCACCTCCAGGAAGGTCGACGATAAACTGCGGCATGTTGAAGCCTGCGATGGAACCCCGGATCTGGGACTCAATGTCCAGCAGGGTCTGCAACGGCGTGCGGTAATGTTCGACGTTTTGGGTCATGTCACAGACGTAGACGTAATACTAACATCCAGTAAGAACATTTAGCAATTGCCGTAGGACACAAGAGAAGAATAAAAGAAACGAGTGGTGTGATGGGCTGCCTACCGGCGTGACATTGTTGTCGGCCAGCCTTCGGATCAAGCTCGACATGGTCGGGACATTGTCGTTGATGTCCTTTAGCAGCACTGTCTGGTTGCGAACCGTCACGCCCGCCGTGTACAGCCTCTGCGCCGCCGCCTCCGTGATCCATGAGATCTCATTGGGGTGGTTGAAATGGGTGTGCATGGCCACAGACTTGCCAAGCTTCCGCGCTCTCTGTGTAACCTGAATGAGTGCATCGGTCCAGTCATCGGCCTCGTCAATGAATCGCATGGGAGCCACCGCCAGTCCCTTGGACGCAAAACGGAATCGACGAATGTGCGGAACTAAGGGGCTTGTCAGCACGGCTTGCGTTGTTCAAGGGCTGCGATAAAGGCCTGTCGACTTGTTGTCTCACTCGAGAGGATGCGATCAGCTTCGCAAGGCTACTCACTGTTGAGGAGACGGTTTCCGATGCTGCGAATGTTCTCTGGGTGGATATAAAACGAGTCACCGCCTGAGATCACAATGTCCTGCAACTTTGGGTTGGCCTCGATGTAGGCAAAGATCTCATCCCACCGTTGCCGCCCGGGCTTGTACGCCTTCTTTTTCACCGTCTTGGTGTCGCCTCCGATGGCGTATGCTCGAGTGCAGAATGTGCAATACGTCGGGCAGACAGATCCCGCTGCCAAACTGTGTAAGTTATACAGTAGCAGTGCTGTAAGTCCAGTGAAGTATTGACTACTCACCAAGAAACAATGCCTTGTCGGGATACCTGTGGATCAGTCCTTTCACAACCTCGTGTTTCTTCTCGCCCAGAGGATCCAAGACGAGCTTCGGGTGGTCTGGCAACATTATTGACTTCAAGGGGATAAACTGGCGGAATATCGGGTCATGTTTGGGATCCCGCCAGTTGATGCGGCTGAGGAGGTAAGGTCTAGGAAGCTGTATTAGCGGTAAACTCTTGCCGCGTATCAGGGGGTGACATGCGTGATGCGGAGGGACATTGGAGCTGCTTGGGTACCATAGTAAATGTCCTCAATGAACTGCTCCTTGGACTGGGCTCCCGCGCCGTCTGGGATCTCATCAGGTACCACAGAGTTGAGAAATCGGTGGAGTCTCTGAACACTGTCGACTGTGTTGTTTATCTTCACGTACAAGTCTATGTTAGCCAACTCAGAAAGACAGACATACGCACATGAGGGTAGTGGGTATGCTTGAGGCGCCACTCACGCTCCATTTGTACGAGAGGAACTGCTCCTTGGACACGTTGCTGTACTCTGGAATATCTCGCCAGAACTCCTCCCCCCACAACAGGGATGTCGAAACAGGATGGTGACCCTTGGGAGAGGCACCCTGGAGGTGCTCGTGGGCCTGGTGTGTGCCACCTGCGCCGGGCGTCGCCTGATCGTCAACGTGGGCAGCTAGGCCTCGCCGTTGAGGAAGAACAAGGGTTCGGCGAGGCAATGACCTCTTGACAGCGCTTGAGAGCATGGCCCGGGTAGTCGTAGACATATTGAAGGCCTTGTTATGTATTTGTGTGTCCCCCAAGAAGCTTCTGTGAAGTCAAGCTGAGCTTCAAAGGACTGGTAGCCCTCTACAACCCGTTCCCAGAAGTAGGAACTCCAGTCTCGGAAGACTGCTGCTGGCGAGGATGGGAGAGAATTGCGCGTTCTCACGGAGGGATAGCTCGTCACTCTGGGACAGGCCCGGAACAAGAGTGGCTGAAGGGGAGCCTGTTAGTACGTGACGGGCCGAGGAAGCAACTCGAAGGTAGAGCAAGCCTATTTGCGAGGCGGATCTTACATCAATGTGTCTGCGTCCAAGGATTGGGAGTGTGTACTCGGACAGCCTGAGTGGTGATCAGCTCCGGCGGACTGCACACAGGGCGCGAAAAAACCGACCTGAAAGCCAACACCGAGTCTGAGTAGAGTTCACAGGCCAAGAAAGGCCAGATCCACGTTTGCAAGACTCGCAGGAATCTTGTGACGGGGCGGGACTCTAAGTTTTGGCGAAGGAGATCCGGAAGCAGACGCGAATCGGGAGAGTTCAAAGAAGACAGACAGCGACACTACCCAGTGCTCTGCTCAGCAGCTAAGTATTTGGAACAAGATTTGATTCAGGCATCTGGATCATCTCATGAGGTTCGGTCTAGCTTTTATACTTGCGCCTCTTAACTGCTGCCCATCGCGTGAACACAGTGAGCACATCAGACTGGCCCAACATCCTCTCCCCGAGGCAGGCCCCCCATTGTCACGCAGAGACAGCACCGGCACCGGTTAACAAGGGTACAAGTTACTTCCCTCCGGGCTCATGAGACTGGACTCAACAGGCTACCGGCACATTGGGCCACTGCATGCGGGTACCACTTCGGGACGGGTGGTGTGGCACGTCGAGCACTTGGACAAGGCTCACTGCTGGTTTCGACGATGCGGATAACAAATGAGAGGTTAGAATGGCCGCAGACTGTTTCCAACTACATGATTATCCGCTGCGCAGTGGTTGGCTTCAATGCTTTGGCCCTTTGCCGAGGTTGCATCTGCGTTGGCTACCTGCTGCTGTGGGTCGGCGAGGGCTCGCTGTGTGCGCGCCGGCGAGTGAGGCTGTCGACTCCTTTTCTCTCTTCTTCGCAGTTCAGCTCTGTTTGTTTCTCCACAATTTCGTCTTCAGGACGGTTGTTCGTAGGCTGGCCCGCTGCCTGATGTCAAACTTCTGCCTTGGGGCGGTGTTGCCGTTGGACGCTGTGCGGCCTAGGCTGCACCGAGCCGCCTCGACGGCCTGGTCTGCAGTCGATCGCAAGGACCCGCTTTCGGTGGCCGCAAATCAACGGGAGAAGGCACAGCATGGGCAGCAGGAGTAGCTCATGTAGTGTATTCTGACCTGGATGGCGGTCGGCACGGGAGCTCTCACCGGCTTCTGGAACTTTCTCGCCCTGGCGCTGCCTCACTTCCCAACGAGAAGCCTGACACACACGATATTGTTTGTACTTCCTCGCCTATCGATGATACAATCTCCCTGTGAGACATGGCAGGGTCGCACAACCTCAGATCCCGGGGCCGGCCCTACCAGTGATACGAATGCTTCATTGTGAGGGAACACAAAACGAGATCTTGAGCCTCAACAAGTGCCAAAACTGAACGTTGATAGAATACTAACACCGTACTGTGTGCGTTGGACCCATCTCTAGGTGCCTGGACACCAGCCCTGCGGACTGGAAGCGGTTGTCTCTTGGCCAAGCAGGATCTGCCCACAAATCGGCCGGGCAGTTATTGTCCACGGCCCATCAGCATGGCAATGGCCACATCGTCCGATCCAGGAGTAGCTCGAGCCCCGAGATTAAGTCTCGCGTTTCCGGTGTGGCAAGGCCTCCCTGGACCAGATCCGGGTTGGCGAGGATTTGCCTCGCAGTATCAGTGTGGCTTCTTGAAGGGGCTGTCATCTCGTGCGGTACGTTGTCAGGATTCCAAATAACCGAACCAATGCCAGATATTCGGTACATGGCGACAGAAAGACATGCAGCGATAAGTAGCGAGCCAGGCAGTCCCAAACACCACACCTCACATTTGTTCAGCCACCTCGGCGGCGTATTCTCGGAATGATTGTGCTGTGTCGTTCCAGCAGTCTGGATGAACTCTGGCCGTGGCCTCGTGGATGGATTGTATCGTTCGATTCTTTCTAGCCTCTGCTCATCAACGGGGACGGACGGTCCACGGGATCAGGACTGACCGCAGCAGGGAAACCATAGGAACACTGTAAGATCTAAAAAGTCAATCCGCCCGCGCCAAGGACCCTTTGGCGTTGGTGAGCTTCGGCTAAGCGCGCTTTCGCCTGATGAAGCTCTGCAAGCATTGGCGAGGAGGCGTGACCGGTCATCTGCATCGAGTTGGAGACTGTTGATCAGCCATTGAGAGTCCCTGCGCCTGCGGACGAGGCCATGATGGTCGCAAGGTGCGTTGCGTCCGGATTCCCCGGTCCATCAGCCGTGAGCACTGCGACCCGACGCTCTGGTAACGAGTCGTGATTCGATGGTGAAGAAATGCAAATACACATGCCATGTCCAAAACCTGCTAGTCTGAACATGGACTGCATGGTCGTCCTTTTGCAGCTCCAGGGGCACCGTTGCAAGGATTGGGACAGCGTTGACAAGTGCCACTTCGCGAAGAAACCCCGAGCGTGGTCGTACAGATACGATATGAGCGAGATCCTGCAGAACAGCTCTGCATACCATAGCAGTGCCCGTCTTCTGCAACTGTTGCTCGACGGGCCCAGAGCCCTGGGTCGAAGCGTGTTGGTTTACAGCACGAGTGGGGTCCTGCCAAGGCCAGAACAGGGGCCACTGGGCTGCATGCTCACTCCCATACCCAGTCGCAATTCCCGCTTGACAGGAAGGTCAGCCCGACACTGCCCACCCTCCCGCCAGTCCCCCCCTACAGAGGAACACAGGCCTCGTAGGGCAGCGCACAGGCCTGAGTCTGTTTCACGGGGCGGGCCGCAAGACCGACTTGGATGACTGGCTTGGCTTGTGTCGGGAAAGGGGAAAAAAAAAAAAAGAAACAACTGCCTCCCAACGTGCGGCTCTGCCAGCAGACACACACGCAGAACCCGCACCCATCAAAAGTCGACATGAATGAACCCCAAGGCCTTGGCTGCTAGGCTGCGGTCCAATTGTGGTTGTCTGACGCACGCCAGGGAAAGATCACGGGCGAGCCTGCAGCTGCGTCACAACAATCCTTGTCACCTGCATGCCAATGCGTCTGGACACTGGTCGCACAACCCCGGTATAGCCCTGGCACCTCGACAGCGACCATGAAATGCAGGCCGCCCTGGGGAGGAGGTACGGACGAGGTTCGGCCTCCGGTCCCGAGGAACACCAGCAGGTGCGAAGGTATACGCCGACGGAGTGAGTCCCTGCCGACCAAATCAACCACACATCGGTTATGTTCTCCTATACCTTGCAGTCAAACCGACAGGCCAACGGATCTGCCGTGGTGCGTGAGCGTCCGTAGAAAAGGTGGCCTGAATATGCAACATGCTGCCACGAGCAACAATCCACTCAATTACAGCGAATATTAAGTGATCTGCGGCTCGCATGCAAGCAGCCAGCCGAGGCGAGCGTGATTGCCTCGGAGCCTGTGCTACTGCGGCAGCACCGTTCCGTCAAGGCGTCATGCTTGTCCCGGGACCCCATTCCTTCCAAGGCTTCCTTTGCTTCGTTGACAGTATTTGACAAGCGGGAGCCGTACCCGGGTTCCACAGCAAAGCAAAAGGGATCGATACCCTTGCCGTTGAGAAACGGGGCTTTCATTGTTGTTCTGTTGTTGGGGTCTTGCTTGGTGAGGCCCCCTCCACCACAGCCGAAGTTGACCTTGTTTGAGTGGTGCTCAGTTGCCTCTACGGAGCACTGCGACCTGCCGCGTTCCCTCCTTGGAGACATGACAGGTCGAAAAAAGCGGCGGCACGATGGCGGTGCTCTACCTCTGCGGTGATGACAGTTGTGGCAAGAACCGGTCAGCACCAATGGTGTATCTCGAAAGGGCCCGGCTAAAACGACACGAACCAACCATGAGGGTGTTCAGGTTCCAACTGTGAGGAGCCAGCTGGTTAACCATGAGACCAGTCATGAAGTGTGACCACGATGTCAGGAGCAAGTTGAGACGTGCTCACAGGGCCGGGCGAGCAGGCGGGCCCGTCAGTTCTCAGGCTGACCGGTAACCTGGATAGAATCGGTCGTGGCAAGAAACCCATAACCAAGCTGGATCGGCAGCACAGCCCACAAGATAGACTCTAGCGGACGAGCATCGATTGCCCACCAATTTCCCGCGTCCCGGATTCGTGCGCAGAGGCTTGTTGACCTGGCAGCAGCCGTGTTCTCCCAGGAATCTCCCCCCTTCCATTTTCAAACATCAAGCCGGGCCAAGGTGCTGCTCTCGGGCAGTATCAGTCAAGGTAACAGGCAGACAGCCACAACCCACCCAGTGTCCAAGGTTTAAAAGGGAAATTAGAGGACAAGAGGACAAGAGGACAAACAAGAATATTCATAAATTCCCCAGCGCCTTATGCCTAGACAATGTTGCACACCGCCCACCACCCCCCCCAAACACGCTGCTTCAACCATCGATCCTGCCCCTAGCCATCACTTACACAGTGCTGCCCAGTCTACCCGAGACGACCCTCCTCTTCTTCTCTTTCCCCCTGCTTGCCAAACCGCCCTCTGTTGTCAGGCGCCTCCCCTTATACCTCCTCATCACTGTCCTCCCCCAGCAGCTCCCCCTCGTCGTCATCGACGTGAGCGTAGTCGCCTCTCCCGCGCGCAAAACTGTCCCGCGTCGTGAACGGCCTGTTCCTGCCGAGGCCGCCGCCGCCGTTGAGGCTGCTCCAGCCGCCTCCGACGCCGCTCCCGTAGCGCCACCTGTCGAAAGCCGCAACGCCAGCCCTCCACACCGCCGCCAACACGAGCGGCACTGCTCCTGCGACCGCGGCCGCGGCGCTAACTGCCACGACTGGGTATCGCACCCATGGGGAGTCCGAGTCAAAAGCCCCGCCACCGAACCCGGCCGGGGAGGCGTTGGACTGCTCTCCGAGCCTGATCTGGCCGAACTTGTGGCTCCAGTTGTTGTAGACGTACCACCCGGCCGCCGCGGCAAGCGCGAACGGGATCGTGATGGCAAAGAACAGCCCCACGCCCGAGATGCGATGCTTCTCTGCGAACTCATCCTCCTTTCCAGGGCAGACGTGCTCGCGACTCTGCTTGTCGAACTCCGTGCCGTCTTGGCACGTCGACAGGGGGATCTTTCGGTAGCCCGTTGGCTCAAAGTAAGACAGTCGGGACGGGTCATCCTTGCACCACTGCAGGTGGTCGACTGGCTCAAGGCCCTTGACCAGCTGGCACGAGCCGTGGTTGTCGAGCTCGTAGTTGTAGTCACTGTTGGTAACGTCAGTGGTTGGAACACGCATGCGGCTTTGAGACCGCGGGGGGGGGGGGGGGGTTGGCGACTAACCATTCGTAGTCACGTCGGGTGCAGTCGCAGTTCTGGACATTATAGACGTGCTGTATCCTGTACCCGTTGTAACACGTCTTGTCCACCTTCTTGCGCATGTATTGCGTGACATGCCCAAAGAGGCAGTCGTTGTCCTGGAGAGGGTGGCTGGGCGACCAGATGCGGTAGTCGGACTCGTTGGGGTCGTCGCTCTGCTCGCATGGCCGGTCAGCTAGGCCTGTGAAATCCACGGTTGTGGCCTTGGTGTTGTCACCGTCCTCTGTCCACACGATGAACTTCCGCGAGACGCCAGATGCCTGCGTGGTGAAGTCGGTGACCCTCTTCTCTTCCTTGTCGAAGTCGACGTCTTTCCACGACCGACCCTCGTCCGTTGTGTACGACAGAGTCTTTGTCTTCTTCTCCAGCGGCACCAGTGCAATGATAGAGCCCTGGTCTCCGTACTGCCACAACCAGCGGCCCTTCTTGACCTGTCTCCAGCTGATTCCGGCGTCGGTGGTCATGTACGTGTCCGAGTCCTCGAGCTTGCCCAGGTACGGACCAACGTTCCCCCAGCCAAACATCAGGCCGACAGCCCCAGCAGATGAGAAGGTCTTGCGGTGATCCTTGCGCTCTGTGTAGCCGTGGATGTGCAGCGCACACTTCTCATCGCCCTTGCCGCTGCATTGGAACTTCTTGTCCTCGGAGTCCTTTTCGGGAGGCGGCAGGTAAGCCCACTCAGCGCCATCGTTATGGCTAATCTGTGTGCGAAGCTTCTTCGGCTCGTTTTTCTTGTCCCGGTTGGCGTAGATGTTGACCATCGTAACTCCCTCGAGACCCAGCATCTTCTCAAAGTCCACATAGTATCCCTTGTTACAATTGACACCCGAGATGGACATGACATAAGACGTGCCGTTCGAGTTACTCTTCATGATGTCCCCGTGTTGAACGTCGTCAGATGTCTCGGTGGCCACGAACAGGTTGATGGCGTGGGTGGAGCTGTCCAGGACGGTGTACGCGTGCTGGTAAGGGACCTCGAAGTTGTAAGGGAAGTGTGCCTCGGCATAGGTAACGCCATCCAGACTGGCGAGAGCTCGGAGTGTGTTCTTGGTGGTGTTCTGGGTCGCCACGACGATGAATTCCGACATTGTCGCGAAGTCCTTCACGTCGTCCTGGCGCATCGCCTCGGTGTCGAAGAAGTCGTTGCTGACAACAAGGTTCCACGGGTTGCCGCTGTCTTCCCCCTTCCTCGTCCTGCAGATTATCTGGTCGTTGTGGCGGAATCTGAGAGAACTGGACCCGGTGAACTCGCACCGGTCGACATACCGCGCGATGGTCTTCCAGTTGTCACCACGATCCCTGGAGAGCGAGGCTTCGTCGTGGCAGTTCTCACCGTCGGACGTGCACTTCTGGCCAACCCAGATGATCCAGTCCTTCTTGTCGGGGTGGAAAGCAAGCGGCGACTTGTGAGACTTGAGGTTAGGCGGCGTTGGTGCCTCAAATTCCTCATAGTTCCTACCTCTGTTAATCGTGTAGGTAACCTTGCCGTCGGGTTTGATGAAGAAAGCCATGTCCTTGAAGAACGTGTGCAGGATGATGCCCCAGTACTGACTCTTGAGGGCGTCTGGCTGGGTCCAGGTCTTGCCGGCATCATGGGTGATCTGGATCTTGCCGTTCCCCCGGGCGATGATGGTTTCGTCATCCGAGGAGCTGGAATCGCCGCGCTCGAGGTAATGTATCTCGACATCCCTGGAGTTCTCAAAGACGTGCTGCGTTGTCTCGACCTGGCCGTTGCCCGGGGCCTTGGGCGGGGACTGCGAATCGCCGCACTTGCGGTCTACCGGGTCGTCCTTCTGCTTGCCGGACGTCCTCTTGCAGGTGTTTCCGGGGATCAGACGCCACCCCGATGAGCCCTTGAAGGTGTCATCCGGGCCTGCATTCTTGCAAGCGCCATCTGGCGCGACGACGGGGCCGGCGGGCACACACTCCCCGTCCTCCTTGCGGAAGTTGTAGTCGCATTCAAAGTCCTTGTCGGTGCAGTCGCAGTCGGCCGTCACCATCGAGACCAGGTGGAATTCCTGCTTCAAAAAGCACTCGGCATCCTTCTTTCTGCGCCTATACCTCTGCGTGTGGCCCATCAGACACGTAGCCTTGCCATCTTTGTCCACTCTAGCCCACCAGTCCTCCATGTCTTTATCTTCGCAGGTGCGCTCGTGCAGACCCTCAAAGTCAATGGCAATGACGTGGAACTCGGGTTTGTCATCGTCACCGGTCTGGCCTGTGAGGATGAACTTCAGACTCGTGGAGTCTGGGGTCGTGGTCAGTATCCAGGGCTTGATCTTGAGGTCCCCTGGCAGCTCGACGGACTTCCAGTCCTTCCCGTGGTTGAGCGAGTACTTGACCTCGCCGACGTCAGGCTTTTCAGAGTTGTGGATTGCCACTAAGATGTTGCCCTGATCACCAAACTCGTACTTGTGCGGCCCTTTCGGGCCCTCCAACCAATGCATGCCGGCGTCGTCGGAGATGTACAGTCTTGCTTCGGAGTACGGCTTCAGGAACTCTCCAGGGTTGCCGTTGCCCATGATCAACCCGGGGGCCGGGCTCGAGAAGACCCTGCCGACGTTGTTCAGCTGCGTCACAGAGTGCAGGTGAATCCTGTCGCCTGCGTCGTGCGTCTGCACGAAGTCGAACGTGCGCCCATCGTCATGACTGATCTCGGAAATGATCTTCTTCTCGGCCAGGAAACTTTTCTCTACCTCCTCCCAGTTCTCCACCTTGTTGACCAAGAATATCCCCTGTATGCCGGCGATCTTCTCGAAGTCGACATGGCCCATCATGTTACGATTTGTGTGCTCGATGTTGCGAGTGAAGAATGTGCCGTTGGAGTTGCTCGTGAACATGGCACCCATGGGGTTCGACGGGTGCGTGGTCATGACGTCGACCTGGATGCTGTAGTTTGTGCTCTCCAACACGGTGTAGGCCTCTTGGTCGAGGCGGTGATCTGTAGGGAACATGGCCCGGTGCCACTTGAGCGAGTCGTCTGTGACAAACAAGGCCATCTCGTCCGTGTTGAGGGAGCTGGTGGCGACCAGGAGGAACTTCTTCACGGCAGCGACGTTCACGATGCCCTGGACAGGCCTGTTGGTGTCCAGGTTCGGCTCGAACTCCTGGATCACGCCCTTCTCGTCCTTGGCAGAGAAGAAGTTGTCTGAGATGAGCAGGCGGTTGTCCTGCCTCAGCGGGGAGAAGCCATCCCTAACGGCGCACAGGATGCGCTGCTTGTCCAGGTCGTCCTGGCCCGTTGTGAACAGCTCCGAGGACTTTGCCCACCAGCAGCCTTCGGTATTGCCGCGGAGAAACTTGGCGTCGCTCCTGAAGCCGTCTGTGGTGTACATTGTTATCTCGTCACAGAAGATGCTCTGGCAGTCCATGCCATTGAATATGATCCGGTCGGGGTCGCCAGCGTGGAAGTTGAACACCTCGCCGCGGAACAGGCTCATCTCGGCATCGGTGAAGAACGAGGTCCATGTCTTCCCACGGTCGAGGGTCTTGTAGTGGACCTTGCCCTCGGTCAGGACATAGGCGCGCTCGTTGTTGAAGGGGTGCATGACGAGGGACGAGGCCTTGCCCTCGGGGACGTCGGGTATGCGGTCCCATGTCTTGCCGCCGTCGTTGGACAGGTATACGTTCTGGTCGCTGACATCCTGGAAGAGGACTATGTCGGATCGGTCGAAGTAGTTGAGGTTCAGAGGAAGGTGTGGGAAGGTCTTGATGGAGATGTTGGGCCCGTCCTTGGCTTGGACAAGCACATGTGGCGTCGCCCCGAGCCAAGCCAGCAGCAAGGCGGCAGCCTTGTAAGCTCCCCAGCCCTTCATCGTGTCGGCCGGAGCGTTGTGGTGATCATGAAGGAGGGGAGCGGGGCGGGGCGAGATGTACGTGTCTATACGAGTGTCGGTCGGGCAGGAGGGTCCGAGCTGGACAGGCAGGTCGGGAGAGCTCGGCGGGACGAGGGCGTCGGGCGGACGCGATGCGCGGTTGGGAAGGCAAGTGGTGCAGTGCAAATGGCGATGCGGGCAGCGGTCTGCGGTAATGGTCACGTACGAATAGATCGGAAAGGATGATGTGTCGTTCGCCGGAGGCTGGACAGGATGGATCAATGGATGGGTCTGCTTATGCTAGCCCGGGCAACAGGCAATGGATGGGTGGCGTCGTCTCGTCTCAGGGCACCCGAGTTCTGAGGCATACAGCATACGGCATGGGCATGGGCATGGGCATGGGGCATGGGCATAACCGCAAGGCGTACGTACTATGTACTGTGCGCACCAAGCTAAGAATAGAGAGGTACGGAGTACCTACGCAACCGACCAGCACAGCTCCCGGAGCCGTGAGCCGTGTGCCTTGGCCTTGGCCCTGCCCTGTGCCTGCCTGTGCCTGCCTGTGCCTGCCTGTGCCTACCTGTGGGTTCTCCCGTGCTGCACTGGCCGCACCGCTTTCACCAACGGGGAACGGCGTCCCTGATTATGCAACAACGGTGTAGGCCTAGCGCCAGCTCTCCCTCGCTCACAGCTCCGAGTGGCCCCGGCCATTTGCGGCGGACAAGCTCCAGAGCTTGAAACACTCCTCGTTACTAGAGCCACGCTGGCCCCACCAGAGCTGCGTCAGGCAGGGTATTGGGGGGCATTGGGGTCCTCGGGGGGAGACCCCAACTTGAGTCGATTACAAGTACGGAGTAGATGCAGAAATGTGCTGCACGGTCAGGTGGTTGGGCCGTGTCCAAACCCCAAAGAACGCCTTCCAAACCTACTGCGGCCGGCTGCGTGGTGAGTGTATCTAGGCGAGTGAGTGGGTGCATAAGCTCGAGACAAGGAATGGTGGGAGCAGCACCTGCCAGAGCCAGAGCCAAATTCTTGGCCCGCGTGTTGGTAGGTCCGTAGGCCACGCGACATTGTTTCAACCGCGAGCATCGAGTTGCAACCGCGCCTTTCCCTTGCGGTGGAGTTTCCTGATGTCACACTCTGGAAATTTCCCGAGCCTCCGGATCAGAGAACCCGGTCCCCCACACCCAGCAGTGGGTGGTTTTTGAGCCTCCTGTTGCACTTCAATTAATCCAACCTCCCTCGTCTATAAAACTCTCACACGAGCACCGAACATAACTCTTGCAGCGCGAGGAGTACAGCTGCATAGCCTCAACACACACACACACACACACACACACACGCACGATGGCACAACTAGACACATTTCGCGACCTGTAGAAATAGTTCCGATCCAAATATTGTGTATATATAAATGAGACGCATTTAAGTCGGTTTGGTTGTCTTCAGGAAACGGCATCGACAGTGGTTTTTCTTGATCGGCAGGCGGGTTTTCTCGCCCCGAAGCTGTACAAAGGAAAATAAAGAATCGATAAGTCGAGGGCTCAACGGGCGTGAGCGCCATACAACGTCGCCCGCCGTCAGCCAAACACTCCCTTCCCCCCCACAACTCCAATCAACCCCAATCCTCCTGAGATCTGTGCCTTGGGGCTTTGCCTACATGGGTTCGAAAAGCCCGGGAGACCAGCGACCCCTCCACCACCACCGGTGTATCCAAAAATGACAACCACGTAGCCAAAGAGTTGGAATGAACGAGGCCTCCCCATGTACGACCATGATGTTTGACCAGATGGCCGCAGTGGGCTGTCGAAGCCGTTTCCTTTAGAAATAATACAATAGCAATTATGTGCACGTATATGTATAGGAGGCCTTAGCCCCAGGTGCTGGCCTGAGCCACCAGAGCTGGGGGGTACGAGGCCGGATGTGAGACCGGGTCGAGTCCGCCGTCTCTCGAGGTATCAAGTAGAAAATGACGCTGAACAGAAAATCGCGAGGGGGCGTATGATCATGACAGGGCGCTTAGTTTGAAAGAGTCACGAAGATGGTGCCACCGGCTTGCGCAGCAACCTATTGCGGAGTCAGCAAGGCCCGGCGCGAGGCGGTCAGTTGGGGAGGGGGGACGTACCGTACAGCCGTTGCCATTGCTAGGGCTGAAGGAGTTGGACGAGTACGAGTACGTGCACTCCTGGCTGACGTCGCCGCTCAGCTTGATGTTGAAGTCCAGGGGGGTGTTGCTGGTCGGGGTGTTGTGGAAGATGGAGAGGAAGGTCGTGCCATCTTCGTTGACGCTGGTGCCCAGGTTGACACCGGCCCAGTTGCCAGCGTTCTTGGAGTACGGCTCGGGGCTGGTCCACTGGCAAGCAATGTCCTTGTCCAGGCCCTTGAGGTTGACGTAGTACTGAGCAGACGTGGAAGCTCCGCCCCACACGTATGACTGGTTCTGGTATGGGTTGTAGAGGTTGTAGGTGGCACCGCCCTCGACAACGTTGGACAGGATCATGTCCTCCTTACCAGGGTACGAGGTCTTGCACAGGCTCACCTTGTCGTCGAGCTTGTTGATGACCTTGACGTTGCCCGCGCCCTTCTGGCAGAGCTTCTTGGTGCTCTCAGGGCGCGTGAGGTAGAGCTTGTTGTCGAGGCCGCACCAGAGCCCACCAATGGACTGGCCGGTGGCGCCCTGGGCGCCCTCGGGCCACTGAGCCATGTCGTAGCCCTCGGGACACTGGTACGTGCCAAACATGCCGGGCTGCAGCCCACCATTGGGGGCCGAGTAGCTGGAGATGGCCTTGGTGGAGCCCACGGCGTAGGCACTGGTACCCACGTCCAGAAGACCACCCCATCCGGAGTGCTTGACCTGGGTGACAGCAACGGCCCCGTACTCGGTGGGCAGCGTGCTGCAGTCGATCTCCCCATCTGGGAAGTCGGCGTCGATGCCGGTCGCACCCGAGGAGGACGAGCTCGGGGTGGCCTTGGGGGCAGCCGGGGTCGGGGCGGGCTCCGAGCTGCTGCTGGAGGACGAGGGGGCGATGTTGAGCTTCTTGGCCTCGAAGAACTCGCCGGCGGCAGCCGAGGTCGTCTTGGCAGCCGAGGTGGACGGCTGGCTCGGCGTGGGCGTGGGCGTGGGCGTGGGCGTGGGCGTGACAAAGGTGGGCTCCGACTCGCCGACGATCTCGCACAGCTTGTCCCTCAGGCACTCCTCCGCCTCCTCGGGGGTGATTGACTCGCCGCCCAGCACGTAAGCCGTCTCGAGGGGGGTCTCGTAGACCACGACGACATCACGCTCGTTAAGGACGGGCGAGGGCCCGCGCTGCTGGAGCTGGACCAGATGGGGGGCCTGGTCGTGCTTCTTGGCGTGCTGGTGTCGGTGGTGGTGCGCGTGAGGCTGGGCAGTAGCACCGGCAGCCAGAGATGCCGCAATGGCAATGTTAAGAGCTCCCTTCATTTTTTGATCTCCTGGGACAGACTGCCCTGAGGAAGTCTGATACTACTTTGATGTGAGAGCTAAATAGCCATGTCAGCACGCGTCCTGAAAACACCAACATGGTCCCTGCGAGAGGACCGCAATTGCGGGCCCTGTCAAGTGAACCGGGGCCAAAGCAGTGACAGCCTCGCGTATGGAGTGCTTTTGTTCTCTCTCGAGGTACAATGAGAACCTGGCAGGGCCTGGCGCACTCACAGGTTTTTTTTCTGTTTAGATGAAACGAGGTTTAATGAGGTTGCGAACCGGAGTGCCTATTCGAGATGGGTCGAGCAGGACGAGACGCCTGGGGATTAACGAACGAACGAACGACGAGACGAGACGTAGTGTCGAGTTGTTCGCGAGTTCCAAAAGAATGTGGTAGAGAGCAATGACTCTCTGTTGGACGGAGGAAGCGACGCGATGCCGTGGGACCAGAATGGTGAGGAATCTCGCGGGGAGGACAGTGGGCACTTGAACGAGAGGAACCGGCGAGGATTATGAGAGGAGCCTGTGGGAGGGACAGGGGTCGGGAAAGGGGAGAGGCGCAAAAGAGGGAAAACGGCAGCGTGGGCCTGGGGAGCCGTGCGAGGGCGTGAGGGCGTGAGGGCGTGAGGGCGCGTGGGCGAAGGAGCAAAAGCTGGAAATGAGAGATCGAGCCAGGACGGGAGATTACTGTGGTATCCAGAGCTCGACGGCCAGGGGTATGGTGGCTGTCTGTCAACGGGGGACAGGATATGGGGTGGGCCCTGTCGCACGCGAGATTAAACTAGCACAGGGGAGGGTCAGACCAGACGGGCAGACTAGGAGATGGGCGACGCCGATTGACTTTTAGCAGCAGGGACCGGCTGCAACGCACGAGAACCGGCGGGCGACACGAGGGCCAAGCAACCAAGCTTCTGGGGGCAAACCCCCTCTGCGCGGCGGCGCGGCAGCCACGGCCAGACGAATGCGACGTTGCCGTCGAGGCGTGCATTCAGGATGGGGACTCACCGGCTCACAGAACCAGAAAGGGCCTGGGTACGGTCGCAGAGACGACTCGTTGGAAGGAGGCGCAGCTGGACCGCCCAGGTAATGTCTTGGGTATCGGGCCGGCAGCACGGAGGACGGAGGACGTGGGGGGGGGACTTGTGATGCCCGGTTCAGTGTTCTGCTCTTTAAACAAATATGCGGGGACTGGCTGGCGGTTGACAGGCCTTGACAGGCTGGGGAGTGAGAGAGGAAGAGATCAGGCGAGGGGCGGCCATGATGAGCATCTCGAGGGTGGCATATGCTCTTTGTTGGACGTTGCCGCGGTGGAGGGCGGCTGGAGCCTGGAGCCCGCGGTGGGTGAGGGGGTGCTTTGTCTGTCCTTGGTGGCCCATCGTCAATCTCGGCCGGGTGTGCCATTGTGCCATCTCGCCATCTTGGCCATCTCGCCAGATCGTGGGTGTCGCTGGTGGTTGGCTGGCCTGGCTGGCTGGCTGGTTGGTGGTGTGTTGTGAGTACCACCACCACAGCAGTTCCATCCCTTGATTTAGAAGTCATGTCGGCTGACCCCCCTCCCTTGCTCAGATCGACCACACCTTCCCGGGGGGGGGGCAGGGGGGGCCACACACACGCCCAGCCCACCCCGGACCCGGCTTGTGGCCCTGTTCCTGACTTAGTCCCCTTTGGGAACGCAAATCTCCCAGGCTAAGGCCAAGCATTTGAGAGGGCGGCTGGTATTGGTCGGCCTGCACCTCGCCAAGTGATTGCCCAAGGACGGATACCGTTCAGCCCAATCTGCCAGTGCTGCCAGTCTGCCAGTCTGCACTCTCCTCCTCTGCGCCGCCCGTCCCAGCCGCCCGGCCGCCCGGCCATCAACGTCGACGTCTCAAAAGGCTTCCTTTGCAACGATTGGGCGGGTGCTGGCGGCGACAGGCCCTGGACCGGGCCCGGCTGCGCGGTCACCTGGGCTGGCTACCTAGGTAACAACGTAACCAACCTACTCAGTACAGGCAAATGTACATATGCACAGACTCTGGGGACATGACGACGCCCCGCGATCTGATCGACGAAATGAAGACCAATAAATCTCCTAGTTGATATCCCTACTAATAGCATGCTAGACCATTGCGATGGCCCAAGGCCGCGCCAGAATCGCACCATCTCTTTTGGGCTCTGGCCGCTGGCCGCTGGCCGGTGCTCTCTTTGTCGTCGCCACACAAGTGGGGGGGGGGGAGGAGTTGATATCCGCGCCCCCCAGGATCCAGCAAGCCTCGTGCTTCTCATCTCCGTGCGTGCAACTCGCAATATTCCGTGTCCACATCAACCACCTCGTGGCTCCCAAAGCAGAAGTGCCCCAGCCGCGAAACAGGCAATGTCTGATGTTGATCAACAGAATCTGGTCATACCTGCCAACGCTGGCTTCAATCCTCGTCCTCGCCCTCGTCCTTGTCCCTACTTCCTGCACCGCTGCACCGTCGTGTGCCAGCCGGTTGTGGATCCGGCCAGCCGGCCTCCCTCTCTTTTATTCCAGCTGCCACGCTGCCGCGCGCCGTGATGTCTGTCGTGTATTATCCATCTACCATCTACAATCACTTGATCTGATTGTGCCTCGGTTGCGACCTATCGGGGTTTCATCTCAACAGGCATGGCTCAAGCTCCACCGACCCCAACCCGCCTAGCACGGACGGGGTTACGGCTTCCCGCCCGGGCCTCGACGCCGGGCCACCCGCACGCGCACCGAAGAGCAGGGCCTCGGCTACTGCACCGCCGGCCCCCCGGGAAGTGGCCGACTCCGGCGCAACAACAAGGCAGGCGAGCTCACACGGTCCTCCACGCCAGCGACAGGCCTTGCTAGTTCTAGAATAGACAGGCAGGCAGGCAGGCAGACGGACAGACGGACGGACAGCTGCTCCGGAGCCAGGGCGGTGCGCCGGGTCAGCACCTTACTGCTCATCCTGAGGATCCCGAGGTCAGCACCCTCCTGCTCATCCTGAGGTCAGCACCCTCCTGCGCATCCTGAGGTCAGCACCCTACTGCCTACGCCGAGGTCAGCACTCTACTTATTCCCCGGCCGGCCGACTGGTTTGCTTGTGGAGTGGTCCGGCTCGAGGGGTTGGGGGCGGCAGCAGCGGATTGCCTGCCCCGCCCTGTCCTCGGGCCCTCTAGTCCACAACGGCGCACTGAGGATGAGCGGGCTCGGGGCTGTGCTTCTTCGATAACCACGCCCCCTTCACCCTCTAACCGGCGTGGGCAACAACTACCGCCTTGCCGCTCAAGCACAAAGGGGTGTGTGCCTTGCCTAATGTCTCTTTGGTTTCCTGCAGCTGTGCCGAGCGTGTGTCCTCGATCTCATATGAGTACACCCAGGTAGTTTCCGTGCACCATAACGGCCTTGGGAGTCACAATTTCAGGATCCGTGAGTGTTTGGGTCGACGACTGACTTGCCGGGTCAGCCGCCCTGCTCTTCCTTGCCGAGTGGGTATCGGGCAAGGTAGCAGTATTCGTGCATGTGCGGATGCTGGGCCACGATGGTACTCCTGGCAGCCCGCGGTGGCCGAATTATCAGGCCGAGACCTCGGCACTCACCGCCGTTGGCCTGCTGTACACAACACTTGGTGCTCGAGCAAGACACCCGGCCAGAATGTCCAGGTGGCATGTTCGCGGGCAAATCCGTGGCCAGCCAGAGGATAAAGGCCCCTTCCCATGGCTCATGACAGCGACTGCTTGGGTCCTCTCTGCCTCCTCCACGCGACTTTGAGAGCTACTTGTTATGGCTGTCATTGTACTTTCACTTACCCTCGCTGCCACCGCGTCACAGCCTCACCCCGACCAAAATGTGCGGATTGAGGAGAGGTCAAAAGCAATATCCATGATACCTCAAGCAGCGCGTAGGTACAGGCAAGTACCAGTGCCACGTAGTCCTCGGTTTGACTGGAGTTCGGATTGTGCTCTTGTGCACGGAACGTCTGTTTAGTACAGACGCTTATTGACTACACGAATTCCTTTGCAGTGAGATTGAGACCCGCAGTCTTCCAAAGACATGCAAATGTCAATTGCAGGACCTCGCTGAGCAATGAAAGAGAAGAACCTCCACCAACCCGCCCCGGTCCGTTCTAAAATGCCGTGTTCGTGAACTCCCCATAAACCAAACCCGTGGAACGCCAGACAATGCAGGAGGGGAGACACTCCTTCTCAATAGGAATGACATCTCCCCGGGGGAAAAAACCAATGCGATGTTTGTTCTCGGAAGGAGGGGCAAATGCAAAAAATCCATGTCGCAGGACAACATCCGGCTTATGCTTCACACCACAGCCCACCGTGAATGCTTTCTATGGGTCAGGAAGGATCCAATGCGCATGCAATGCAAAGTCAACGCTGCAGGCGCAATGGTCACCCGTCGCCCCTTCTGGCCCCAGGCCGCGGCAAGCCTTGCCAAGCCCACTTACGGTCCGCTTTCTCAGTATGCCGAAGATGGATGCTTATGAACCGTTTCTTCGCGATCCAGCCCCGGAGATTCTTGTAGTCGGTCTCCTCAGTCGTCCGCCACGAGGACCTGGGAGCTCGAGAGTCGCCGTGCGCAGAGGGCTTCTAACCCATGCGTCGTAGGTTTTCAACCCCCAGGCTGGGCACCTCGACCTCTTGCAGCCCGCACACGCCCTCGTCGCGGCGCCTCTCCACGAACGAGTTGCACTCGTTCACGACGATACCCCACTCTGCCAGCGCCCGTCCCGTGTACGTGGCTCGCTGGCGCCAAAATCCAGTGGGTTCTACAGGCTGTACCAGCTGTCGTTCGGCCTCAGATCTGCCCCGTGGGATCCCGAGACGATTGTTCTCGTCGGACCCTGCGCTCTCCGTTGAACTGTCGTGGTCGGATTCGACGCTCGTCACCCGCTCGATCGGGGGCAGGTGTGGGGCAGCGGATGCGCTGCTGCTGTCATTGTGTTCCGATGCTTCGTCTTCGGCATCAAGCGTCGCAGCGTTGCGGGCCTCGCTGATCAGCCCCCCCTGAGAGGTCCCCGAATACATCCTCTGGGGAGGGGGCATGCCCGCAGCTGGCGGCGGCGGGCTGTCGCTCCGTCCACCCGTCGAGGCCGCCCGCGCGCTGACTCTTGCCTGAGCTGGAGCCGGGAGGCGCGGCCTTGTCAGCACCCGCTCGCGGGGGAGCATCGACAATAAGCTGCCGGCATGGCCCGCCATGTCTGGCGCGGGGTTCCAGGGGAGAGCGCCCAGGGTAAACTTGAAGACAAACTGCGTGGATTCGTACACCGGGCTGGATCCAGTCGAAGATGCATCGGATTCAGGCAGCGAACCCTTGGGAGGAGTTGGGGGACCGGACCGTGCTGATGATGTTGCACGCCGTGCGATCTCGAGCTCGTCCGCCGAGTTGTTCCGCCTAGGCGCGTTCGCAGTCGCAGAGCCTCCGGGAGCACTAGTCGAGGCAAAGCTGAGCATCTTCCCAAAGATGGACCACCTCTTCTTGTAAGTGCCCTCACCCTGCTCGTTCGAGTTGTCGCCGCCGTCACCTGAGCCGGGGCTGCTGTAGTCAATGCCCCCAAAGCCCAGGGTTCCATTCATCGTGTCGAAACCGGCCTGCAACAAGCCAGTCTGCGGAGGTGTCATTTCCATGCGGATGATCATGAACCGTTTGCCAGGCTGTGGGTGGGATGGGGCTGTGGAAGGGAGCAACCTGCTCGATGACTCGGCGTCCTGCTTCAGCCAGAGGTAGTGGGACCATGCCTGCTTGAGCCGCTCAGACACAAGCATGAATATTTTCCTTGGCGCAGCGAATCAGTCTGGGTCCCTCCGCGGGGTGGGCACAAGATCAACTTACAAATCCAGCTCATTAGCGCTCCCCTGGTCACGACATATCCTCCAACACAGCAGGCGCATGAAATAGGCTCGCACCATAGGTGTGTAGTTGTTGAAGAACTTGTCGAAGACCTCCTCGGAGAGCAACCAGCCAATACACAGCTTCTCCTTCCTGGCGGGGTCAGCGGCGAGAACATCCCACGCCGAGTACAGGAACGAAAGGATCCGAATCTCCGACATTGTGCTGTTGGTCTCAAAGAGAATCTTGTGGAAGACATCGAGCCAGAAGCTCCAATCTATATGGTCCATGGCGACAGCAGCCTCCTCTTGTCGACCTTTCACACCGGGATCGGTATACCCGGCGTATGAATCGAATGCCTGCAGGACTTCTTGTAAAAAGTCGACGAGAACGAGGACTGGGGCCTGCTTGAAGACCGGCGTCTTCTTTGTCGCTGCTTTCAAGATGCCCATGAACGCCGTGGCGAAGGTCTGCCTGGCGCCGGTCTCCAGGCCCCCGACCGAGTTGTCTCCCAGCATGTCCTTGAGCAGGACAATCAGCCGGTTCTCGTCCATGCCCCTGAGGAGGTTACTTGGAGGCAGCTGAGCTAAAGCGGCGGCCATGGCGTCAGCGCCATTCGCCGAGTCCAGCACGTTCGGGGCCATCATATTGTCGAATGCCGCCTGGCGATGGTGAATGGTGGTGTCCAGTACGCTCAAGAGCTGTGCGTGTATGAGCGCGTACGCCGGCGCGCGTGCCTTTTCAAACAGTGGCAAGTCCATGGGCATGAAATCTTCCGCGAGGATATAATAGTACTTGCAGAAGATGAAAAAGAGATCGGTATCACCGCCCCGCCACCTCGAGATCCATGGGCCATGCCAGGGGATCTTGGCAGCTACCAAGGACAACTTGGTCGTCAGCCGCAAATTGTCCGTCATCGTCTTGACGGAGGTCCAGCCCAGCTTGTGCAAAGTCGGGGGAAACAAAGATACAATGTCCTCGCTTTCGCCTTTGCTCCTCCTCGGCAGACGGAACTCGTCTGCGACACGTCTCAACAGGTCCGGCGTCAGGCCCCACAGACGGACGAGCACTTCGGCAATGCCGGGGATGAAGAAGAAGGCGTATGCACACGCCTTGCCGCAGAAAGTAACCAGTGAGACGGGGGCGTGCCTGCTGGACATTTTCTCGACCACGATTGACATCTGGGTCAGCAGGTTGTTGACGAACATGGTCCGGACGTTGTGCTCGGCAGACTCGGCAACGAAATCAATCGAGTCCTTGGTGCCGGCGCGGCCACGCACAACCTCTTGAGGCGAGCGGTCCTTGAGGGGCCGGAAGCCAGGGGTGCTTAGCCTCCACTCAGGTCGCATCATGATCAGGGTTATGAGCTCGAGCAGCCCTGGCCGGTCGACCCCGGCCACGGGCTGCATGGCCGTGCCCGAACTATTCGCCTGGATGGCTGCGAAGCTCAGTGCGGGGCCGCCAGCGTTCTTGACGGCCGACCCGTCGAGCAGTTCGAGCAAGCCGTTCCACCACTTGTGCAAGATCGTCGCCCGCCTGTCGACGTCCTCGGGGGACAGCAGGTTATTGTCCTTGTTGGAGGTGTGGTTTCCGTGGTTCCGCAAGAACGGTATCAGCGTGTTCCTAGCAACGAGGACCCTCTGGGCTGTGGTCGACTTGCCCAGGAAGATGGAGAACTCCGAGTCGAGCCGGCGGAAAGCTGCCCATAAGGGGTCGCGCGGTGGTTGTGGCCTCTGTGGCACGGTCTCGGAGATCTGCGAGGGCTCTGTCAACCCGGTGCTGCCTGTCCCACCGCTGCTGGTGTCCGAGGTCGAGGACAGGGCGGTCTGCGACGAGAGTCGCGGGTTCAATTTCTCGGGCGTGCCCAGGGACGCCGCCGGGGAAGCTGCATCGTGCTTGAGCGGGGGCCCCGGGGAGGGCACCACCAGGTGGGTGCCGTCTTTCGGGATGTCCTGTGGTGGCTTCTGTTTTATCTTGCCAAAGTAAACGCTGGCCCTGTTCAGGGCTCGGCTGGTGCTGCTGAGCGAGTCCGACGACTTGCTCCTCTCGCTCCCGCTGGGGCTGCCGGCTGTGAGGCGGCGCCGGCTGAGCTTGTTGGGCGACAAGAGCGAGGCGTCTTTCTTTGTGTTCTCGGCTTCCACTGGCGCATCATCGCCCCTCGACGGTGCCTTTCTTTCTCCGTCTGCCTTGGGCGAGGGCGACCTGGAGGAAGCGATCCAGGACTTGCGGGCGAAGTCGGCGAACGAGGAGGACCTGTCCCTGGTCGTGAGGAACCTTGGCGGCTCGGTCTTGTCGGTCTTGTCGGTCTTTTCGGCCGGTCTGGCGGCATCTTTCTCTTCCTTTGCCCTCTCATTGTCGTCCGGCTTCCTCGCCTTCCTCAGCACCGAGGACTTGTCCGTTCCGTCTGCTGACTTGCTGGGCAGCCATGAGCGAGGGCGGTCGGCGATCGACTTGGACCGGCTCGACTTGTTGGTCGTGGCGGCGGCCTTCGGAACAGCCATAGGCTCCAGAAGCTTGCTTGGCCAGCGCGGGCTTACTGGCCTGTCATCCGGCTTGACCACCTGCAGGTTGGACAGTTTGGACTCGAAGGGCAGATGGGTCTCGACGTCTGAGCCGAAGTCGAAAGAGGGCACCTCGAAGGTTCGAGCGGCCGGCTCGGAGGCGGTGGAGCCACCCTGGGGGGTGGCGGCTTCACTGAAACTGCGGTCGACCTCGCTTGGGGAGCTGGTACTCGGCGAGGACTTTGTCAGCGGGGCTGCATTGAGGAAGAGGTCTGGCGAGGAATGAGAGCGGTGGATCGGGCTCTGCCTGACAGCCGGAACGGCCGTCGTCAGCGTTGACCCGTTCATCTCATTGCCAAAGTCATAGGAGCTGTCAAGCAGCCGGGTGGATCTTAATCAAAACGCAATACACTCGCGCACTGGATCAACTGACTGGACAGCTCTCCTCGAAACGAAGCAGGTTGGGGGTCTCGGTCCAACAGCCGAAGCTGGAGCGAAGGGGGGGGGAGTAAGAGGATCTGATGGAGACGGTCCCCACGGCTGTAGTGATGGCGGGATAGGATTGGCCTTGCCGACGCGGTCGAGGAGTGAAAAAAGAAGAGAGGTACAAGAAACGCCACGCCGGTTCAACTCATGTCCTCGTACCGGACGGCAGCCGCAGTGAGTCTGTTCGGGCTCTGGCCGGCAGAGGGCGGGCGAGGCGAACACAGTGTAATCTCGTCTCCGATCAAGCGGTACGCTAATTGTAGGATGGCGCCGCCGCAGGATGGCAGGCTGTCCGAGCAGCGGTCTTGGGTAGCTGGCCCCGGAGTAGCAGCTGGCAAACGGTGGTTAGTGGCGGGGTGGCGGCCGTTCGAGAGGTCTGATCAAAGACGAGAGACGAGAGGCGTGAGGCGAGAGAACACGACGAGTGTATGAGTGTGCACGTGTGTGCTGGGTGTGTGGAGGCTTGGAAGGAGTAGGCTAGGTAGGTAGTGTGCAGAAGGCCTGAGGTGGGATTGAGTGATTGCCCCGACAGCCCGAAAACGACCACCGTCCACCGTCCCGCTGTATGTCTCTCTCCCTCTCGCTCAGTCGCTCGGAAGCGCTTGGTGGGTGGATCCAAGACACGGACACGCCACAGGGCTCCCCCAGCCCCAGCCCCAGTTCCAAGGGATCCCAGGGGGGTCTCTTGTCACGAAACAAACCGGAGTGCTGGAGATTGGCGTTTCGACGGTCGGTGGTATGATGTGACTTCAGTGTCACTCGGCGCTGCTGCAGCCTGCAGGGAAGGGAGGGTTGCAAATTCAATTTGCGAGGCCGTGCTAGCTGGCATCCTGGCTGGCTAGCTAGGCACTCCCCCCGGTTCGATGGCCCAAGTGCCGGATTGGATAGATGGCTTGACGTAGTTGTTGACGAGGGACTGGGTGTCTTCGTTTGGGGTAGGCTACAGGGATGAGTCTACCGGGCGGCGCAACCTGGCCGTGGGTTTCTTGGGGTATAAGACGAGAGGGCTATTGCAGAAGTCGCCTCGCACGATAGGGCCAAGGTCACCACCATCGAAAACCTGGAAATCTGGTACAAGCTCCAGCAACGACATCATGAACAACAACAAAGCGGCACAGGGGTCACCTGCAGGGGGACTGTGGCCTGGTGCCTTGGGTTGGGCCCGTCCGAGTATCCTCGGACGCAGGGGAAATGATGAGAAACGGCCGTTGAATCAACAAGTCACCCGCTCACCTGTTGGCTGGTCGGTTGGTCAACCGAGCCTCCTCGTACTGCATAGGCGGGCTATTTGCAGCTGATGGACAGCCGACACGAGCCACTGCTGCTGACAGCCCAGGCTCCGACGACCATTGACCTGATATTTACGGGTGCTTGTGGCCTTGGCGAGGATTCTCGAGGACGGGCTGGCGTGGCGGGCCATTGAGAATGACAATGGCACGGGCATCGCCCACTCACAGACAGGGCGCACATGGCTTGCGGTGTGCCTGTGGTCCTGTGGTGCTGTGCCCGTGTGCCCCGTGTGCCCGTGTGCCCCGTGTTGGCCTTGCCTGGCCTTGGTTTCGGTCTTGGTACTGTTGCTCCATGTCCCCCGCCGCACACAATAGCCGCCCTGTGAGGCCCTGACCTGTCTGTGGACCGGAAGGTGGGTAAGTCTGCACGTGTAAATTTGTAAATTTGTAAATTTGGGTGCTACATAGTACTCTGTCGCGCAGCCCTGGCCGGGATTCCTTCTGTTCTATTTCCATCTGTGTACTGTGTAAGATGGAAAACAAGCGGCAGCCTGGACAGTTAGATACCTAGGTACCTACAGAGGTAGATACCTGGGTACATACTCCGTACCTGTAGAAACTCACCGATCTTGGGCTTCGTACCTACTCCGTGGGCGTATGGCGACAGATGCACCGCACAGCATCTTCTCCTTCAACTGGTGCTCGGCAATCGATCGGCCAGCGGCTCCAGCTCGTCCCTGCGAATCGTGTTTCGCCTACGGCTGGGCGGGGCCAGGCCTCGGGAACTGTGCTATCGCGGCAGCCGCCATGTTGCAGTCTGAGGAGCTCGTCTTGTGCATGCACCGTAGATCAAACCAGCTTTTCTTGCTCTTCAAGCTGTGGTCTTTCTCTCGGTTTGGGCCCGCCCACAGCCGTCCGTCTGCACATCTATGTACACGTGTGCTTGCATAGAGTTGGGTGGCATCTCGACTCCCCGATCCGGTCGTCGCAGCTACTTTGGCACGAACTGCACACACCATCCCGTCCTGTGACCTGATTCAGTGCCATTGGGTTTCGGCCTGCGCGAAGGGCAAAATCTAATTTGTTGCATTTCGAAACACCATCATCATTCAGTCATGGCGGAGGTCTGCCCCTTCTCACAACTTTACAAGGCCAGCTGAGGGCCGAGAGGAGCGCGTAGCCCTGTCCTGTCCGGGCTTGACGGCCAGAGTGCGCCTTATTTCGGCGGGATATTCAGGGGTTGCTCTCGGATAGAGCCCTATTTCGCATAGGGGTCTGTCCTCATGACAGACCTTGGAAAAGGCATCAAGTCCCAACATGGGGCCCAACAGACTGGACCAACCCTCACTCCACTTTGATGGGCGAAGCATCCCGGTACGCCGTCTCTGCTCTCACCGTGTATGGACGTCTCGGTGAGGTTCTGCTTTGCGGTTATATAGTCTCTTCTGTGATTTGTGTAAGGAGGTAGCCTCCAACGGGGGAAGTGGCCCGAAGCCTCGACACAGTGCGACAGCTGTGTCTGATCCATCATTCAAATGTTCCCAGCCACATAAGATCAGATGGGCATGCCAACTGCATCACTCACCGACCCCCGGGCCACAGATGGTGGGCCGGTGAGCCGTCGGTCCCAGCTCCACGACTCAGCACTGGTTCACGGCGAGCCAAGAGCCTTTGACGTCTAGAAGTCGCTGCCAATCGGTGGTCAACTGGTGACCACCAGCCTCGACCGAGGCAGGGAAGAGCCCCATTCTTGCCTGGCCACCAACGAGTGTGAGGTATTTGAACTAGCTTTTCAATCAAGTATGTCCCTATCTGGTATAGGCTCTGAAACCGTAGGATGTGCTGCTTGCGGATTCTTGCACTAGGTGTCTGTTTATGTTTAGGGGACCACCTGGGCAATAAGTGTGTATTTAAACGGCTGGTCCTGACTCGCCACTTACAAAGCGCAAGTAAGACACAAAAGCCTGGCCGTGAGACCAACATGGCGGGTCTATGCATTGCTGAGCATATTCTCGATTCCCAAATCTATACAAGGAGACGGATACACATCCTATCGGGGTATCGCAATGGCAGCACTCACAAGACACCTGGACGCACCAGTTTGCGGTTGCTAAAAGACTAGCCGCCTGGCACTTGAGGGTCTGAAGCTCGTTCACCTCGTTCACGTTCAATATCGCCCAAGAGGCGTATTTTGCTTTTTGTGTAATCAAGTTGGGGACGTTGAATATACAATAAAAACAGCAGAATGTGCTGGCGCGACACAGGCCATCATTTGCCCGTTATACCAAAGCCGCTTCACTCCAAGCCATGCCATGCGGTGTCATGCTATGCTAGACGCTCTCTTTGCTACAAGAACAGCCAAACCCCACCCGTCCTTCCAATATGCACATCATGTGTGTGCGTGTGTGTATGTATGTATATGTGCCCCCTGGGTCCTGCAAGCCCATCAATACACTACTGGGGACAGCCTTTACGTCAGCTGGCCAGCCGGCCACGTGTAGATATATGTTGGCTTTCAAGACCGAAGTGGTTCATCGCGACTCCTTCAGAAGGCATGGCCCTGATGATGCGGTGGCATAGGGCCCCTCGTCGTACCCGGGGTGCCTGGCGTACGAGGACCCTGAGGCACAAACTGCCCCTGAGGAGGCATCATCATGGGCCGACTGAACCCTCCTGGACCGGGAGACGCCTTTCTCATCTGGCCTGGGCCAGGACTCTGCATCCTCATCGGCCCTTGGCCCGGGCCTGGCGAAGCCATCCTCATTGGTCCTTGACCTGGTCCTGGAGAGGCCATTCTCATCGGGCCCTGTCCGGGGCCGGGGCTGTTCATCCGCATCGGAGGCTGCATGCCGGGATTCCCGTAGCCACCCTGAGGGTGACCGTACTGGGGACCGCCTTGCTGTAGAGGTGGAGGACTCATGGCGTAACGGGGTCCCGGGCTCATGGACCGTGGGCTGATGGGGCTCACAGGCATGCCTATCCCAACAGGCGGTGGAGACAGAGTTGCTGACCGCGGCGGGCCAGGTTGTTGGCCGGGGTAGCCTCCACGGCCCATGCCCGCGTTGTAACCCATGTTACTTTGCATCCCCATGCTGCCGCCGTACGTCGACGGCGCTTGGGCATTCATCGGGCTCATGCCCATGTTACTCATGTTAGCCATGCTCATGTTGGACGCTCCGTACATTTGCTGCTGGGCATATTGCTGCTGCTGTTGAGCATACTGCTGCTGAGCATACTGCTGCTGCTGGGCGTGTTGCTGCTGGGCGTGTTGCTGCTGGGCGTGTTGCTGCTGCTGGCGCTGATGGATCGCGTTCTGGACCGTCTGTGATTGGTAACCCTGCTTCATCTGTGCCTTTTCTCTCTCGCGCGCATCAATCGCTCCCACGAGACCGGGCCCCTGCGCCTGAGGTCCCTGGCTGTTGGTAGCCATGCTGATCAATGGCGTGCCGGTAGTCCGGGCTAGATGCTCTTGCTCACGCGCTGACAGGGTCGTACTGGCTCCTCCGCTACCGTTCACCCCCAGGATGTTACCTGAGCCACGGGAGGGAGGGCGCTGCAGCAGATCTGCACTGCCGGACCGGGAGTGCCGCTTGGTGAGATAATCCTGACTCCCGGTGCGCTTCACCATTGGCGGAGAAGGGGCCATGTTCGCCAACGCGTTGCCCGACGGAGTGCGCTGGTGTGCGTACTGTGGAGCCGTCGCCGCGGCTGCTCGCTGTGCCACAAACTCCTCAGGGGAAAGTGCGCCATCTCGCCCGCCGCCACCGCCGACGGCCACGCCAGGCTGCCAGGCAATGCTCCGACGCTTGAGCGTGTCCTCGGACTCGTTTCGCGCGTGTCCGAACTCGGCTGTGAAAGGTGTGATGTTCGCAGTAGGGGTCGTAGGGGCAGGAGTCTTCCGCGGTCCAGGAGAGAATGACCTTGGTGGCTGAGACGTGGGTGGGTTCGGAGGGACCCAAGGCCCGCCGGGGACAGTCCGCTCAGCACCATGGGCGAGGTTCAGGGTAGGGCCAAAGTTGATGTCCGGCATGTCTACCCGTGATCTGCCAGAGCCAGAGTCCGACCCTGCCGTGTCTCCAACCGTTTTCAGTACTCCGGCTCGTGGTCGTTCCCGCGATTCTTGAGTCTCGGAAGACTTGCGGGTGCTGGCATAGTCAGGACTATCCGTTGATGCGGTGTCATCGTAGTTGCTACTAGCCTCGCTCCTCATTGTTCCCTGCCGCTGCCTCTGCCGCGACGCATCCTGTTGGTCATAATCATGAGGGTGCGCCTCGGGCGAGTTGACCAGCTGGAACGCAGCTTCATCCAGGATGTGGTTGCGCAGACTGCTGTTGGTCGATGGGGAGACTGGCGTCACGTCGCCGGTGTTGCTTCGCGAAGACCCCTGGCGTGAAGAGGCTGCCCTGGACTGGAGGCTGTCTGTCCGTGCGGGCAGTGGCTTCCTGTGGATCGGCGGGGATCCGACTGTCTGCAATGGCGGAAGGGGCTTTCGCTGGGCCCCGGGCGGCGGCGTCCTGCGGCTGCTAGGCGGAGGCCCACCAGGTCCAGGGTTGTAAGGTTGGTGCTGGCTTTGCGGGCCAGGCGGTCCCATCATCCCAGGAGGTGGTCCTCTATTCTCTTGTGCATACCCGGGCGGCGGCATTCCACGGCCCCGCCCACCTCCGTGAGGCGGGGGCGGCGGGCCGCGTGATCCTGGCGGCACTTGGCCGGGAGCAAAGTGACCCCTGCCACCATGACTCGGGGGATAGGGTCCCGGACCACCAGAGCCCGGCCCTTGTGCTGGGCCCGGCGCCGGAGAGGGGCGTCTTTGTCCATCGCCATGGGCGCCGGGTGCCAGTGGAGATCTGGACCTCTTCTGTTCCAGACTCATTTGTGGTGGTGGCATGCCCGGAGACCGCGGCGGGGTGGGATTACCCCCGGGGACACTCAGTCCTTCACGAGATCGGTTCTCATTAGCAGACGATCCTACCGAGTTAGCGTAAGCATTGGTATGTACCGCTAAGCCCCGGGGGTCTGCTTGCCCGGATGAGGAGCCTGCGCTCTGCTCATCACTGTACCTCTCCCCGCCGCCTTCCATCAGAGCAGGGTCCGTATTAGTCTGGAGGGCAACGCCCAGCTGCTGCAGGGTCGCGCTCGACAGACGGCTTGTGGCCCTCCTGAGTTCTGGGGAATGATATGCCCTCTGTGGACGGGCCGTGGCCGCATGCTGAAAGGACGGCGGCGCCTGAACGGGCTCCGGGGTGCTCATGTTGTGTAGGCCCTCTAGATCTCGCACTGGTGGGGCCAGGCCTGGCTGATCATCCTCCGAACTGACACGCTCTGGTGTGGGAGCAAGGTCGTTCGCGAAGCGTGCGGGCGTGTGGCCGCGCGGTGGCGTCGGTCCTTGCCGTTCGTCTTGGAGATGTGGCGCGAAGCCATCGAGACTGTTCGGACCACGTATCTGGGTGTCTGAGCTGTTGCGCTGGTGGCCAGTCACCCCGGCCATGGCGTTGGGACCACGGGACCTGTCGCCGGGCGGAGCTGAGTCGTTGCGCGGGCCAGGGGTGGAGGCGGAGAACGAGCGAGAAGCCCGCACGGAAGGCCCATCATCTGCGAAACCCACCCCTCTGGACCTCGCAGCAACTGGCACAGAAGGGCCGATGCTAAGGCGCTTGCTCCTGCGGCTGTCACTGCGGGCCGCGGCTGGCGTGTCATCCACCGCATTCATCCTCTGACCCGTCAGCTCCTTGAGCTTCTTCTTCCACTCCCGTTCCGACCATGAGCCGCTGCCCTCGGTGAGGATCAAGTTCGTCACATCGAGTATCTCCAGGTACCCATATCTTCTGTGTTTGGGCATTGCGAACATGAGCGATCTTGCGTCGAGGACACTCGCCACCAGCCGCCCGGGGCGGCCGTACAAGCCAAAAGTATCCCACGTCGGAAACATGAATCTCAGCAGCATCTCAAACCCATTGACGGCCGGGGGCACTTCAGGCATGATGAAGACGAAGCCTTCGGTCGACGACGGCGGATCAGAGTGAATAGTGATGTTGCACTCGATCTTGATGAGGGTCGAGGCGTCGATTAGGGACTTTGCCTGGGGGTAGATTGCATAGCAGGAATAGGCATCCGTTATGGAGGCGATCGGCTTGGTCTTCTTTTGCTTTTTCCCGTCCTTTTTGGTATCGTAGAACTTGACGTCGCCCTTGAGCACGGGTGGTTTCGAATGGTCGTATGGAGACCTCTTCCTCATCTCCTTCTGATGCTTTTGGAACTCCTTTTCGTCCGGCGGCGATATGACACACCAACAACGTCGCCACGGGACTCCAGCACCGAACCGCACGCGCACCCACGCTTCTGTCTTGAATCTTGCCCTCTCCATGATCAGGTTGATGTTGTTCACCGTCTTGCCCTTGCCGGCAATCAGCGCGCCTGTGTATGCCTCTTGCAAGGTCGAGTGCTCGAACATGGCCAGCCGGATGCCTGCGGTCCATTGCAGCAGGGAGTGATGCGAGTTAAAATGAAGCAGGTATCGATTCCTCCCCGCCGTTGATATGCTTAGGATGTTCTGCAGCGGTTGCTCGTCGTTGGACCTCGTGGGTAGTGATTCGATCTGCATCACTTGTTAGTGGCCAAGACGCACACGTGCCCGCACTCCGGCGCCTTGCCAGTTGTCAATTACCATTTTGATGGAGGCATCTGTCAGGTTGATGAATTTTGGCAACACCTCGCCGTCCTCGCCCGCTGCGTCGAGCTCTGCGGCGTCCCACAGCGACAGGACGGTCCCTACAAGCTGCGCGAAGCATTCCGTCCATGTTCGGTCTGGGTTGGGTCGCCCGTCTGCGGGGGTATTTTGTCAGAGCCAAGGCCGAGGGACGGTGTGGTGACGTGAACCTACGTGTATTTTGGTCATCGAGCTTAAGGAAGTAGCCCTCCTGGTACAGCTTATTGGAATGGCTGTTCAGGAAGGTGAAGATGGGCTGCAGCTCCGGCGGTGTGTCGTCGCCGACGTCCATGAGGGGCGGCTGGAAGGTCTGTACCATGGACAAGGGGCGGCCGGAGTTGCTGCGATTCCTGCCCCGGGGGTTGCTTGTCGCGGGCGTGTCCACGGGTGACGAGGGGTGGATCGGGGACGAAGGCTGTATAGGTGTCGAGTTGCGGTGTGGATTCGGCGCACGCAGCGGGTTTGGGCCGTCGTGGGGAGGCGATGAGTTGGGCGTCGAGCTATGTGAGTTTTGTCTGCTATGCCCAGACAGCTGGGACATAAACGAGAGGACTGGTGATTATTTGCGAACCATCAGCACTGGTCAAGAAGGAAGATTAAACAGGACGGGGGGGCGACAGATCGTCCCGCAGGGCGGCCGCGGTGCAGCACTAAGTTGACCGGGCTAGGGCGTGCCTGAGAGCGACTGGGAAATTTGGCACCTGGGGTTGAGGTGGGTGCGAGTGCGGTCTGGTGCAGAGGTAAGGGTGGGTGGGGGGGTTGGTAGGGATTCGCAGCGATGTGTCAGGCTATCATGCGCTGCAGCATGTCAATCCACGGGGAAGGGAATTTGGCCTGTCGGTCGAGGGCGAAGGAGAGCGAGACGGGGGGGGGGGGGGAGCGGGCAGGCGGGCCAGACGAGGCGAGGCTAGCAATCAGTTGCGCGCGAAAGGTGGTCGAAAAGGGCAAGGGGAAATGGAGATGGAGGAGCCCTACCGCGACTTCGACCCATTTTTGTCCTCCCCAGAGATCCCTTAATTGCGCGTCGCCCTTTTCCTTCACACTCCCCCTAAAAATGGGAGTGGTGGTGTCAGCCAGCCAGCCGCCCGGGTGTCTCTGGACTGGAAGCGGTCTCGGCCGTGCCAGGGGAAAAGAGGTAATAACTGGGACGGGAGACGCCAGACAATCAGCGGGTTGAACAAGTCAAGGGCGGGCTTCGCTGCGCTGGAGTTTTTGCCTAGAACAACCTGTCTTGCCCCCTCTTGTGTGAAGGACTGCTTCGGATACCACGGCGCTGCCTGTCTTGTGTATCTTGCTGCGCCGCAGAATGCGCCGCAGGACAAACAAAGGCTCCGCTCTCACTTCTGACCAACTTCCCAACTCGGTGTGATTACAGAATCAGAAGGTACGGGGGCGAGGGGGGCAAAGGTGGAAAGGAGGAAAGATCTTCTCACAGGCTGGTCTGTAAGGGCCGCTTGGTGAGGGACGGGCCTCACAGCACGAAATAGACTTGCAGCTTGTTCAAAGCCTCGGCGGTGACGCTGCCGTCAAGGGCCTCGCAGCTTCACGCCTGGCAAGACTGGCCGTGGCCCCGAGATTGCAGACTCACTCGCACGTGGCGGCGCTCAGCAAGTGCGAGCCGGTGCGAATTCGGCAGTCGGAAGCGTAGTCGAGGTTCTGGCCCTGGCAACGGAGGGTTTCAAAGAGGTGAAAAGGAGGCGAGGCGAGGGGGAAGGTTCGGAGTGAGTTGCAAGAGATGCAAGTGATGCTGGAGGTGTGAACTTGCACGGATTATTGATGCGAGAGACGTACGTGATCCGCGCGACAAGGGTCTGGGCACTCATACGTCAGGTCACCAGCTTGCTGCTCTTGCGCGGCTCCATTGGCATCCAGGTTTCGTCTCGAGGTAAAACGGCATGTGGCGTCTAATCCGTCGGCAAAGAGGCTGCAGATCTCAGGTCAGCCCCGTGATGTGCTGTGCCTGTTGCTGTTTTGGTCCTGTCGGTATCAAGATGGTCGTCGCCTAAGACAAGTCATCCAGCGCCGTGACCTGTGCATGCACATGTGCCCATCTGCCTTGGTCGTATTGTAGGGCAGAGCAGCAAACGAGTGGGTTCCAGATTCGCCGCGGAGTTGTGCTTGCAGGGGGGGGCTGCGAGAATCCCAGTGGCTGGCCGTGGACGGCGACACCGTCGCCCGTCTCTGCGCGCTTGTGTGTGCAAGCTTGCCAGGTCAACCCCGTGGCGTTGATGAGGTGGAAGTTGGACTGCCAATAAGTAACCCAGGCAGGGCGGAGGGCAATGCATAAGAGAGAGGGTTAGCTTGTCCGTCCGTACGCCGCCGGCCAGCCAGGACGAGTCAGTAGTCGACAGTATGTGGAAGAGGTGCGCGGGCGTGAGTGGTGACGTTACTGCCCGAGGCCGAGGTGAGCGATCGTGCCGTCCAGCTGGGTGGGTACGGTGCCGTACAGCTAGGTAGGTGGCTTCCCGAGACCGCAATTCCGCAATGGGGGAGAGGGAGAAAAGAGAGAAGGCGGGCGGGGGCGAGGAAGAGAGGCTCTCCAGGACGGGATCTAGACCAGCCGGCATGCCGTGGAAGGCGTGAAGGTGCCCCAGGCTACTGTGTAGGGGCTGGCCGCCGTCGATTTGACTGGCATCGGATCGATTCTAGCAGGATGAAAGAAAGCTTGGCCCTCTCGTCGGTCCTCTTCTTGTTTTGTGCCTCCCTGAGCATCCGGTCCATTCCAAATGCCTGCCCTGCCCAAGGGAAGGTACCTTTTGGTTAGTCTATGATCCGCATGCTAGCCCTGGCGACCCGTACTGGACGTAGCCCAAGGATCCGAGGTCTACATGGGCATCTCTGTCTGCAGCCAGCCCTGCCTGGCCTCCCTGCCTCCTTGTGTTTGGTGATAAAGTTTCCACACAGGAGTGCCGACGAGTACGACGGCTTGGCACGCCTGAAGCATGAGGCATGGTAATGACGATGGAGGTATAGCAGGCGTCCTCAGGTCACGGATCCAGGGCACGACCAAGGCAGGGGTTCTGGCATCTCGATTGGCAGCAGCATTTGTTCCCGGGGGGGGGATGCCTGAGTAAGATTCTGCCCAGCACAGAGTGGTCGTCGCCGCATGCTTTTGGCACCCCCCCTCCGGCCTGCTTCCTGCCCGTTGTGTGCTGTGTGCGCTCTGCTGCACGAGACGGGCGTTCACCGGCCTATGGGTTTCGCAATGCCCAGAGAAATGAGGTAGGCGAGCCGCCCAGGTGGATGTAGGGGTGCCAGACTAGCCGAGCAGCCGAGCAGCCTCTGGGTACCTAGGTACCTAGGTACTTGGCCCATGCCAGGTGAGCTTGGAACGCACGAAGACCGCTCTCAGGCACACAGGCGCAGTAGCTTGGCCGTGCTACGGACGGAAATGGCTGGCATTGTTGATGCCGTCGCTGCCGTGCGCCAAACACTACCCGTGCCATCTGCACCGTCCGTCTGCGTCTTGGTCAGCAGACTGGGGGGGGGCTGGCTGTCTCGGGCTTGATCACGCCTGGCCGTCCGTCAGCCAGGGCCGCCGAGCCATGTACTTGGGTGTCTCTGAGCGGCGACGGTCTGGGAGGTTGTATACGTAGGTATAGTGAAGCACGGCGGGAGGGTTTTGGGTTGGCTCCCAGTTGAACGGCTGGTTGGATCCCAGGTCTTCTCTTGCCCCTGCCAGCGCGTGTGGGGTGAGGGTGGAGGGGGGGTCGCAAAGGCAAGGCGCAGGCCGTAAGAACGAGCCCAACGAGTCTCTTCTCCTCTCCCGAGCTGATGTCGCCCCACAGACCCAAGGTCCCCAGGACCCTGGACGGATGGCCCTTGGTGGTTCGATGCACACAGCCTGCCAGCCTGCCAGCGAAAATGGTAGACCACTGGCGCAGGGTCGTGGAGCGGTCCCACCCTGGCGGCAATCAGCCATCTGACAGTTTCCACCAGGTGCTCGTGTACCTACCTACACACTCATTAAGTGCCTAGGTAGGTGGGTACCTAAGGTAGGTACTGTCAGAGTGTGGACTGTGAACTGTGAACTGTCAGGCTGTCAGACTGTCAGACTGTCAGACTGTCTGTCAAGATACGTTCCAGAGCACTACTTGGGCCTCGGATACTTTCAGACTTGCGGCAGGTTCGGATGAAGGTATATGGCGCATCCACAGGGTACCTGGTCAGTGGGCTTCTTCTACGGATGCACCTGCCACCTCGTACCTGCCCGTCTGCCGCATTAGCGGCGATCCGCGCAGTAGCGATCCCAGACACACCCAGAGCTGGCCCTTCGGGTCCCGGCCTAGCAGGCCTAGGCGTGGAACACTCTTTCCTGCTGGACACGCCTGTGGCTGCGATATCCCCTGCGGTCTTGGCACCACGCGGTCGATGGGGCATGCCATACTCAGGTGGCCTGAGTGGTCTGAAAGGCAAATAAAAAGAGAGCAAGGCAGGCCCTCCCCGGACGCGTTTCCAGCGTCTCGGGGTTTGGCCGCTTCCAAGCCTTCGGCCCAGGTCAAGAAGCCGCTTTCCGCCCCTCGGTATCCACTCGGCACGCCGTTGCCAGTCACACGTACTACCAGTATTGACATCTACCATTTATTACAGCTTGTCCAACCCGGCGTTAGGTTGTGTCTTGGTGCCTGGGTGCCTGCTCACACACGCCAAGACTTGTCCAAGTGCCCTTGGCCTGCGATCTACTGCTCATGACTGCGCAATAGCGGCGGCGGCGGCGGCGGCGACGACGACAACGACAACGACAAGCTGACACTTACGAGGCGGCACACTTCTTTGACCAACCACACAGGTAGACCCCACACGGTCTCAATCCGCTTCGAGAGCTTGGCGTTAACCTCGCCAGGTGGGCCCTCCTTGCAATCCAACCTCGATATCATCTTCATTTTATTCAATTGCCCTCACTTGCTCCCCACCGACCGCCGCGTCAACCCTCCGGCAGACGATGCTGGAGACAAGGCGTGGGCGTTGTCAGCGGGATTGGTTCCAATACGCCCCCAATCCTCAGCACCAAGGCCGATCCTCTTGGCCCTTCTGCTCATCTTAGCAGTACCGAGCATCGAGCAGTCGATTACACGGTATACAGAGACCAGAGATGGCGCTCCCGGCCTTTCCGGCAGCCATCTCGGGGCTGTCTTCTCGGAACGAACAGGCACCCCGGTCTGGCTCGTCAATACCAGCCATCACATTGCCCCAAGGCATTGACCAGTACTGCGCTGCCAGCACATGCGCCGTCGCAATGGTCATAATTACGGTTGGCATGCCTGGCGGTGCTCCCAGTCAGGCCAGCATTCACCGCCCGGAGAAACAACAAGGTTTCGTCCCTCAACTCACTCCTCGTCCCAGTTCGAGGCACCCCGAGACATGTTGGGCGTGGCCCCACATGCAGTTGATCCCTTCTGCCTGACATCTGCCGACGCAAATGTCGCTCGCGAGTTTTAATCATAACTCGGCATGCCGGCACGGCTCTCCTCATTACGACGCCTCTGCTCATTGCCAAGTACCCGCGGTCTGAGAGTCAGAGAGCACAAGTAAAGCGTCCTCGATCACATCTCTGCACAGCCCGGCAGCGCCCTCACCCGGCCGCCGAGGTCAGCTTTGCCCAGACCGTGAATGTTCGCCTTGCATGCCTGCCTGCTCGCCCCGCGTACACGTAGCTCCTCAGCTCTGGAGTCTCGAGGGCGCCTCACACGCCCCCTCCCCCCACACGGCGCCAGCACACCTGCACGTCGGTAAGTGCCACAGGCTTTGGCGCACGCTACTCACGCATACCCATGTGGCCGGCCCGCGACCGCAGGATTTGGGTGATGGCGAAGCTGCGCTGTGGCGTGTATGCTCTCTTGACTTCCCGTAGGATTGGGTGCCCGGAGCAAGCTTCCTGGACCTACGTCATGCTGCACTGGCTGCCGTCGTATTTATGTTGGCGCCGCACATGGAATGGCTGGCGTCGCATGGCCGAAACGCAAGCCTGTCAGCCCCCTCGCCGTGCTGTGATACACACATGTCCAGTCCCGGGCCTCGGGGGTCTCGTGGGATCGCGCACTGCCATTGCATGCGTGCCACGGGAAGACAAGTACTTGTGGTACAGCAATGTCCTATGTCGCCGAAACGAATCTTTGCACCTTGTCTCTCAGCGTCTTCTTGGTTTTTTTTTTTCAATTGGCGCATAACCTTTAATTTTACGTACGACACCGGGCTCGTCTCATTGCCTGGCCAGCCAGGGCTTTAGACCAGAGCCTGCGAGGTCTGTGTGCCAGCTATGTGCAGGTGGCAGAACGAGCAAGGTCTCTCAATGCTTTCGCGGACTAGTCTGCCAATGAGTTTGTCTTCTAGATAGGAACCTTGCAAGCATGTGCCAAGGTAAAGAAAGTGTTGACAGTCCTATCCACACTAGTACAAGTGCCTCGGGCTTCAAGGTTGGATCACTTCCTCGGCCACTGCATTATTGCCGCGTCCTATAAGCAGGAAACAACAGTAAGATGAAGCGAGCTTTTGACACGGTGATTGCCATGTGTCGACAATAGCGACAAAGCTGGTTTCGATGCTCAGGAGGGAGATCATGCAAGCCACTTCTTGTTACATCCTGGGCTCACCTGATTGTGGGCAGATGATACCGGTTACCGATACCTTATTCGAGTCACTTGGTGCACTCTTTACCTAGATAAACGCTTCTCTTCTCGAGGACTCTTGTAGGAGCTCTATCCTAGGCTTGTCCATTGCCTTCCCCTCCACGACCCCGAACCTGTCTGGGACCAAGGCAGTCAGCACTTGTGAATTGGGTTTGGAGTTCTCTGAAGACAGTGGCATCAATCTTCTCACAGCTACCGCATAGCGATGTGTTCCATATTTGATGGTGGGAAGCAGAGACGTTCCGAGCAGCGCCATAACGAGGTCACCTCGCCTGGTCTCGCCTGGCCCTTGTCCAATTTAGCTGTTCTTGCGGAGAAGTCTACATTTCGCAGCCGGGCACTGGAATCGGTTTCGCCATGTTCCAGCCCGATGGGCAGGACAGCATTCCAGCTTTTCTCCGTGACGCTCGTGACCCCGTCTGCGACTGCAAAGCCACCAGCTCCACCTGCGCTGCGTCTATTCGCATCTCAGGCCTCCCAGAAAATTGACCCCATCTGAAGCTTGTATAGGGGGGTAGGCCCACAATCGCAGATGGGGAGCCTTCTCTCTTAGCCATCATTGCGTTCTGAGTGTATCAGCAGGAAGCGCTTTCTAAGAAGGGTCGTTAACGTCCAATGTTGCGCAGTTATAGGAGTCACGCTGGTGATAAGTTCTCGTAATCTGGGTGAGCTGGCCTCGTAGTTCTGCATGTGGTAACAATCGATCCGCGAACATGAAATGAGGGAGAAAATCACTGCTACCTTCTCTGCCTTGGAACTTGACAGCCTTCGAGACAGCCGTGGAGGCTGGCACCCCCGTGCACAAGCTCGAGATTAATCGAGGTCCTGGAAGCCACCAGGATTACAGCGAGTTGGTCGTGTTGAAAGCGCTATTGGCTGTTCTACTGAAAATGGCTCTCCTGTCTCTGGAATCCCAGTTCCTGAGGAGGATATGCCAACGAAGGGCTTTGTGAACCTAGTCTATTGTCAGCGCACGCACACCTCGTGAGATGAGAGAAAAGGCGGCCGAGGTTTGCATGGCCTTTCTACATTGTAGTATAGTTTACCTTGGTGGGTCTATTTCAATGGTGGTAAGGGCGCCCTTTTGATACCGACTGGCCGCCCTCGCCGTTGTCGTCGACCACTGTGCCCCCCTTGTCTAGTCTCGGTGAGACACTGGTAACTGTAGGCACAATCGAAATTTGTTGTCTACGCTGGGTTGGTTGCAACACTGTATTGTATGGTCCACGTCATGATATGCTGTGGTGACATTGTGAATAAACCCAAGTGCTTGTCTCTCTCACAATCAAGTCCAGTGTAGATCGGCACACCTTGTGGTTATCTAGACACAGTGAAGAAGACTGAGCACTGTAAACATCACGGCGTGTACAGCGTGATCTAGACCGAGAAGTCGTGACCTTTTTTCCTGTCTTGTCGTGCAAGTGTGGCAGAAGGTTAGTGCTGACGGCAACCACTCAGCCGTCGAAGCACCCAGCCCCGTTGCGCTCCCTAGGCGAGTAGGCTGCTTATTGGCTAATCATCGAATCAACATTCTCACGGTTCTCGTTGGAAGCATTCAACAGCCAGTGTATTTGTTGCCCCAGCCTTGTAACCATCGCACCAAAGCCCCAGGTAAGCGCCGCCCCGGGGACAGCTGCCATGCTCGTCGACATTGCCATGCCGGGCCAAACCCGCGAGAGGCCGTCCTCGATCTCCGCCACCTCACCGTCCTACGCCATCCTCCTATCCGGAACCCACGTCACTGGCAAGGAGACCCTCGCTGTTTCCTTGGCAAAGGCGCTGGGCTGCCCATGGATCAAGGCCGAAATGGCTCACAATGCAGCGACCTTCGGCGCCCGTTCTCAGGCCGCACGGGGCTTCAGTTATGAAAAAGTATTCGAACGAATCTGGTCATCCAAGCTGCAGCGCCTGGGCTTCCCGGCGGGTGCCAGCGAGCCAGTTGTGCAAAATGAGCCCAGTGCCGAGGCATCCGGAGGGCCAGGAGGGTCTGTCGAGACACAGCAGCGCTGCGCGGCGATAATATCACTGTACCACATGCGTAAACCTGCGCGGGATGCCATTCGTCATGCCATGCTGGCTTGCTCGGTTAGGCCTGTGTTTGCTGTTCTTCATATCACCAAGGAGACGCTGTCGGGAAGGACTGTTGGAGCGGAAGAGCCACGCTTGGCCGAGAGGATCATGGCGCACAAGGTTGCAGATATCGAGGCGCCGCTGGAGGAGGAGAAGGATGTTATCCTCTTGGATTCATTGCGGAACGTGGATGCATTGTTTCTGGAGGTTTTGGAGACAGTTTCCCAGAAGCTGCAAGTAGGTGGGTGAGCACACTGCATGTGGCCTTGTGTGGGCTGTTACCTAGGTATGTTGAAATGTTTCTTTATAAGGCAATTTGTTTACCGAGGCGCCGCCCTGCCTCCCGGGGCTCACAGGTCGGGAAACAGCTGACATTCAGAAGTTGTGTTTGTAACTTGGAAAAGCTCTCCGCCGGATCAGTTGCTTGGCAGAGGTACGGAGTGATGTTGATGTTACAAATAGGCATACTCGTCCCTGTCGCACCTCGAGCTGTTTTATTGAGCATCAGTTGGAGATTGCCCACCAACTCCTCAGATGAAGCCTCCCAACGTGTTTCGATTATCAAATGAACGAAATTGGCAAGACCTGTCCAGAGAAAAACCGGGTCTCTGACTAGGAGAAAAGACGATTGCTCCAGCACGGAAATGCGAGTGTCTGAGGCAAAGCCGGCTGGCTGCCAGGCTAACATACCTAGGCACCTAGGCTAGGTACTTGTACCGCGACCACATGGAAGTTCATATTCGACGCGGCGAGGTTGATCGGAACGCTATCCTCGTACCGCAGGAAGCTGAAGCATTGCCGGTTCGCAGCCGTTGTGACTTGCTCTGGACGATGCTGAGGGATAGTCATGTTGACGCAGGTCAACAAGACGAGCCAAGCGAGGAGTCTTCAAACAACTTGGAGGAAGCTTCAGCAGGTCTGTTTCCTAATGTTGACCAGAAGCTATTTGAAATCGTGGCCAAGGGGCATACCTCCTCCCCAGATGGTACTGGCAGGCCCGTTGCGGTTGCGGATCGCGCAAGGGTGCTAGAATGGAATACTTCTGTCTGGGGTTAGTAACCCATCCATTCGATCATTCTTCGAGACGTCGCTAACTGGGCTTTGTTCCTGACCAGATGATAATAAGTGGCCAGGAATCACTCTCTCGCTTGGCAATCTTGCTCGACCGTGTATTGGACCAAGTGCATCTAGGGGCTTTATGTTGCGAGAGAAGTGCCCGTACGATGCAACCATCGACCTCGACACCGCGCGCCTAGTTCCGGCGTTCGGCTCTGTCTCTGAATCAGAGAGGCTACCATCCAAACTGCGACTCGATAATCGCTGTATCACTTGCTATTCACGTGTCCAACTTGAGTCCTTCTTCAAAACTCATGGCGTACCGGTCCTCGAAAAGGTCACAGCTCAATGCAATGTCCTTGGTTGTCGGCAAGAGTCCTTTCAAAATTTCGGAAAGTGCGTCGACCATTCGTTCGGGGCTGTAATAGCCAACCGTAACATGGAACGTGACAAGCAGATGGCTACAGTCGCATCTTGTCGAGCAACGCTGGAGGTCTTGATGCAAGAGCCATGGGCCTGTCCAGCTAAGTACGACATCGTATCCAGGCGGACCTCCGAGATACAACAGCACAAACGATCTGGGTCAGATCTGGTGGTGTTAGACACCGAGTTCTCGCCTGCGTCGCTACAGCTCTGGGAGTTTTCGATTGTCGAGAAGGTGTCTGGAAACTGTTTGATCGATACCTGCATCATCTATGAAAATGGCTTGAACCACGAGTCTTTTACTCGTGTATTGCGCACTGCGAGCGAAAACAAGGCCAGCGCGGTGTACAACTCGCCTCGGCGGACCACACCATTGACAGTAGATGAAATTGCAGCGAAACTTGTCGCAGCTGGCATCACCCCAGACACGATCTTCATAGTTTGGCATTACGCAAAAACGGACCTACAAATTTTGAGAGACTTCTTGGAAGCAGAGGGCCATACCGGGATTCTGCCCAAAGACAAGAACTGCATTTCGCTACTGAAGCCCTTCCAGGACAATCTGAAGGTGGCCCCAAACGGCCTTAAGGCCTTCCCACTGAGACTGGAATTACTCTTTCCAATATTCTTCCCGCGTCATGATCTGATCGGCTTAAACCACCGAGCTTTGGAAGATACCTTACAAACGAGACTTCTAGCTCTAGCCTTCGACGAGCTCTGCAAGCCGACCAAGGAACGAAGCGAAAACTGGCGGCCGGCACATCTTGCCCGAGTCACACAAACATCGATCACGGACTTTTACCAGCATGAGAAAGGCGTACCCGTGGACCCGCATCTTGACACATGGGAGAACTAGTGAAACGAAGGCGATGATGCTGGTTGGCAGGGACGGTTTTGTTCAATGGAGTTCACTTCGCGGATAATGTATCTAGACCAGCGTTTACACGATTGACAGGACAACATTGGGCCACCTGGGTACCTAATGGATGGATCTTCTCAGTGTAGCCTTAACGCTAGAAATTGGGTCATCTCGACTTTTTTGCTACCGGCCTGCAACGGAATTCCCGAGAGTGACGACATTCACCACCCCATGTCGAATCAACCTCCTTGCGCAATGGAGAAGTAACGTCCTTCTCGAATTCCTCATGGCAGCAGTCTCTTGGGTGTGCGAGGATAGTACGCCGCGAGGTGGACGCTTGGTAGTGCCAGGAACCAAGCAACCACGCGATCAAGACCAATGCCACCTCCACCATGCGGCGGCACACCGACCTGTCGAAACGTCGCTAGGTACTCCTTGATACCGGAACTCCCCGGGTCGATGCCCTTGGCACGGATACGCTCCTCGAGTTCAGCAGGGTCGTGAATTCGTTGTCCGCCCGAGAGCACCTCCTGGCCTCGTACGAAGGCGTCGAAGGCATTTGTGACGCGAACGCCGTCTCCAACTGTAGTGGCGGCATCATCGATCTTGGCATAAAATGGGCGCGCCGTCTCAGGGAACTTATCGATGACGTAAAAGTCTGTCTTGTACTTGGCGCGGACGACTTCACCGAGAGCCTTCTCTTGAGGGGTGCTCATATCTTCATCGTCCCGCACGTTTGCGAACTCAGGGGGACCTTCTTCCCGTAGAAGCTTTTGTGCCTCGGCGAAGGTCAAGCGCAGGACTTCTTTGCCTGGCTCGGGAAGGAGGAGCGGTTCCGAATGGTAAACAGATCGGACAGTTTCAATCTCGTCCGCGCATCGCTCTGTAGTAATGGCATATCCGGTCAGCATATATAAATACAGAGACCCGACCCAGAAAGAATCTCGAGAACTGGTAGGTAGATGGAAACTGACCTTGGATTCCACGGAAGATGGACAGCAGCACGCCCTCAAGGATGGAGAGAACTTCGGTGTAAGAATTCCTGATTTCCATCTCGACATCAAGCCCCGTAAACTCGGTCATGTGCCTGGGTGTGTTGGAGTTTTCAGCCCTGAAGACGGGGCTTATGCTGAACACACGCTCCCGGCCTCCTGCAATCTCGAATTGTTTGTAGAATTGGGGAGATTGGGCGAGAAAAGCCTCCGAGCCGAAATACGCGAGCCGAAAAACATTTCCGCCGCCCTCAGAAGCGGCGCCGATAAGGCAGGGCGGTTCGAATTCCTTGAATCGGTGGGACTCGAGGTATGATCGAAAGAGCCTCTTCACTTCAATGCGGATATCCGCAATGGCCTGCTGAACAGGGGCGCGCTTGTGCATGGCCATATTATCGAGATGAGTGAGCATGCTGGCGGCTGGCGCGGTAGTCTCGGCACCGGCCTTCGCAACCTTCCCGATGTCAACATCTTCAACTTGGGTCTTCTCGTCGCTGAAATTAACTATAGGCTGGCTTGCAACCGCTAGAGTCATGCCGAGCATAGCGGGAGCCGGCGCGAGCGCGAAGCACTTTGTGATGTGGAGCTCTAGTCTTGAGACTCGGCAGCTCTTGACGGGCTCGAGCGGTTGCTTCACTTTGGCTTCAACGGCCACGAAGCTCTCAGGGCTGATGCCGCTCACCCATTTCACCATGCGTCGACTGACAACGGGTTCCTCTTCAGAGGCCAAAATGACGCCCTGAATGTTCCAGTTGCCCCCCTTGCGGAGTTCAACGAAGCCCATCTTGGCACTCTGAACGCGGGAGTTTTGAAGCCACGCACGCACAATGACCGTCTTCCCACAGTAGGTTTCATCCAGGGAGCGGATTTCGACTTCTTCAGCGTCGTTACTGAAGGCCGAGATCGTGTTCTGCCTATTTCCGTAGTTGTCTTTGGCGGGGTCGTCTTCGAGGTTCACATTGGCGGCGGCGGCGACGAGTTCTGCAGCACGCTGGGCTTTCAAGGCCTCCTTCTTCGCCTTAGCCTCGGCCTTCTTCGCGCCCTTTTTTGAAGTCGGAGCGCTCGAATCTTCCATGATGCTGTTGTTCGTCGTACTCAGTGGTGAAGTTGACTCCAATCCGTAGACCGTTGTACCAGACAGACCTTGGACGGGCAATGAGGGGCAGGGCACAGAAAAAAGATGGTTAGCGCACAGACCACTTTGGCTCCTGCACGTGCCAATTGAACAGAACACAGCTTTCCACAACAATCGCCTCACTTCAACAATTCGCAGTCAGATTTGCTATATTTACGCAATTACGAGCCTCATATTATCATCTTGAAGCTGTTCACATTTTTCTGACGATTTGCACGCCCGGCGCGACCTGCGCGACCGGTGCAGGCTGCGCCCACACGTCTGCGACCGACCCGACTAACGCGATCGTCGGGATCGCCGGCGACGTAAGGCACTGCTCAATTGACCTCAATTTATTACAGATATTGCAGATATCTCTGCATAGATGACCTCACAAAGATTTCAAGCAGTAAAATAGGGGTACTCTTATATCCTCTACCACTAGTATCCCCTAATATAACCAGAACCTCCTTACTTTTAAACAACTATCTATACTAAATAAATATAATAAGGACTTAATAGTAAAGCTAAAAGTTTTAATATTTAATTAATTAAAAATAAAATTTTTAATATTATTATTTTAAATATTATTATTAATTTTTAAGTATTTATTTATTTATTAATTTAATTTATTAATATATTAAATTTAAAAAAGTAATTAAAAGTATATTTATATAATAAAATAAAAAGTCCTTTTAAACTCTTTTTCTTTTTTAAATAATATTTTTATTTATTTTTTATTTTTAAAATTAATAAAACCTATTAATATAATAATTTTATTATTTAATTTACTTTAATTAATTTAATTATTTAACTTTAAATTATAATAATATAAATTTTATATTTTATATAACTTTAATTTAATTTTTAATATTAAAGAATATTATTATTATTTTAATAAATTTAATAATTTATATAATTTTATTCTTTTAAATATAAAATATAAACTTTTATTTTATATATTAATAATATTTAATATATTAATAAGTATAAAAACTCTAATAATAAAAGTTCTTTTATACTTTTTAATTTAAATATTATTTTATATTTATTATAAAATAAAAAATTAATAATTATAATTAATATATTATAAATATTAATTTATATATTTATATAATTTTAATATAAAAGAATTATATTATAAAGAAATTAAAAATAAAAGTAATATTTATTATTAATAAATTATTAAAGAAATTAATTTAATTAATTAAAATTTTTAATAAAATTAGTTTAATAAAATTAATAAAAGTTAACTAATTAGTTAATTTAATAAATCTTTTTTAATTTTATAAGTTTTATAATAATAATTATAATATTAACTTTTATAATTCTTTAAACTTTAATAATAATATATAAAAGTTAGCTTTTATTATTTTAAATTAATTTATAACTTAAATAAAAAATTAATAAAAACTTTAAAATAAATAAAGAATTAAAGTATTTTCTTTAATAATTTAATATCTTTAATAGTTATATTATTAATAATTAAAATTAAAGTAATTAAAAATTATATTATAAAAATAATAAAAATATAAATTATATAATAAAAGTTTTACTATATAATAAATTTATTAAAAAATTAATAAGTTTTTATTTATTAAAAATCTAATATCTAATTAAATATTAAAATTTAAAATACTTAAAAGTTTTAATAAACTTTAATTTATTTAATAAATTTATTTTTTAAATAATAAAACTTTATAAATTAATTAATTATTTTTCTTTTAATAAAAATATAAATTTATCTAAATATACTTTAAAGTAATATAATAACTTTATAATTATAAATATAATTTATTAAATTAATAAATTATTTTAATATTTATTTATTTTTTAATAATTAATAATAATAATAAATAATACTTTAAAATATTCTTTTAATTTAAAATTAATAAATATACTTAATTAAAACTTTATTAAATATTATATATAAATTAATATTTAATTAATAAGTATATTAAATAATAATAAATAATTTAATAATTAAATAAAAGTAATTTATTAATTCTTTTATTTAAAAGTTTTTTATTTATTAATATATTTTTTATTAAAAGTATTAAAAGTTATTAACTTATTATTATTTTACTTTATTAAAATTATTAAAAACTATTAATACTTTAAAAAGTATTATATATTATAATTAATAAAAAATATTTAAAAGTATTAAAAATAATTAAAATAATATTAAATAAAGTAAAATTTAATTATATATATAAATAATTAAAAATAAGTTATTAAATAATTATAATTAATAAATTTTATAAATAAAGTTAGTTTACCTTTTAATTAATAAAATAAAAGTTAATTTACTTTAAATTTACTATTTCTCCTTATTTATATACCTATAACTTCTCTTTTAAAACTTTTATAAATACTTAAAAGTTAAAACTTTAAAGTAATATTTTATTACTTAACTTTTATAAATAATTTAATAATATCTTTATATAATATATTATTAAAAAAGGTTAAATAATATTAAAAGTTTAAATATTATTTAAAACTATATATTATTACTTTTACTTTAAAGTCTTAAAATATTTATTATTAAACCTTTAATAATAAATTATTAAATAAATTAATAAAATAAAGTAATAAAAGGATTATAATAAGTTTACTTTTATAAAACTAATATTTAAACTTTTAAATACCTTTATAAAGAATAATATTTTATAAGGACTATTTATATAAACTTTTAATAAAAATATAACTTTAAAGGTAAATTAATTTTTATAAATTATATAATTATTTATTAAAATTTTTTAAAAAAGTTAAATAGCTTTATAATAACCTTAAAAGATTTTTAATTAATAAAAGTTTTATTATTAAGAATTTTTTTAATAAAAGTAATAATAAATAAATTATTAATTATTAACTTTAATAATTAATATTAAATTAAATAAATCCTTTAAAAGTATTTTTATTAACTTTTATTAAACTAATTTATAAAATAACTAGTTTAACTATTTTAAGTAATTATAAAAATATTTTTATAATATTTTATAAATATTAAAAATTTATAATAATAAAGATTTATTTATAAAGGTTTTTAATAAAATTAATAAAAATAAAAATTTATAAAGTTATTATAATTAATATATTAACTATTATATTTATTATTAAGTTAAATATAATTATATATATATAATTAATTAATTTATAACTTTATATTTTAAAATTTTTATTATTAATACTTTATAATTAACTAATTATAATACTTTTATATTTATATTTTATAAATAATTTATAACTTAATAAACTACCTTATTAATTTTTAAAAGTAAATAATATAAATAATATTTATAACTTTTTTAAAGAGTAAATTAATTTTAATACTTTTTAATAATTAATTAATTAATAATAATTTAAATATATAAATTAAATATATTTTTAATATAATAATTATATTTTTATTTTTATATTATAAACTATTAATTATTTATAAATTAACCTAATAGTAATAATATTAATTTACTTTTTTTTATTAATAAATAAAAAGACTATATATAAACTTAATAATATATTTAAAGTTATATTTAATATAACCTCTTTTTAATTATAATTAATCTTTAATAATAATTATTAAAAAAATATTAGGGTAGACTTAATACTATAATAAGTATTATATATTTTATTTAGGGGGGTATAACTAACTAGGGGCCCCTATTGGGGTTATAGGAAAAGTAGGTAGTAGAGGATATAAGAAAGGCCGTAAAATGGCTAACAAAAGTGTTAAACAGGGCATTTCCTTGCACGTCGCCGACCGGAGAAGCCGACCGGAGCAACCGCTCCGACCGCACAAGCACACCATACACTCAGCTCCTGTGGGTGGGACGCCACCCGGTGGGACGTCGCCAATTATATGTACAGGATGAAGCTGCTGAGATGGATTTGGTCCCCAAAAATATACTGGAAATGAGGAAGAAGTTGGGACTACAAGTGCACAGTCGCCCTCTCGGCAGTGGGAAAGAGATATCCTTAAGAAAAGGGAGTGGACTTGAGGGCCACGAGATGCTCTAACCTTTAAGATGCTTTGTGACGGCGGAGTCGGACCGGCGACGGCAGGATGCCCACATCCACGGCGTGATGATACCTACAATGGCGGCATGATGCCCTCTCCTTCTCGATAAGGCTGCAGAAGAAGCTCCTGGGACTGCCAGGTCGTGCCCGTGCGGAGATGAGAATCCCACACCTGCGCAGTCGCCTCCTCAAGCCAATCTCACGTGAGATTACTACTGCTACGATGCCCTCCTTTTCTTGATGACGGCGTCATGCCCTCTCTCCTTTGCTCAAAGACAGCGCCGGCGGCGGCGGAGCAGGAAGTACTGATAATTACAGCTTTCTCGGCGCTGCGAGCGAGCAGGTCAGCCTCGTGACGCGTCACACGCGTCCCGCAGACCCCGACGCGTCTGACTGATAAGGAGGAGTGAAGTACGATCGACCGGACCGAACAACAGCGGCGGCCTGCCACCTGGGAAGGCGGGATGCGCGCCTAGGTGCTGCAGCAGGTGCTGCAACCGGTGCCGTCAAGCGGCAGAATGTGTTTCGGGTGCCTCACGTATTCCATCTTTTCCGTGCAGACGCGCGATACAGCTTGGTGCTGCGGCTGTGGCCGTCATCCTGGTCTTCAGCTGCATACTGATCAGACAGTCCCTCGCTTGCCAGTGCTACCTCCAAGGCCACCAGGTCTTCGTGGGTGATGTTGAGATTAGGGTTTCCAGGTCTCGCCATGTGGAGTAAGGTCCAATATTGCTGTGATGAGAAAGTCGGACGGTTGCTGTCGTTTCGTGGTGGGCGGTTCGATCGGGATCAGAGGAAGGTAAGAGGAAAGGGATGGTGGGGGATTGGAGGAACCGGGAGACATTACAAGGTCCTTGAGAAATTCGATGGGAGAGAGGAAAAGGGGGTTGGGATCGACGAGGGCACTCGCCAGCGGGCCTTCCGTTGACCCCGGCGCTGCCATGTCAGAATAAGTGAACTGAGGTCGGTTTGGTGAAAGCAGAAAGCAGGCCGGCGGTCGCCTTTCAGAAAGCTGCAAGTGAGAATCTGCTAGTGTGTGATCACGTGACTGAAGGATGTGGGGCTTGGTTCACTTTCATGTCCTGGTGTTCCAAGATTTCATTACTAGTGTATAAGGTAGACTTTTATAGCCAGGCATAATACACCGCATATT